GTAATCAACGAATAGACGATGCCGCAGTTGTTTTTGTCAGTGTGGATGTCAGGCAGTGACATGGAAATAAAATGAAACATTACAAAAATGGGTTAGATGCAATATATTTCATGATTTTGTTCCATATTTGCTATTTGTTAGGTTTTACGTTCTTTTTTTCGCCCTGAAAGCAAACATTTATTTATACTCCCGGTCGAACATTAAATGGTTTCTGCTAAACCCAAAATATATTTAGTCCATAAATGTGACAAAATACACAACATACATTAATATTTATTGATTTCCATCATCACTGGGCAAAATTTATTGTGTTAAAATCCAGTTATTACCATTATTTAGTTTCTACATAAATCCTGAAAACAAATACATTTCACATTTTAATTGCAATTAAAATGATCAAGTTAAAGTTTCTTGTTGAAATTTCACCTCCGAGAATTTGGACTTGTCGGTTGGATGTACATCTTGGTTTTGGGTTACTATTGTTGCACCAACATACTTTTTTTCTGCCACAAAATCCAGTTTGCAACTTAATTACAGTTTGAAATGCACTGCTGCGGCCGACTTTCAAACTGGGCGGCCCTCATAAATACAAATTTGTTGCACTATTAACAAGAATTTACTCGCTACGCAGGCTGCAAATTATCTAGCACTCCTTTTGGCCCAAGTTGGGGCTCCTGCGGCGGGCTGAGTCCTTGGAGTGGAGTCGCTACGGTGGCCAGCAGGTGGCGCCAGTACCTTTTACTCGATTTTAATAATGCTCACCTTGATGATGTTAATAACGTTGTTGGGCGATTACCATTTACTGCGGCTGTTGCTGCTCCTGCTTCTGTTGCCATGGCTGCACCTACTGTCCCAGGACCTGCCGCATTCTTAATGGAGTTGTTGCTGAAACGAGGGACAGTAAGTTGGGGCCTGCGGTGCCGCAAAGTGTTGCCCGTAATTGCAATTCGTTGCCCTTTCTGCAACAGCAACAGTGCTGTACCAGCAGCAACCTGGCAATCTAACTTGAATTCTCATTACGATGTCCTGGCAAATGGTTGCCCCCACCCACAAAAAACCTTTCCAATCGAAGATCCTTCGCTCCAGATCCAGATAGAACCGCAATAAAGGGAACGAGCTGAACGAGTTGCAAATTGAATTGATTAATCCTAATAGGTGGAGGGGGGATGGTGACTGACTCCAGATACTAGAGGATGATAAGGACCAGTTAGTAGGGGCACGTAGCCACTGCAGAATAAGTTTGGCATGTGGCATGCGTCATGCAGCATGCACCATTAGATCGCAACCGTCGCTTCCACTTTTCTTATATGTAGATATATCGTCCTATTTGAACAAACGCTGCCAAATGCAGCAAGACCCGAAAATCCTTATAAGACATTCGCACGACAGCTTGTACTGCTGCTTGCCATGCAAATGCCAGGCACGTTGCTGACAAGGGGGCGTGGCAGTTCCCTGGCAGCCGCCCATCTATTGACGGGAAGGGCCAAGCTCGTAGCCAAAAAAACAAGGTGCCACGGATTCGTTCGATTGATGATGGCAGCTTCCAGCTTCCGAGATCCGAGGTGAAGTCGCCGGAGCTGTGGCAGAGGCTGGAGCGGATGTGCTGCGACAATATGCTGAAGCAGCGCTAATTTTTTTTCTTTTTTTTTGGCATCATACGTGTCCACGCCCTCTTATAATAAATACAAAAAAATATAAAATCAAAAAGGGGTCTTTATAATGCACTGGAAATCTTCAAGGAATGTGTAGTCATCTATCTTGTTGGTCTCCTGTAATAATAGTTATAGTATCCATTATTTTAATAATCATAGATTCTAAAAGTTGAAAAAATTTATTATTTAATATGAAAATATCCTGAAAATTTCGGCCACTGTATGCGGCCATAAAGTAATCCTAAAGCCCTGACATACGGAGGCTCTGTGTGTGTGTGAGCGGAAGTAATAATCGTCAAATTAATACGCGTCGAGAATTTCGCAAGGCTCCATAACGCCTCCGTCCGCCTGGCAACCCTAGAGGCTTTTCCCACCCAACCCCCCTCGATCCACCCTTTTGACCCCCAAATCCCAAATACGTGAGAGCATTTAAAGCAAAAACAAATAAAACTTAAGTGCTGCATGTGTGAAAATCTTTTCAGGGGTGGCCAGAGTTTGGCGTGGTCGTTGGGCTGACGTTGGAGCCGGAAACGAGATCCCGACCCACTCAGGTGTCCCGTTCAGGCCTATGGTTAATCCGATGCCGGGATGCTTAATCAGCCCAAGCTGCTTGCCAAACCCGCCAAGATAACTGTCCCGAAACGAAGCGAAATCTTCCGAAAATGGGGCCAAGGGACATGGACATACATACAGACTCGTACATCACGCTCTTGGCCAGAAAAGCGGTCGGGGCCATCAAATTTCAGTCATAACAATAACACTGATAGCTCCCCGCTCGTAAAATAAGACCCGGAGTCGAGCAACCCTTTTTTTAAGGTCCGGGAGGAAGCTGGCCGGGATTTGTTGCTGTTGTCCTCATGTGTCTCGCTATCTCAAGCCCGTGTGTTGTTGTTTTAGCCCCAGCTTGGAAAACAATCAAGAGAACGCGACACTAAAAACCACGCACGTTTTGGCCCTCTTACTCCGAGGCACAGAAATTCGACAATGGCACTTGACGTTCTCCGGCGTGAGTTGGGCCCGTTGTGTTAGAAGGGGGTTAGGCAGGTCAAAGGGCGACGCCTAAAGCATTTAAATCCTTTTCGCACTTTCGACTGTCAGGGACTGGAGATGTGGCCCCTTTCCCCCTTTTACAGTGCCAGCTTGTTGCGTGTGAATTTCCATTTTCATTTCGACTATTTCCGGGGACAACACTGCGTATGACGTATGGAATGAAGAGGATTTGTGGTGGCAGTGGCGATGGCGATGGCATTCTATCCAGGAGTGTGGGAAGGAAGGGCGTCATGCTTAATTTTGGCCTAGCTTTTTAGAGGGGTATAAGGCCGTAAAATAGGAATTTGCTTTATTAAAATTTTTCGCTTGAAAAATATGAGACAACGGCAATGAAAATAACGCGTAAGCAAGGCGCGCGAACTGGGGCAAATGTTTGCCGAAAATCCGTATGGGACTGAGGGGCGCCAGGACGAAGGATGTGCGGCTGGGGCTGGGGCCTCCAGAACGAGGTAAAAATTTACTCAACTATGAACTTCTCCAAGTCCCAAAAACCCGTGTGTGCGTACTGGAATTTACGTATATAGTATATCCAAATATATATATATATATTATATATATGAGGATGTGTGTTTGGGGGGAAATAGGCAAAAATTTGCGACAGGGCGAAGGTTATGTTGATCCTTGTCTGGTTAGACTGTGTTCCTGGCATCCTGGCAAGGGTTCCGAAGTCATCTAGCTCTCGTCTGTGTCTGACAGTTGCTCTCCCCCCTTGGCATCACTGGCACCATGCTAACCTTCTCTCCTCGCCCGTTGGAATCCTTGCTCCTGTAACAACGAAATTTATATAAATTGCCCGTAATGCTGCTGGCTGTTCGACAACGTCAACAACAAAAACAACATGGTATGGTAAAAAGGGCACTTTCGGGGGGATTAGGATGGGAGGGGAGCGGAGAGGTGGTGGGGAAATGGGTAAATTGTTGTTGATTTTCAGCTTGTTCCTTTCACATTCTTTTGCCAAACAAATTATGTACGAAAAAGGCAAAATAATGAAATCGTAAAGAGTTTGGCAACGAATGAGTTCCTAACCCGGCTGCTCTGTGATATTTTTCTTATTTAAAATTCATTTCTGTCCTATAGTCCTTATACCTCACCCTCATGCCCACCCACAACCATCAACCCATCACTGTCCCCGCCATACTTTCTCCCTCACCCTCTCTCTCCTAGACATGATGCGTATGCAAATTGTTGGCCATATTAATCATTGCCAGTTGGTAGCGCCAGAGCTAAGTTTTATTTCATTTTTCTCCTTTTTCTGTTGCTGTTGTTGTTGTGATAAAATGCCAGAGGGGAAGAGAGAAAAGTAGTGGAGGAAAATGGAAGGACTTTGAGAGAGTTGGCCAGATTTAAAACTGCATTTCGTTGCTTATAAATAAACAGAGATGCTGGTGTACGGACGCAAGAAATAGTCTCTGCTGGAAAATTTATGAAAGCGCGAATAAAATGCTCGTTTCACGGCACTACCGGGAGTGGTCTGGAGCCAGGGGGGCTTCCAGGAGCAGGGCGGGCACTAACTGTTTCGCGGGGTTTTTCGGGACACTAAAAACAAGTGCAGCTGCCTTCATCTGACGACCGTCGCGTTAAATGCTTTTGTTGATTTTAGATGCGCCACTGCCGGAGGGTTGAAAAAACCCAAACCTAACACTATACCTCCTCCGAAACCCATACCCCCTTGGTTCAGAGAATTTAATAGTTTCGGCGGCGGCAAGAAATGAACTCCACAACTGCAGCAGTCTGCAATGTGTCTTGGCAAACAGACACGGACTACGGACAACAGACAACGGACTACGGACACGGATACGGACCACGCCCACAATTGGCTTTTGTGGCACGGCAAACGCGCTTTTTGTTTGGGTCCGGGAAATGTGTTTGTTTTTCATTAAAAAAGAAACGGAACAGAATGGTTCTGGCCAAGTTTTTGCCTTCGTTTGCCGTTCGTTTTTAATGCTAGAGCTGGGAAAACGGTCAAAGTTCGGCTCGGAATCCCCGAGGCTGTGGCAGAAGGGCTTTGCGGAATGTCCTGTTTTATTGCGGTCGGGATTCGCTTTGACTCGGGACTCCCGGACACCGAACACTGAACACTGGGCAATGGGTAGTGGGCAGCGGGCTATGGGATCTTTAAGTAAACACATATTTCATAATTCATCATACGGCGCCGCGATAGAAAGTCACGTTTTTAATAGAGGACCCAACGGACTCGCTGACCGGAGACAACAAATGGCCCCGAGGACAATTAATTAAGTGCATCGCTAATGAATCACTCTTCCTCTCTCCCTCTTTCTGCCTTTTTTTATGGTTTAGTTGTCATCGTCCTGGCCACCACTCCCTGCCACGCCCAGCAACAGAAGTTCCGCACCACGCCCCATGACCTGCAGGTCCTGGAAGGAGCCGAGGCCATGATGCGGTGCGAGGTGGCCAACCTGGCCGGAGCAGTTCAGTGGACAAAGGATGGCTTTGCTCTGGGCTTCTCGGCGGTGATACCCGGCTACCCCAGATACTCCGTCCTGGGAGATCGCAAGCAGGGCGTCTACAACCTCCGGATCTCGAATGCCTCGATTAGCGACGACGCCGACTACCAGTGCCAGGTCGGCCCTGCGCGGCTCAACAGTGCCATCCGGGCGAATGCCAAGTTAACAGTCATATGTAAGTATTAATATCATCTCATTAAGGGTATTCCACTAGTAAAAAAGGTACCATTTTCATGTTCTCATCGATTTCCCCAATTTTTAAGGAGGTCCATCAGGAAAATTTGAAAAACATCTAAAAAAATTACCTCTCAAGATTTTAATGCAGGTTAATAGAGAATTGTCCCCCGATTCCATAATGGTATACCGTTTGAGGATAAGATATATATTTTCCAAGATACAGCCCTTGCAAGGACCCATTTTCATGTTCTCCTCGACTTCCCCAATTTTCCAGGGTGTCCATCAGAAAAATTTGAAAAAAATCTTTAAAAAATTACCTTCCAAGATTTTAATTAAGATTTATAGAGAATCGTCCCTCGATTCCATAATGGTATTCCGTTTAAGGATCGGATAAATATTTTCCAAGATACAGCCCTCGCAAGGACCCATTTTCATGTTCTCCTCGACTTTCCCAATTTTCAAGGGTGTCCATCAGGAAAATTTGAAAAAAATCTTAAAAAAATTACCTTTCAATATTTTAATGCAGATAAATAGAGAATCGTCCCCCAATTCCATAATGGTATTCCGTTTAAGGATCGGATAAATATTTTCCAAGATATAGAAGACAAATATACATATAGAAATAGATCCAAAATATGTCATCTCTGAGCCGGGAATTTCTCCCTCGTCTGTGGTGCTTTCTTTACGAAGATATCTGGTCTTAAATCCTCCCGCCGACTACCACTTTGTTGGCTGCCTTTCTTTCTGGAGGCTGCAATTAATTTAAGTAATAAATACAAATGAATTTGTCACCAGGGGGCGACACTCACACACACACACCCACCAACACACCCACATAGATATCCCACTCACACACTTAGAGTGGCACACATTCCTCCTGTTTCTGTTTCCTGCTCATTGCACCTATGGAATTCTCACTAGAGAAATTTAAATGCGGGTCCTTGCCCCAGCCTCCTCCTTGGCTGCTGCTGCCACTGCTACTGCGCTGCTTTTGCTCTGCCAGCATTTATTGTCAGCAATTTGCAAAACACAAACAACGACAACAAAAACAACAGGGCCGAGCTGAATTTAGCGCAGTTTATTGCTCCAAGGAGCCAGGATAACTAGGATGAAGTGGAGTGAAGCAGTTCCAGTCTTTGGGAAATGAATTCCTTTTTATACTCTTTAAAAGAGGGTATTGTATGTTTTCTAAGGAGTTTTGACTTATCATAATATTATACATGGATTCATGATCGGAATAATCTTTAGAGGGCATATAGTAATTAGTCTTAGGGCTGATATTCGAGATTTTATAGTTTCTTAGAAACTAGTATCTTATTTTGAAAACTATTGAGCTTAAAATAGACTAGGTTTCTTATGAAAATATCATCATTCGAATGTCCTTTTTCTTAACCTCTATTTTAAATAAGACCTCCAAGAGTATATAAGTTTCGCATTATCTCACCTATATTTTTAGTCATTCTTTCTATCTTTTTTGTATCATTTTTTGTCTCTTCTCTTTTCTGTGTTTTTTGTTTCATTTTCGGCTGTTGCATTGTCGTCTAGTAATCACTTTGAATGCGATGCTGCTGGTGTAGTTGCTGTAATTGTAATCACTCAAGAAATTGCGCTACATTTGATGACAGCGATTTTCATTTCGCTTTGCTCTGCATTCAATTCGAAAGAAATTCCCTGACATCAAGCGACACCATGGCGATGTAAGGATGGAGGACAGACTCGTTGGTTACCAAGGACCAAAGCCTTAGGCCCAAACACCCTACACACACCGCCCTCTGACACACACGCGCGCATGCCTAATGACGTTTGTTTAGTTAATTACGCCCCATGAGCTGTGACAATGGCGACGTGTGTGTGAGGCCTTGAGGCCAACAGAAAAAAAAACCGTCAAGAAAAAATAAGGAAAATAAAATAAAGTCAAGAAAAAAAGCCAAGCCTGGCTCGAGGAGTTGGCTTGTTAGTGCTTCAGTGCGACGTAAGGTCGTCACATGGCATGCTTGTCATAACTGTGGATACTTGTGGATGCCACCACCCACTGCCATCCCAGCCCTTCCTCACCTTTGTTTTGTAATGAAATCTTCGTCTTGGATTTAAACACAAGATACATGTGTATCTGTTTCAAGGTATTTGGGCTTACTAAGAGTAGGTGGCTGTGAGTGTGGGTGGGTGCGGGTGCTGGTGTGGCACGAGGCACGTGCGACATTATTGCTGCAATTAGCCAAAGGGAAATGTGGACAAATGCGTAATAATTCAATTAAGTTCGAATTACATTTATTTGATTTATTCCTAAAGGCAACTTTCCGCCATTTACCGCCTCTGTTCCGAGCTCCCCCTTATTGAATATACTTGTACTTGTAAGTTATTGAAATTTAACATTTTTTATGGAAATCAATATCTGAAAGTTTCTCTACCTAATTTATAAGCAAAGAAAGTTGTAGTTTTCATACTTTTCATAGTTATAGAATATCCTATTCCCACATCATCACTCTGATAGCAAATCTTCCTTATAAGAAGATATGATTTAATTAAAACTTTTAGCAGATGGTCTATTAAATATTAATAGCACTCACCTTTTGTCTTTCTCAAATTAAATTTTTCGACTCGGTTACAAAGTTTGTGGAGCAACCAATTTGGCTGTAATGTTGCCTCATGGACTCATGTTAAAGTTGCAGGAGAATGTTCCTCCATCCAAAGGTATGCGCACTCGTATGGGCAAAAAATAAACGTGAGGGTGCAATTAGATTATAAGTTTTGCAAAAGCAAAGAACTTTTGCACACAAAAGTCCACGTGCAAATTTATGGAAATTCAGAGAATTTTTCGCATGCCATTAATTTTGAATAAAATAATAAAAAGAAGAAAAGGGGGGAAAAATGAAGCAAAAAGCATAAAATAAAATAGAGCCAAAAACACATATGCCGCAAGGAAACTGCACGGTCGAGGGCCATGCCATGACCATGTCCATGTCGGAGTCCGAATCCGAAAGCCAGGGCACAAAACTTTTGTGAGCCAGTTTTGGCTGGTGGGGGAGTTAGTGATATAGGGGTAATGGTAGTATCCCACAATGGCAAATGGAAAATGGAATGGCCGAAAAGAATGGAGAGCACTTGCAGCAGCCACCTTGGAGCGTTTATAAATTTTTGAATACAATACTCTACAAATTTAAGTCGACAATTCTCGTTGCTGCGGATTTCCTGCTTTCGGCCAATAGACGGACGCACTTCATTGATTTTCAAATGTCTGCGCATTTTTCAAAAGCACACTCTCCCACCCCTGGACTCTGCCCTGTAATTGAAGTGCAAATGAGGAAAGTTTTCATCTACCGGCTTTCCCGGAAAATATAGCCCGACATTTGTTATATGGTGCTGACCTTAAAGTCGACACCCAGAGCGCCTTGGGTCGCTACTCCTCCATCAGACCAGGCCTGATGGCTCAACTTACATCACAGTCGGCCACATTTTGGCCCAAAAAACCGAAAAAAATAGAAAACCCAAACTCCCGCTCCTGCTCCAGCTTCAAAGTTGACGTCAAACGAAAAAAATGGCCAATTCTTGCCGTCGCCTTGGATTGGGTTAAAGTTGGAGGTGGCAATGGGCGATAGCTGGGGGGCGGGTGGTGCAAAAAGTATTCCGGCGCATAAAACTTTTATGAGGCGTACTATTAGTGGGTTAGCCGGGTGTCGTACCCCGAGGGGAGAGTGCTGCTGCAGAAAAAAAATGAAAGGGACCCAGAGAGTCTGGGTGGAGTAGTCCAGTGTTCATGGCAAATTGCACTTTGTGTACTCGCCTGCCAGGAATCCCAGCTATATAGAAACTGAAGCTAAAGCTCTGTTGCCGCTCCTCCGGCGGCTGGGGCTGCTTCTGCTCCTGCCAGGACCGTTATTGCAGCCATTGTTGCATAAATTATTTGATGCCAGCTAGTAGAGCACTCAAAGAAGCTGCATTGCCCCACCATTGCCCCGGCTCCATTACAGCCAAACCCCCACCCAGCCATCGTCAGGCTCCACTGTCATGTGGGTCGCGGCTTATGCATAAAATTTAATCAACTTTTAACCCTAACCAAGGCCAAATTTATTCTACACCTTGGGGGTTCCCGAGAAGTAACAAAAAATGCAGTGGTTACCCTTTCTAAACATATATTATTAAGTAGTTTTAGTTAAGGTGTCATTTAATAAAAGGATGTACTTAGAGATGAAAGGAGTTTCTGTGTTTCCTTAGGCAATCATTGTCCTTAATTCACAAGCCTTTAAAAATCAAGTTATGAAGATAAATTATGAGCAAAATTACTTTTTTTCAGACTAATCATATCCTACAATTTTTCTTTTGTGTAGAATTGTTCAGAGGCCTTTCTGGGGCAGCTCTCGTCACTTCTAGGGCGATACTGGGGCCCCTCGTTTGTCAATAATCAAATACAATATGCATACCAATCAACAATGCACATACCCCACGTTCCAATCCACAAATGTACATATTCCAAATTCTATATGGTATATATATGTATATATCTATGTACATATGCCACATACTCCTTCATTGTCCTTACACTTTTCCCCAGGATGGCAGGCCACGCTTTGGCATAAATCGAGTTGCATTTGCCAGGACTTGGCGCAAGAAAAATCATAAAATGTGCATATATTTCGCATTTTAACTATGCAGCACGCGCATTGCAAGTCCCCTTTAGTCCACCCCCGCCTTGCCCCTGGCTACGGTGTGCCAAATATTATGAATTTTCAATGCACGTACCACCCAGTCCGCCTCGGAAAGGCCCCCTCTTTGGTCCGAAGGCCACCGAACAATCTGTATAGCCAGCGGTGGCACGGCGACACCAATTTCGGCATACAAAGCCTTTAGTCAAGGTTGATGCTGCACCGGGGCTGGATGATCTGGGTTTGCCAGTGGCATTTCCTCAGGCCGAAGGGTTTCGCCTCGCACAGCATAACAAGAGCATCCTTTTCCCCAGCTAGAGCCTTGGAAAATCCAAATCGAAAAGTTGCACTCAGTCTTTGGCACGCAGGGAATATAAAGATAACAGAAAGGGGTAAGAGAATTTTTAAATTAAATACAAATGGAATTATTAAGACAGCAACTCTCATTAAATTGAAATTAAATCCTTTTTAAACTTCCCACTAAGTTTTTCATTTATTATATACCTAAACTCTCCTTTGGTTTCATATTTCATTTAATCCAAAACATTAAAGCCTCGTGTTTAATAAAATCACGAAACAACTACGTAATGTCCTCCCTTGGATTATGTGAATGACTCCTGATTTTCTGAATCTGATTTATGTATTAGATTTGATTTGATTTGCGCATAATAATTTTTCGCAGCCACTGGCGATGCTAAACTTGACAAAATCAAAGGAAAAAGGACACTGTCTCTCGCGGTGTTGATTTCATTTGTGTGGCAACAAAAGCAATTACCTCGACGCAGGATGATACCTCAGACAACTCTACCCCAACTCGTTCCACCCCCAACATCTCACACCCACCCAGTTAGTGGCTGCCACCTAGCCCCACAGCCCTCTGGTGCGGCATTAAGCATTCATTTTGCATGCAACAACTTCTGGAGCTGTTCGCGGAGCAGACGGCGACATATGTTGCATGTCAAATGCAAGACTCCCCGGCCATGTGGGAAAAATGTGTAGGAGGGAACCCGCCCTCGCGTAGGCTCCACTTTCAACTTAGTGCTGTGGCAATGGCAACCAAACTCCTTCAGGTGGCATTAAAATAATGCACACGTGCACTTAACTTTATCCACGTTCCTTGTTGTTTGTTTCGTTGCTCGCTCGTACTTTCATTCGTTCCCTTGTTTGTTTCTGCATCTGCTGCATTCATGCACCAAATACATGCTACGGGGCCCCCCCCATCAGCCGCGTCCGTCTTGCAACATGCAACACCCACCCAAGCACCAACAACAAGAAACACTCGGCACCACCCAGGCATCGTTCAGCATTGTTTCGCCGGGTGGGTCGTGTATATTTCAACAGTTTGCCAAGGCAAGCCGGCTCAGGAGGAGTCCTTGTAGTCCGCCCCCACCGCCCAACCACCCACTATCCTTCAGCCAGTCCACCGCCCCGTCCCTGGTGCTCCCTGGTGAGCGCAAATATTGAAACTCATATTTGAGAACATTAACGAGGGAAATACCACACAGAAAACTCGAGATTCTTGAAATTGTGAAATATTGTTCTGTGATATACGAAATATTTGGTTTAAAACTTGAATAAGTTAGTAAATTAATTAAGTTAAAATATTTAAAACACTCCAGTTGATTAAATTTAGAAGCTATTTCAAAAGATACACCTCTTTTAGAGTCACACGTCACAAACTTAAAACAAAACATTATTTTCCACTGTGCACCAAAAGCTGGCTGCGATGAAGTGCTTGTTGCTTAGGCTGGGGGCAGGGTGCTGAAAAGCTGGGAGGGACTGCTGCATAGAAGATCTCCGTTCTTGGCACATTCTTACCCCATGCCACATCTGGCATTTCTGTTTCTGCATACGCGGCCATTCAACCTGGAACCTTCAACAACAATGTCGTCTGTCGTCGCATAAGCACAATGCATTATACGGCCACGCCCATTGCGCCCACAAATGCGCCCCCTATAATGCCATTGTGGGCCATAATGAGCAAAGCTTCCCTGACAGCCATTAGCCTTTGTTTTGGACCTCCATTTGTGCCACCACCTCCATCGGACAGCCTCTAATCGTTGCCACTGTTTTCTTGTTTCCCTTGCAGCTCCGCCAGCCTCGATCGAGATCAAAGGTTACAGCCACAATTCCAAGGTGGAGGTGCGCGAGAACCAGGACCTGCAGCTCAAGTGCATCGTGTCCAATGCTAAGCCGGCGGCCCAAATCGTATGGTATCGCGGCAATGTGGAGTACAAACCAGGTTAGTAGCAGCCTTCACTCATAATATTTAATTTTTATTAATTTACATGATGGGCAGGTAGAGTGTGGACAAGGTATAGGGATTACTCTTAAGGATATTCAAGGATTGTGTAAATATTTAATTAAATTAATCGCAGCTTGTCATGATGGCTATAATAAAAAGAAAACTATGGAAATGCCTGGAAATAAAACCTATTTGGGGCCTCTGAGTTAGACTTCGATTATGTGAAAATATAGCAGCAACGGATATTTAACTGCTTGGAACAACATGGGTTATGAGAACATAACAATATACATTTTCTGGCTGGAAGACATTATGCAGAATACAAAAAGTGTAAATGGGTTTTGGCCATGGCCTTTTCCTGGGATAAGTGCGGATCAGGATGAGGCAAGGGTCCGTGAAGGTGGAACACAAGGATAAGAGGGGGCCTCTAAAAGAGCCAAATGAGAACGAGGAGATGGGCAAAGTGACGCCTGTCAACCGTTTGGCCATCGCACATGTGAAATGATAGAACGAACAGGACGATGTGAGCAGGATGTGAGGGTCTGACAGGACGAGGGGGAAATGGACGTCGACTTTCGGCTTGATGACGGTGCTTAAATAATAATTTTATACCGGAGTTGCCGACAAAGCGCCGACTGTCGATGTTCAAGCTCTTATCTGCCCTGTGGTCCGCGTGTCCTGGCCAGGATCCTGGCCGGGGCCATGGCCGAGGTCCTGGTGTTTGTGCCTTGTCATTTAGCCGCTGCCGGGCAGTCAGCAAATTGGAAAACAGAGCTGCTGGAAAATATGGAAAAATGCAAATGTCAATGGTGGGAGTTTTAGGCGAGCTCTCTACGGTCGGTGGCCATCACACGGCGTTTAGCCGCCTTCACGACTTTTAATTTTCATAATGATTATGGCCATACACCCCCCACATGAGGGCTACATGGGATGTTGCCCCTTTTTTCGTTGGATGAGGAGGATGCCCACGTCCTTTTGGCTGTCATTTGGCCGAGTAACGAAATCATTTTAGCACAACTGGCGCGTTAAAAATGCTTAAAATGTGAAACGCACGGCGACAGCGACGATGATGATGGAAATTTTTCCTGTTTTCTTTTTTTTTTTTGAAAAAAATATAAAAAACAAAACAACCAAAAAAACACAAGCAAAAACAGAAAAGAGGGAAGAAAATTCGCAAAACGGGCGTTAAAATGTAGGAAAATCCGCAAGGAAATGTGGACAGCGGAAGGAAGCTGCATGATGAATTATGTTTATGACGCAATATGTTGCGGCAGGGAATCTGGCCGGACCCCAAAAACTCTCCTTCTGACGTGTATGTGTGTGTGTAAGGGTGTCCCGTGTATTGCCCCGGACCGGGGTTTACGACAATGGCCAGTTTCGGATCCGGGGCCCTGTATCATTTGCAAGCTGTCAGGGCTCTACGACTGCGGGTGTGTGTAAACGCCCGGGGTGTATGCGGGCAGGGAGGCGCGTAAATGGCGGTTAATGTGGGCAGACGGCCATCTTGGTGATTACCCCCAAGGAAAAAATACAGACCATGGGCCCGGCGATTCAACAAGATAGTTGCTTGGGCGGTAGGTGGGGAGGCGCCCATTTTTTATGCCACACTTTTCAGCGCAGATGAGACTCGTTCAAAATTTATAACCGAAAATGATGTCACAAAATGCTGTTGCTGGTGTGGCAACTATGGGGGTTAAAAGTTCTTACCCTAAAAAAATTAAACCACATAAAAAAAAACAAGGATAAATTATCAATAAAAATAATTATTGCCAAGACTTAAAAAATACTGTTTTTTTTTTTATTTTTCAAAGAAACACCTTCTTGATTCTTCTACGAACTCATTAAAATACTCGCCTTCTCGCTAGATAGATAATAATAATCATTATTTCAATTATTTTCTACAGAAAAAGGAGAAGACCTGGTGGAGGAGACATCCTCCAAACGGTTCACCACCACATCCAGCCTGAAGCTGAAGCCAGGATCCGATGACGACTACACGGAGTACACGTGCCAGGCCAAGCACAAGGCCCTCTCGCCGGACATGCCCATGCGAGTCACCGTTCAACTGTCCGTGTTGTGTGAGTAGCCCCTGAGCCTCTGAGCCTTTCCAGCTGCCATCTGTTATGGGAGGTCCTGGCGTGCCGGAGTCCCGGTGCCCGGCCGGAGGGAGACGCGTGGGCGACCTCATTAGCCGGCTCAATTTGCGATACAATTGAACGTGCGATTGCGTGTGTGCGTGGGGGGTTGTGTGGGAGTGTGTGTGTGTGGAGCGGGTGTTATTTTTTTGGTTGGTACTGTGAGAGGTACTATGCACCCCCATTAAGCACCAGACGTCGGTATTTCAGGCACTGACAGAAAATAAGTGATATTTTTTAACAAAGAATCCTTTTCAATTAATACAATTCTATTATAGTTTATCTATGCCCCTGAAAATTATTAAAATATTACTCAGATTTTAATTTTATACCGTATCTCGATCTAGAATCTTTTCTCTCAGTGCAGGCAATGAATTTTTTGTGCCAGTCACCGTTGGCCTGACCCGATGCGGATGCCATTTGCCATCACGGCCGCTAATTGCGCGATTCGGGCGCGTATTAATTAGTTTTTAAATTCTAATGTGCCGCACAGCTGCCACTGCCTCTTGTGCCACCGCTCTGCCTCGGCATCTCTTCTGGCATTCCAAATACGAATGTGAATTGCGTTGCACAGGAGTGCTAGCCATTACGAATGCCAAAAGTTCTCATATTGATTGTTGCCGGCATTGGGAATGCCGATGGCAGAGGCGACGGTGACGGTAGCAGTGGCTTGCCCCTGAGGCACCTACCTGCCGTTACCAACCTACCAAGCACCCACCCACCAAAGTGGGAGTAACTGGAAGCTCCACCTGCACGCACATTCAAATTAATTATGTTTGTTATTTATGCATAGGCAGCTGGCAAATGGTGGCCCCAACTGCCACAGTTCGTTGGCCATTTCGAGCAACGCTGGCCATAGCACTCCCGTCGCTATGTAATTGGCAAAAAAAGGACAAAAGTCGCGTCCACCGACCAGTCGACCAGCCGACCAGCGACCAACGCTATCTGGCATGGAATGGAAAACGGGATATATACCCTTTCATTTTTCCCTTCCTGTGGGGGCTTAATTATGGCGCTATTATTGCATCCTCACTGCCTCATCTCGGCGTGGTCGTACCATATTTCAAGTGATTTTAATTTAATTTTCCATTGCATGCCTGCAGGGGATATATGTATGTGTATGTCCCAATGTATATGTATTTGTGGATGTCCTGCTGCCCTATGTGTACTTGCGAGTGTGTGTGCGCTTGGCAGCTTTTATGCTTCACCTGATTGCTGCTGTTGATTCAATACGGTTGACCGCTTGTCAAATTCTGATAAAGAAAATGCATTACATCCACGCCCGTAGCGTAATATTCCGGTTTGCTGATTGGTGATAATCAAAACCGGATAAGTATTAATGCGTTTCAGAGCTCTCCCTATGGATAACTATGCCTACATCTAATAGAACTACCACTGATCCCCCCCTTCTGGTGACAGAACTACCAATTATTCTGGACCCAGCTATATCCTTTTTTTTTCACTATTATTTTTGCGGTAGTTTACACTATTATTAATCGCCCACTGTCACGCCCACAACAAGGGAAATTACCGACGCCCGAAAGGAGAAAAAAAAGAGTATAAACATTGAAATCGGAAAATAATGCATATGACCACATAAACGATTTGCATGCAAACACTCCAATTAAAAATTACATATTCGAGCTGTAAACACAGCAAAATGCCAGCATTCAGTGGCTGTTTCCAGCCGGTTTTATTCGTTATTATTTATTTTTTTATTTTGGTGTTATTCTAATCCCGTAGATCCACCGGGACCGCCGTACATCGAGGGCTACTCTCCGGGCGAAACACTGCGTCGTGGACAAACCGTAGAACTCATGTGCCGGAGTCGGGGCGGCAATCCGCCAGCTCAGCTAATTTGGTACAAAAATGGATCCCAGATACGTATGGCCTACAGGTAATGAAGATTTGTTTTAAAAATTTTAGCCTTAATTTAATATTAACTGTTGTATATTTTATTTCCATAGAACATCTGGTCGATTATCGGAGAATATCTATACCTTTACCGCCGAGGCGGGCGACAACAAGGCCAGATTCCGGTGCGAGGCCAGCAATGTAATGTCCCAGACGCCTCTGAAAGCGGAAGTGGAGCTGTCTGTCCTGTGTAAGTAGAGAACTAATGAAATCTTACTGGCTTTGTCTCCAGGCCAGGCCGGCTAATTGCATAGCCTTGAAAGGGTTAGTCTGACGGGCATCTTAGAAATGAAACTAAATCCCTTCCGAATTAGTAGTCTTCATTAGGATTCATCATTAAAAGTAAGGGGTATTTAATAGTCGTTATAGCCATATCTAATTCAAAGCCCATCTAGATTAAAAGCCGTTGGGTTGGATGACGAATGCGGGATTGGATAAGGCATAGTTGAGAGCAAGCTCTCCGAGATGTGAGGACTGGATTGTGTCAACAGCCTGGCTTGGCTGTGGCATCTTCCAAATTCCATAGAGCCAAGGCACTTGGCACGCGACATATGAGGAGGGGTGGTGCGAGGGTTTTAGGAAGCAGCCGCCTCCCCTCTGAAATAAGCCTTCATCCCTTTCCGCGCGTCTGTTGCTTTCTTTTGCAATTAAGCCTAAGTTTGCACTTTGGAGGCCTCTCCAGGCCTGGTCCTCCGTCCTCGGTCCTCCGCCCCCTGCCTCACTTGGCTTTGTCAAATCAAGCAATGCAAATTCTTTTCAAGTGCCAAATAGCGCAGAGCAGCCTCTCCCTGGTGGGGGACGGGCTCCTCCCTGGCAGCTTGTTAGAGTTACAACAATTGCAATCAGGCGCACAAAGCTGGCAAAATGGGAAGCTGACAGATGGGCGGAGATGGAGAGTGGGGCGGACGATGGGTGATGGGCGGGAACGACGCGGTGCCAAAGTCGTTAGCGACACTTGGACAGACCTTAGAGAAGCAGAGACCAGCAAACATTTGCATGCCACATCCCCAAGATCCTCCACCACACGTGGTTGCTACTTACGCTTCATGTGTCTAACATGTAAATGGATGAGGTGGCCGCTCAACGCGGCGTATGCGCGATATTTAAAATTCAAGTGCTCGGCAGTCCGCTGAAATTGGCATCTTTTACCTGAAGCAGACTTTAAGTGAGTGTGGCATGTGTAACGCCCCCCTGTAACGCCTCCAAGCCGGCACAAGCAGAAACAGGGGGAGTAGAAGCCACCATTTTATGCGCATACCAATCAAAGTCTCGTGCAGGTCAGGCCTGCCCACGCGACCCCATCTTGCCCCAATAAGTATGCCACATTGAGTGGCCAGCACACGAACAGTCGCACACTAGCCAGGCACTGCCAGAGAAAAAAAACTCGTATGAGTCTATTAAAAAGGAAATTAAAATGTATTGTAAATAAGTAAAATACTAAAACGAATGGCTAAGCCTTTTAAAATAAATCCTTTTTTATAGAGCACCAAAAAATCTTCATTGTCTTTGGCAAAAATATCTCATATCTCTGTTTCATGAAAAAAAGAATTAAACAAAAGGATTAGCTTATTTTTGTCCAGTGCATTGGAGAGATAGCAGATGTAGCCTCAGATGGCAGTAGGGGCTCTTAGCACACGCATTATTTATGTATAACGAATGTGGAACAACAAAACTGAAGACTTAGCAGGAATACATTCAGCATCAGCATTCTTTTCGCCCCAGCCACCCACCGAAACGTGTGTGTGTGTCCGGAATGAAGATGTATGGCTCAGTTGGACCGACGAAAGATGCGAGAAGTTAAGAATTCATAATGTTTATTTATATGCGGAACATATCGAGTCGAAAGTTTTGTATTCCCTTCGCGCAAGGCTATAGAAACGAGCTGAGGCAAAGGCAAAGGCAAAGACGATAGCAAAGGCAACGGGCATACGCTGCGTATGCGTAATGTATGCACTTATCCATCAAGGCACCGGCAGCTGCAGCTGCTATTCGTGCCACTCCTCTTCGATGGCATTAGGTAATAGCTCCACAGACCGACTGACTGACGGACAGAAGGACTGTGGGAAGGATGGAGGAACTAACTGACGGCCTGCTGTCAGTCACTCAGTCATCATTTGCATGGTGGCAGCATCAGGAGCCGACAGACCTCCCCAAGGCTATTAGGGTAACAAGAAACAAGGCAGCGTCATTGGGTTTGAGGTAGCATGGTGGCAAGAGTTTGCCACAAAACCTATTACATATTAATGCCACCTTCATTATGCGACGCCCTGTAACCGGAATCAAGCCAAAACTCAAACTTCTCATACCATATTATACATATATATATACTCCATACAGTTGCACCCACCTACGTCACCGTAATGGGACCCACCGAGGCCCGGGTCGGCGATATTGTGCCACTGACATGCACCACAGCGCCATCGAATCCGCCCGCCGAGATCAAGTGGATGGTTGGTGGGCGGCAGGTGCGCAATGCCACCTCAAAGACGATTGTCAGTCCCGAGGGTAAGTGGTGCCAGCTTTTAGCTCCTGGCTTTCAGCTTCCAGCTCCCCAACTCTCTAGCTCCCAGGCTAACAGCTGACGTCGTGACATAATCTCCAAGCCCCCAAACCTAATCCATTTCCATCTCTGTCTGTCATCGCAGGCGGCTGGACGACCAGCTCGAACATCACCGCCACCGTGGAGCCCAACAAGCGCTCTCTGGTCGCCATCTGTCACGGACTCAATATGCAGCTGACCGAGAATGTGGTCTCCACCCACACCATCAATGTTCTGTGTAAGTAATACCTTTAATATTTTATATTTATTTCATAAAATAAATGATTTCACCAAGCGGGGAACAAACTAAACTCGGAGAAATGAAGTTTTGCCTTTGACTTCAGTATTAAATAGTTTTTTATCATTGTTTAGTGAAAAATTCTCGATTAGGCTACTTTCGTACCCTTTTTTTTAAGTTTTTGGATATCGTAATTGAATTTCCTGAAAAGAGTTCACCATGGCTGAGTTCCCGATGTGTGTGACGGAGTCGCAGCGTGAGTTGGCCCGGCTTACGGAGGAGGAGCACCAGACCGCTATCCAGAAGGTCAAGGAGCGGAAGAAGGTTGCCAAGGCGGCAAAAAATTCGATTCCTGGTGGAGACCAGGCCGTAATGCGCCACAAAATGTGGCTGCAACACCGCGAACGGGTCAAGGAGGCGATCAGCACGGTGGACGCCGCGCCTCCCACCTTCCAGGCTGCCCGCATCACCGGGGTGAACAATCTGCGGGACGAGGCGGTGAACTTCATGAAGCGCACCAAAGCGAATATCCAACTGCTGGTGGAAATCTCCCGGACGATGCGCACCCACGGAGCCATCAACCCGTTTCGAAATGAGGGGGTGCACGCCGTCTCTGCCGTTCCTATGATCCTTCTCAGTCTGGAGAAATTGGAGCAGGAGAACCGCGAGTTTGGCAAGCGTATTGCGGAGGTGACCAGTGAGGTGGACTCGGGCCTGTCCGACCAGTTGGCTGGGGGCCGGAACACGGCAAAGCTGCCGCCCCTGGAATTACCCGAGGCGGCCATGGCCAAGTATGAGGCCTTCAATATCGAGCTGCCCGAATCGGACGCGGAGCTTCGCCGACTTTTCCGGCCGCGCATATACTTCGAGCTTTACCTAAAGGATGCCCGGCCATTGGGCCGCATTGTGGTCCAGCTATACACAGAAGCCTGTCCACTGGTTGTGCTTCAACTGATCCGTTCCTGCATGTGCAACCAGCACCAGAAGTTCCTGGTCAAGCGCCTCTTCCCTAACCTCTGGCTGGAAGCGGACCTGCAGCTCTCCCAGGAGTCGCTGCTCCATCAGCCCCTGGAGTACGACGCCAAGGTGATCGACCACGGAGAATCCGGCTACGTGCTCTCCTTCAGCAAGGCCTACGTCAAGGGATTCACTCAGCACTTGTCCTTTGCCATCTCCTTCAAGCCCCTTAATGTGGTTAACGGCTCCAGGGTAGGATTCGGGCGAATCGTGAAGGGCAGCAAGATTTGCGATTGCATCCAGAGCTACGGCACTAAGAACGGCAAACTCAGCCGGGGTTTGGTCTTCACCAGCTGTGGACTTTTGTAAATCGAGTGTTGACAAGCTCTAAATTGTACATGTAACAAATCCGAGAAGTCCTTCCCGAGTACTCGTACTCGCACACACACACTATCGTTTTTAATGCCTCGAATAAAGTTCCAATTATATGTACGCAGGACCCTGGACCTTGACAGGACCTCCTCCCCTCCTCCAATAGCCACAGAGTGACACGTTGCTGCCGTGCGACAACTGCAAGTGTCTTGAAACTCCATTATCCGATGTTCGGTGTCACTCTTCATTAGCCTCAATTATAAGCGGAGGTTGTGACAAAAAAAAGGACAACACGCAGGGAAAGATAGATTCCAGGGATGATAATGCCAATTGGGGGGTGGCTAGCACAGGGAAAAAACTATTTAAAAACTATAGATCTAAAGCTGACTATAGGTTCAATAGAAACTAATACTTCCAGAGTAGTTTGAGAAAAACCAATTCCCTCCTTTGAAACATAACTCTTACTTCTAAGAATCTCAAAAGCAGATAATCTACTTCTTCTGAAAACATAATAAATTAAATAAACTAATATAATCCATAATTCTCTGTGTGAAAGGTAGATTTTGTAGGACGGGGGGCGGTTATTCGAGGGAAAAGCCTGTGAGGCAAATCACTCGATAACACTCGGCCGTGGGGGAGATTGCGAGTTACCAAAGTCAGGGCTTATTAATAATTGCGATTCCTAGTTTCGGTTTATCCCAGCTAGCACACGCCCCAACAGCCTCCATCCGCCCCCTGCCAAACACACCCCTCTAGCCATAGAGTGGACGTCCTTTGTGAGCGCTCTCCTGCAGCGCTAATTAATTTTTCTGACCAACATCACAGAGCAGGAGTCGCGTAGCGAGCGAAAAAAAAGGCGCCGAGGAGGTGGTGGGGGTGCCCAGAGATTTACATTTATTACCCATACCATGGAGCACTGAAAATGACTAACAGGCCCCAAGGTAATGAGCAAACCACTCCATCCTGCCCATCCGCCACCCTCCAGATCCTCGAGCTCAATCAAGGACGAGGCGATGTGTGCGTGTATGAGTGTATGAGTGCGCGGGTCCTTGCATGGTCATGCCTTAAGGATGCGGACGCCCTGCGGATATTTTTACTTTATGCGCGGCAAATTAAATAATTTTAATTTTTATTGTTCGGCCGCTTTTGGCAGCTCTCTCCCTGTCTTTTTTGCTGGACAGGACCCAGCCCAGCGGTGGTCCTGATGGTCCTTTTGCTATTATTGTTGTAGGCCATAATTTGCTGGCTCGTGGCTAAGTTTTTGGGGCCACAATTTGTTCTCGAGTTTCCCCCGCCCCCCCTGTCTAGCTTGGTGCTCTTTTGTTTGTCTTTTTTTCATTTTTTTTTTTTTTTTGTGTTTGGACTGGAAACGTTTTTCTTATCCCTCGTATCCTGCGTCTGCATCCACAGATCCACCCGCGCCGCCATTAATTTCTGGCTATATAGAGGGACAAATTATCCCAGCTGGGTCGGTGCAAAAACTGCTCTGCGTTTCATCAGGCGGCAATCCGTTGGCGACGCTAACATGGTATAAAAACGACAAAAGGGTGAGTACAACATTTTTCCTTTTTTTTTTAAGGACCCATCCTCCACACCTTCCCACCCCCCAGCTTTTGTTTGCATTTCCAACAGTCAGAAAGAGAGAGGGAGCACTATCAACAGCAGGCAGCAAACATCCGCAAAACAATAATGGCGCTTTTGTTGACCATTTCCGTTTCCGCTTTATGGGCTTAAAGTGCTAATGAGCCACTGCCACTGCCAGTGCCACTGTCATTGCTGCTGCTGCTGCTGCCGCTACTAGGTGGTTCTAATGCCAGAACGATTTCGGTTTCACACCTTCCATTGGCCAATAATCGAGCCACCACACAGAGCGAAACTATCGTTAAAACTTTACCCATTATCAGCTAAAACAAAAGAGGTATAAATACAAAAAAAAAACAGGTGGATAAAATACCACCCACAACCGCAGCTCATCAGGCACACACACAGACACACTTCTGTATGCATGTCTATGTATAAGTGGCAGGTGGAAAGTGGATAGTGCACCTGCAGGTTCAGGTGCGGCTTCCTGTTTTAACGTTTCCCATTTGTTGCGGTGTCAGAGTTTTCATCTCCGCCTCCGGGGACTCATCTGTGCTCTGCCCTGCTCTGCTCTGCTGTGCTTTGCTCTGCTTTTGCCTTTGCTTTTCCGTACCCAGATTAGACGACGTTTTATCAGCGAAATTAAAATGCATCCGCCAGCTGGGCGCTTTTCTGAAATGCATCCCGACAAAAAAATGTATAACCTCCTCTTTTGCAGATCAACTCGGTTATCCGCTCGGCGGACAAGTCGGTTTCGGCCGAAATCACCGTTCTGGCGAATGTGTCCGACAACCAGGCCCAGTACCGCTGCGAGGCCTCCAACAGCGCCACCGAAATACCCCTCTTCCAGTCCACCACACTAAGTGTTCACTGTGAGTATAAATTAGAGCATAAATTATAATGATTTTTAATAAGATTTTAAAAAAAGCATGACCGTAAGCATGATAACCATTTCTTTGAGTGCAGTCCTGAGGAAAGGTTAAGGGTTTTCGCTGCTTCTGCATCCATTCTCATTGTCCATTGGCTTGTGTGTATTTGCAGTTGCCCCGGAGACGGTCAAAATACGCATTGAACCGGAAGAACTGCGACCTGGCATGGAGGCAACAATCATCTGCGACTCCAGCTCTAGCAATCCGCCGGCCAAGCTGTCCTGGTGGAAGGACGGCATCCCCATCGAAGGTATGTACGGCTGGTTTGGCTCGACTTTGGCTTGGCTTGGCTTGGCTGGGCTTGACTTGGCTTTCGGGCTCATGGACTGGTGGACTAACGGACTCACAGACTCACGGACTTTTGGACGCTATGAGCCTGGCCAGGCGATTTGGCAATTGGAAGTTTGCCCATCGCAATTCGGTATTCGCCATTCGGCATTTTCCATGGACTTGCCGGCGCCGGTAGTGCACTTTGTTGGTGCGAGGCGTTTCCACGACAACATCCGGTTCGCTTGCCAGTCACTAAAATTACGCCCATTTCTTCTCTGCCCAATTCCATGTCCGCCCACCGGAATCCCTCGCATCTGCCATTTGGTACACTCGTATCTGGTAACTGGTATCTGGCATCCCGACATTCGCGTTACACACACACACAGGCATTAATAACACGTCCAAGCCGGGCCTCTGGGGCGGCACGGTCTCTACGCTGGAGTTCCGGGTAAACATCACACAGGAAATGAACGGCCAGGTGTACACCTGCCAGAGCGCCAACGAAGCCCTCCAAAGGAGCGTCCACGAGGCGGTCACCCTGGATGTGCTGTGTAAGTGCACCGGCTAATTGCTCAATTAGAGGCATCTGCAATCTCTATTCGAATCCATAAGGGCTGTCACAGAAATCCTTAGGGGTCATATTATAAATTGTGGGATGAGGGATTTATGTGACAATGCTTGGATTTGGAAGGACCTTTCATATCCCTAACCCACAAATATAACCATCCGCAGATCGCCCAAAATTTGTGCCACCACCTTCATCGACGGCGGTGGGTGTGGAAGGCGAATCGCTCCAGGTTTCGCTGCAAACTCGCGCCAATCCAACCACCGTCACCTACAAATGGACCAAAGACGGCATTGCCATTCCACAGGATGGGGAGCATCGCATCTTTGCAGACGGAGGAAGCCTCAATTTCACAAGGCTTCACAGGGATGATGCCGGAATCTACTCGTGCACGGCCAGCAATTCGCAGGGCAAGGCCACCCTAAACATCACCGTGGTGGTGGAGTGTAAGTAATCGATCTGTCCCTCTGGGGATATCCATTTAACCAAGGAAGTTTCTCTAATCGCAATTCAGACGGGACCACCATCAAGTCGGTGTCCGAGAATATAGTCGTGAATCCTGGCGAGGATGCGATGCTATCGTGCACTGTGGAGGGCAAGCCCCTGACCGAGGAGCACGTAAAGTGGGAACGGGTCGGCTACGACATGACAGTGAAGACATCGACCACTTTTGCCAACGGCACCTCCTACCTTCACATCAAGGATGCGCGACGCGAGGATGTGGGCAACTTCCGGTGTGTGGCCGATAATCGGGTTGCTAATCCAACCAATCGCGATATCCTGCTAATTGTTAAATGTGAGTTTATATTTAAAATTGTTATCAAAACTGTTATAAATATTTTAAGAGGTATTTTTTAAATATTAAAAAACTAACATTTCTATTAAAATCCCTTTCCAAAGTTTCCCCGGAAATCGCCAAGGCAGCTACCCTTCTCAGAGCTGCTAGTGGAACGGGAGAACGTGGAAGACTGCCCTGCCGCGCCCAAGGATCCCCCAAGCCTCAGTTCATTTGGCGCCAGGACAAAAAGGACCTGCCCATCAACCGAACATACAAGTACGAGGTGGAGGAGCGCAAGATCGACTCCCTGACCTACGAATCCACCCTGATCGTGGACAAGGTGGCGCCGGCGGACTACGGGGCGTATGAGTGCGTGGCCCGCAACGAACTGGGCGAGGCGGTGGAGACAGTGCGTCTGGAGATAACCTCACCACCGGAAACGCCAGTTGTCCTCAATATCCTGAACGTGACCCATGACACGGTGACTGTGGCCTGGACGCCTGGATTCGATGGCGGCCTAAAGGCCTCCTACCGAGTGCGCTACAGGTTAGTTTATATCTTTAATCTTTCTACAATTTTCACGTTTATTTTCACAAATCTTTCTAATGAAACCACATACATTTTATTGTTTATTTATAGAATGGCCGACCGTGAGCAGTACAAATATGTGGATGGACTACCGAATAGCCACAAACTGACCATCGGCGGGCTGCGCATGAATTCGCTCTATCTGTTCTCGGTTATGGCCTGGAATGATCTGGGCCAAAGCAGTTACCTGCCGGACTTGGCCCGGGCCCAGACAAAAGGTAAGCCTCCGTTCAGTTCAATATTCAAATTATCCGCGAGAAGCACTCGAACGATTCGCTGGCTGGCTGGCTGCCTGTCGATGCCTGACATTGATTTATGCCAGTCGGCCATTTGGCTTTTATGGTTACCGAACCTGCTAGTACAATAGGCCAATACCTGGGCTCCGCTCTACGCCCGCCCCCAAAAGACTCCGTGGCGGAATCTGTAATGTGTAACTACGGTTGGTGGTGGCCGGGCAGTCAAATTTGTGAAATTAATTAGATAGCCGTATGATAAGCAGCCATCGGACTAATTAGACCCGAACCGTCGAAACGAATATTCGCGCCATTCAAACGAAATAATTGATGAACCGAAATTGGATCAAAACTGGATTTATGCGGAAGTGTGTTTACACGGAAACGGGCTTGAATAGGATATCAGTATCGGAGTTATTTTTAGGAGCTAAATCCTGTGCCACCATCAACTTGTTTCATAGATTTCCCCTTTGGATTTGCTTTGTTTTCTCACCTTTTCATCTCCTCCGAATCTTTGCTGCACCTAATTGGAATTGCATTACTCTCCACTACTCCAAACAACAACTACTCCGTGGATGCACTATGAACCACCTGAAATGGTCATATCAGCCGAGGCACCGCCACCCTCGCATCCGGCCTCGTCGCTGGGAGGCGGACCGCCGACCACTAGCCAGACGCCGCTGGGCGGCACATCGGGAATGCTGCTGGTGGGCGTGGGCGCCGGGGTCGTAGTCGTCCTGCTCAACGTGTTTGTTATCGGCTGCTGTCTCCACAAGCGGAACGAGAAACGCCTCAAGCGAGGTACGAAGGGACAAGTTCCCATGCCCCTTGGAGGCACAACGGATTCTGTTATTGGAGAGGATGTTGCTCTGCGGTTGTTGCTGACCATATTGTTGCACTTAAAAAAAAATACTAGGTCTTTATTTTGTTAGATTTTTATTTAAAGAATTAGAATGAAATAACATAAGGATTGGAATGGCTGAATCAAAAATTTAAAGCCTTTTAATAGAAGAATTTATCCATCAGTTTCTTCTCTATGTGCTTCCGCCAAATGGGACTTAAAGCCATTCCACGAGTCTTTGAACTGGACAAGTGCAATTCCCTAGGCATTTGAATTTCTAATTCCCGCGGCTCGACCCCTAGTCGGCGGGGTTATTTTCTTTTAATTTGTGGGCGTTGGCAGTGCACGTGCCCGGTGGTCAGGCAGTTGCTAATGGGAACGAAAACCACCAACCGCGAGTCCTGAATCCGGGAATCGTGAATCGGGAACTGGGAACTGAGAATGGGCACAGAGATGACGGCCAGGACGATGGCAAGTACGAATAGCGATGGCGTTGTCGCTAATTTCATTTGCCATCACATGTTCCGGCTTCGCTTCGCAGGCTCTACGTGATTTGCGTCACTCGTTCGGACTCCAGGCTATGGTATAAGGACTATGGACGACAGACTACGGACAACGGACAACGGACTCCGGACTCCGGATTCTTTATTTGATTTCGCTGCGTGCGCTGCGCGTCATGCCAACCGAAAACGACCCAAAAACCAGAACGGAGGAGACGACGAGTCCTTTGGAACTGGGACACGGTCCGCTCGTTCATTGCTATGCTGCGGCGCTTTTTATTTTTATTCCCTTTGATATTATTCTTTTTTTATTACAATTTCTCATTTCATTTCGTATTTCGCATTTATTTATTGTCTTATTTTTGCAACCATATTTTTTTCTTTCTCTCTTTTTTATTTATTTGCCACGGTTTTGGTTCGTTTTGTCCCGCCAAGGAGCTGAACCGATGCCAGCCGAGTTAACCGAGGACTCCAGCAATACACCGAACCTGGTCATAATTGGCATCGCCCTGGCGGCCTTTGGCTTCCTCCTGGTGAACATGGCCCTGGTGGCCTGGTTTGTGGTCCATCATCGGCGCAAGAAAGGTTCGTTGGCCCATTATTTCAATATTATTTCTATTATTATTATTTAAGTTATTATTTTGGATTGTTCTGCGCTGTTCTGTTGCCTAGTTTTATTTATTTTCTTTGGCTTACTTCCGACGTGGCCCCGCTCTGAACTCTGATTGGAGGCGGGCACTCCAAATTCCAGCAGACAATTGCATTTGCTGCCATGCTGCAAAGGCAGCCGGCACCACTTCCGTGACACCACCGGAAGCGGAAGCAAGCGCGTTGTGCAGCTTCCGCTGCCCACTAACGGACGCTGCCGGCATGCATGCTCACTTTATGGAGCTCACTAAACAATTTCCTGCATACGCAGGCTGCTCGAACCTCAAAAGGATAAGGCACTGTTGTGCCCCTGGCAGTGCCACTACCACTTCGACTCAGCCGTTTCTTGCAATTTCCGTGTGCAACCAATGCCAGGCGTGGCGTGGTGTGGCAAGCAGGGCAAAAAGTCTCCTCTTCCTCTTCGGGCAGTCAACAAGAATATAATGATGACAGAAAATAATGATGCATCCTGGCCAACTAGACCGAGCAGAAGAGCCAACAGCCAAGAGCAGAAGCCCCGGACAGGGATCAAGACAAATGTGCATCGTTTTCTTAGCTGAATGCACAATCTTCCGGAAATCAGATTGCTTTCGCCGTACGGATTATGCCTTTTCAAAAAGGCCACGAGGTGGCACGTGTGTCGACAAGTGTTTTCTCGCCAGACAAAGGATTGTTTATTAAAACGGAATTACTTATTTTTCAAATATAGTAGTTGCCAGCCAACTTTAAAATGGATACCATGACGGCGCCATCATTTCTCTGGCCAGGTCTCCGTGTCTTGGCAATCCCCTACCATTCCATTTCATCCATTTGAGTGGCAAATTCGAGACGTGGCGAAAAACACGAACACATTCGCGCCATACACGGCGTATACGCAATGTGCCCACTTTGAATCGGTATTACGTGCCGCATACCAACACGAAACACGCAGCACGAAGTGGCGTTACGGGCTAACCAAATTATTTCCACTGAGCCCCTAGTAAAGGGTATGAAATGAAACTGCAACATGGGCAAAAAAAAAAATGTAAATTTACGTGTCCGTTTAGTTGCAAGTGCAACGTCTCTTGCCTTCATCTCGAAAAAACTGCAAATTGTGTTCAACAGACTCACACTCAACAAAAAAAAAAAAAAAGAAGGAAAAATATGGAAAGAGGGCTCCCACTGTAGCTCCTGATCCTGCTCCTTGTTAAGTTTACACTTTTTTGAGCCATATTTGCTGATGTAATATATGCGCCATGTCATAGAGTTTGGGCAAACATTTGACTTATGAGTTGATTAACATCTGGAGCTCTCAGTCAAAAGTTTTTGATTCATTAAGCGAGCACGCCCCAAAACTAAACTGACTTAATCGGGCCAAAAGAACCGAGTACAGAATACAGAGCACCGAACACCGAACACCGAGCCCCAAATGTGGGCCAGCATTTTTGACATTTACAAACGGGAAAGCGACGCGAACGAGCATGAACTACAGCCGCAGGACATAAATAAGATATTTCCCTAAGAATACCCGGACCAGTCCCGGCCAGACTCCATTATTTCTGTCTTTCGCTTCCAGTGCGACGCAGTTGAACAAATGGCGAGTGCCGGGCCTCTGAATGCAATCCCCTTTCCCCTATACAAAAGAAAATTCATATTTCAGTCTTGTTGCAAACAAACACACAGAAAGCGAACGAAGAGGGAAAACCCTTCTCCTCAGGCTCCGACTCTGACTCAAACTCATCCTTTTTCTGTTCCTGGAAGGAACAACATTTTTATGACAATGTACGGGGAACGGGTGTGTGCAGGACTCCCTTTCCCTTATCCCTGTCAAAAGCCGATAACTGACAATGCCCAAAAGGATTTTTACTTTTCCCGTTTTGTGTGTTCACAATTTTTCCATTTTTTTTCCAGTTTTTTCACATTTTTTTTTTGTAAAGTTGTCAGAGAAACTGGTGCGTTGACCATCTGGAAGTGAGAGGAGGGATATGGTAGAGGGCGGAAGACCCTGTCGGGGGATATCTCTCTGCATATTTCAATGTTTTCGCAAGCGAAACTTGACTTGTGTTTTTGTTGCAGCCCTCGGATATGCATTTTTAATGTGCATTTGTGCCTTTGTGTCAAAATGCCGCATGGCACACAGAAGGCACACAGAAAGGAAATCCATCCCGCCGGCACTCCGATCCTTCGGCTATCCAACTCCCCAGTTCTCCAGTACACCGCCGGCTGACTATCCGGGAAAACCAAAAAGCCCAACCGCATCCTAGGCCGCCTTAGAAGCCTTTCGCTGTAGTTGTCGCTGCCCGATAAACTATGCCAAAAGTCTGCGGTTGGCAGCTGGTTCAGTGGTTCAGCTCCGTCGCCGACTGTTGTCCGCTTGTCCGTTTGGCCGCTTGTCCGGCTGGTCCGACTGGTCCGCTGCCGGTCATCGACCACAGGCCGCCATGAACAAGAGCGCACAGCACTAACCACCGGCATAGCCACAGCCACAGTCAATGCCCAGTGCCACATATTTCATTCTCCAGTCTCGTATGAGCTGCATCCGAGACCGAACATCCCGAATAGCGCCATCTCTAATGTTTATTGCCATTCATTTGGCCTCGAAAGGCCGAAAGGGGTAAAGGACTAGATACACAGATAGAAATAATTATAAAAATTAAAATAAAGAAAGGGATATTTTTATTGTTCTTCTAACCATTCTATTATGCCAAAAAGTCTTAAAATTATTTAGTTTCTTCAATAAATATGACTTATTTTTCCAGTGTAGTTTGTGGCCTAAATAAGCGTCCAGAGCCGTGTTGCATCAAACAATTGGTTCGGGCCATTCGTGAGTGGTTAACTAAGTTAGTGGCCTGGTCCAGGCAATAGATTCCTTGGCCCAAACAGTACCGACTTTGGCAGGAAATAGAGAGCCGCCATCAACGGGCGGGTGGACGAGTGTGTATTATCTTTCCGCCAGGAGAGTGGAACTTTAAACCAAGGGCCTGGCCTAAAAGTAAAGTGGCCTATAACCCGATCTCGGGGATAGAGTTGAGTGCGACACTTTTACGACTTGGCGGGGCGAAACTTTTATGCCAACGTTGCCACCAGCGATAAGTCCTCCTCTTTGCCTCCTACCGGCCCCCCTTTTTTTCCAGTGGCAAGCACTTGACTTTGACACTCTTTAAACAATTGACGGGGGTGGGGGCTGTGTGGCATGGGGCACGGGGCTGGAGGATTGGAGGCTTTGAGGGCTTTTTGCTGCGTGAGAGAGCTGCGACATCGAATCTGAAGAGATAAGCGCACAGGCTGTCGTGGTCAAAGGATATAGAAGGGGGAGGTAGGAAGGCAGGCAAGCAGGATGGGGGGCAGGTCCAGAAGGCTGGCTCAGCAAATGTCGAAAAGTTTGCTGCTTAGGCAACTGTCCATGACAGCCCAAAAGCGGACCGGACCACTCGTTCGTAGGACCCACGCAGGATGGGTTTCTGGGCGGTATGGGAGTTCATAAATCGCCCGGCACTGAAACAAAGCGGGGCTATAGCTCAGCGCCTCTTCCATTCAAATGTCGAATGCCGAAGACCAAAAATTCCAAAAAAAAAAAGAACAGAAAAGTCCATTCCCGCATACCACAAGTCCGGCCAGCGAATAATTGAGAGCTGTTGCCAGGACAGGGAGCTTACCAGAAAAGACCTTCAAAGCAGACGGCGGCGTCATTAACGTTCCCAGATGACCGCAGAATCTGTCTAAGCCGCGGCTCCCACACACACACACACATATGTATATCTGTATAATCATATACATATATATACATATGTATATGTATGGCTAGGAAAAGAAATCCGTAACGCGAGTTTTCGTAGCAGAGGAGCAAAATTTGTAATCTCTATGCGGCGCGGCGGAGCCGCAAAGTGCAGTGGCAACAAAAAAAAACAAAAACTCGCATGCGAGTGCGGATTATTTGACATCTGTGTGGGGGCAACCTAAGCACACACCCACACATTGGGATATATGTACACAAACACCGCATTGTCCCCAGCGACAAGGACGAACAGGACCTACAGGGCACTGAGTGATAAGCCCGCCAGGCGACCATTAATACTCTGTCAAAGGGTAACGCAGTCTAGCATCCGTCTGTCGGTAAGAGGGTTTTCCGAGAAAACTGGGTTAAATCCTTATAAGCTTAAAATTCAAAAAAAAAGATATAGTTTTTTATTTAAAAAAGGAAAACAGTTTTGTCTTTAGGTAAATATTTTATAGTCAAAAGATTTAATAGTTTAGTTGATGATTCAATCACATATTGAGTGTAATAGACTTCTGGTTGAGCAACGCAGTAAAGAAACATCTAAGAAATTTTATATATTCTTGATGCTTGAATATTTTCATTGCCTACTTTTAAGCGCGCCTCGAAGTCCAATGGTTATGAAGAGTAAAATTTTACCGTTTTTTTGCGTATGATATCATTTTTGTAGATGCTTTAATTTAGTATTTATTCATTAAAACTTTTAAATAATTAAATTTAATAATTAATTAAAAAATAGCGCCCTCCTCCTCGATTCTCATAGGTTGCACTTAAGCAAGCCCGAAAACCCGAAATATAGCCGGGCTATTTTTGTTATAGTTGTAATTTTTCTTCTTGTTCTAGTAATTCTTGTTGTTGTTGTAATATTTGTTATTGTTGTAGTACTTTTTGTTGTTGTAATTTTTTTGTTGTAATTTTTTGTTGTAATTTTTTGTTGTAATTTTTTTTTGTTGTAATTTTTTGTTGTTGTAATTTTTTGTTGTTGTAATTTTTTGTTGTTGTAATTTTTTGTTGTAATTTTTTGTTGTTGTAATTGTTTTTTGTTGTAATTTTTTTTGTTGTAATTTTTTTTGTTGTAATTTTTTTTTGTTGTAATTTTTTTTGTTGTAATTTTTTTTGTTGTAATTTTTTTTGTTGTAATTTTTTTTGTTGTAATTTTTTTTTTTTAATATTTTTTCATGTTACAAAAAATGTTTTTATCTGATATTTGCAGTATATAGCCCATCTGATGGCTATATAACATGATATCTTATAACATACTCTGCCACTTAGCTGCAAGAGTATATCACCTTTGGCTCCTCCCGAAGTAAGATTTCCTTTCTAGTTAATTTAAATTTTTATTCATTAACAATTTAAAATTTAAAAGTCCATTATTTTTTCTGAATTAAACCCCAACTACACATAACGAAGTCCAGGTATAGTTTCACAATGAAAGCACAAGAAAAAAATATTTAAACTAATCTTTTTCTAAGACATTAAATATTCAAGCTGAACCAAACCTAATCTGGGTTCTGCCTAGAAGCAGGCTCACAACTCATATAAATATATAAATTTTTAATCAAATTTTTCGGATTGATTTAGGCAGAGTAGTAAAAAAAAAAGAGGGAAGACCCAGGTCGGATAGACCCTTTTAACCCAAACTCTAAGCTCTTGTTTTTGATAAATACATTCATGATAGGAGAAAAGTTGTGTGTAGGTAAGCGGTTTTGTTTTTAATTGCCTTAATTGATTAAAGCCATGTCTATTATTTTAAACGCCACTGAGCACACACCCTTGGCCAGAACTGGCTCCTATTTGCACTCGTTTGTCGTCATAAATAAAACAAGTGCCAAATGCCAAATGCCAAAAAATGTTTTTAACTCACTAAGCCATAAAATCACTTATGCCAATGCCGTGCTTCTGTGTGTCTCTGTGTGGGTGTGGGAAAAGGTTTTTATAGCATATACAGTATACGTAGATGCATATATATTTATATGGACCGCTGTCATCAGCAGACCAGGAACAGGATCTCTGAAGCGATCTGCGAACGCAGCCGACTCGACAATTAAATGCATTTTCAATTTTTAATTTTTTCCCTACGAATGCACACCCAGCCTGTGTATAGATTTCCAATTGTACATATGTTTAATGAATTAAAATACAACCAGGGCGAGCTATGGTAAATCATAAAAAATGCAAATTGAGGCAGCAACCTCACTCAAACACACAAACATTAAAACATTGAAACAAAAATACACACACACGATATGGAGACAGAACAAAGCAATTTTCGTACGAATTCAGTTGCAATTTGTTAAATATTCATTAAACATATATCGACAAACAAGGCACAGGCTTACAAACGTATTACGTATAAAGTAATTTTGATAACTCCCAAACATTCAATGTGCTTTGTGCAAATTAACAGAATACAGCAATTTTATCGACTAATAGTCCCCGCATGTCACGTAACCGGCGGACGTGCCACACGTCCCCTACATCGACATATCCGGGACTATATATCCTATATGGCCATAGTCCTTCTGCTCGGCCAGAGCCGGGGCCCAGGACCTGGACCTTTGGAAATGTATTATTAAGAAACCGTTTGGCCATAATATCTTTGCATAGCTCCGGGTCCATGATGATGGCAATGATGGCCGATAGCAGCTGAGTAGCAGGGCAATGTCCATTTACCATTTACCTATTGGCAACACACAGGGGGTGGCCGGGGGCCAGGGCTGGGGGTAGTGGCACCACACGTGTCTATGGCTTTTTGGCTTTCTGCTGACTCGTAATCGTTGTAAATTTTGTTGTGCCAGCACCGGAAAAAAGTCGGAGCACAACAAAGCCAGCAGCAATGGCAAATAGAAAAGGTGATTTTATTTCAAGATAAAAAATAATATATATATTTTTATTATTTTCAAAATGGTTATGAATTTTTGATGGAGGAATAGTAAAATTCTATTTGGGCAACATCTACAGCAACAACAGCAGCAGCAACTATCCTGATTCTGATACGGATCCTAAAATGTCTTTAAAAAAAACATCCTCTATAATAACGTTTTTCTTTACATGCCACAATAATGGACTCTTGCCTGCAACATGTTAACTTTTATGGAAAAATGTGTCATAAATCATTTAATTGGATTTTTACTTTTATTGGAATGTCAACTCATTTGTATTTACTACTGACCCCCATACTTTGCCATCGACCCTGCACCCGGCATCGAAATGCACATCAACGAATGCTGCGACAAATGTGAATAATTAACCCGATGCCTCTGACCCTTGGACCTGCCACACCGTTCCATCACCGCATCGCCCTCTCAAACACAATACGCCTCCTTTTGTCTGGCACTTTGACAATCTTGGCTATTTGCATTTGATTTGCATTGCCTGGAACTACAACACCATCGTCCTGCTGCCCAACTGCCGCACTGCACCATCCCCAAAAACCACGTCAACCCACCTGGCACCGTTGCGAATCATCAATTTTCGGGATGTCACTGCCAATTACACCTTTTCAATATTTGTGCGCATACCTGGCGTCGAAATTTTTTTTCGTCCTTTTCTATTTTTTTTACCGCCGACGGAATACAGTGGCGGAAACTACAAATCAACCGGCAAAAACGGCAACCATCGAGATGTACGCGCCCAGTTCGTATAATGACACAGTTACCGGCGAGACGTTGTCCAGCGTATCGGAGAAGAGCGAATCCTACTCCAATGAGGGCAACAGCCAACCGGAATATATTGTAAGTATATATACCATTGCCATCTCTGCATATATACCAAACTATTTTTTAGCTTTACTTTTTTTTTTGGAAGAACTCTTTTCTTTCGAGGGGGGTTCTGTGCATGAATATGCAATTTCTGAATGGGCACAAAAATGAAGAAAAAACGGACACAAAGGGAGCTGGGGCAGGAAATCGTCTGGCATTTTAGGCATTTTCATTGCTAAATAGATGTCCTGCAGGCACAGGGGCGTCACTTGGCATTTTAAAAAGGAAAGAACGAAGAATCCTTAATTTTTTTGCCACTTTTTTTTTGCCAGAAACTGTTTCCTATCGAAGAAATCGTTTTGAAGTCAAAGATGATCTCTAAAAATTAAGGATGAAAATGTGCCAGTTACTTTATGGCTGGAAAACTGAACTTTCTGGGAGGCAGACTCCAAAAGTTGATTGTGGTCAACAGCAGACGCCCGTCCCTTTGGCCTGCGGCTCTGGGTTTTCAATTATTACCAATGCTCGAAATGAGAGCTACCAGAAGACGAAAAGCAGGAAGTGCCAGACTGAGACCAGACCAAGACCAAGACGAAGATGAAGACCAGGTCCAAAGACCAAGGACCAAGTCCCGAGTGAGAGCAGCGAAGCGGAAACGGAAGCGGCATGCCGACGTCGTCGCTAAGACGTCGTGATTAATTACGCGACGCTGATGATGATAATGATGAGCTCGCGAGGGGTTCGGAAAATGGAGAATAAGACAGCGGGATAAAGGGCGGGACAGGGCGGTACAAGGCGGCGCAGGACTAAGCAGACGAAGTAGGCGTGGGCGTGGGACAGACTTGGGAAGCTGCTTCAAACAAATCGTTTCAAATTATTAAAATCATTTATTATCGCCGTAATCTTGCAGCGGCAGGAAAACCGCAGCAACTGCCTAACCCGCAGCTTCTGAAGTTGAAACTGAGGGAAGTAAAGTATGTAAAGTGCGTAAACTGCGACCGCGCGTGTTATAAATCAGTCCCCGATCCGATCCGCATATTGTCCTTGGCGTCCTTGCTGTCCTTGGTGTCCTTGCTTTTTTGTTCCGTCTGCCTGGTGCGGATGCTGGTGTCCTTGCTGTCCGTGTGTCGCCGCTGTCATTGTGGCTGTCAATTACGCGCCAACGACTTTCAACGCCTTTTGCCAAAGTATGCCAAAAAGCAAAGTGTGGAGTAATTACGAGGCATTACTCAAATGGGAATGAGAATATAAATTGATATATACCCATCCACGTTCCCATCTGCATTCTTGACTCACCCATTCTCCCCTTCTTTTTTCAGGACGAGGCGCGCAAAAAAGCGGCATCCACGTATCTGGTTGAGGGAGCGGATATGCCACCACCCAGATATCAGAAGGATGGCACCTTGCCAGTCATATATCCAAATAATATTGGTAAGTTTTTATTATTTATTTTTTTTAAATAATTAATTAAGAAAGAAGTGGCCATTGCAGGCCAGAAAACCACATGAGAAAACCAAATAGCTGGGTTGGGTTTAAAGCGGGTCCTTATTATATACTTTGATTGTTTTGATTCCAACAGTCACATTATATCTGATTTTTTTCAATTAAATTGAAAAAACAAACTGTACGTTTTAGATAATTAACTTTTGGTCAAAACAAATTTCGGCGTTCTCACGCGCTGACAGGACATCCCAGCCCCACTCTTCAGCCTCATGGCAAGTCCTTGACGGTTGCAATGGTTTTTTTTTTGGATTTTTTTTGGTTTGATTTTTATGCCATGATTGCAACGCAATCAAAGCAAATGGTGAAAAAAGGGAAACGAAAATCGCAAAAAGCTGAAAGGGAAGTGGCTGAGGAAGAAATAAATATACGGAATACAGAAAGCGAAACAGATAGAAGCTTAGAGTAAGAGGACGAAGGATGTAGGTAGAGATGGGGAGGCGTGCAAGCTGAAAATTCAATTCCAGCACAACATCTCCATCTTAATTGTAATTGAGCAGCAAAGTTTTTGTCAGTCTTGATTTTCAATTGATGTGTGGATATACATATATGTACGTATATATAAAATATATATAGCTCAGCTAGCGCTAATTTATATATATAGCTAGCGCTAATTTAAAAAGAATAAAAAAAATAAAGGCAAAGAAAATTCAAGCCTGAGAATGTTGAATTTAAGGCAAGCAAAAATGGAAATGGAAGAATAATAACCAAAGACAAGAAAGGAAAGCTAACTTCGGGCGGAGCCGAAGTTTATATACCCTTGCAGTTAAAACCGGATATATATCGCAAACATCGGATATAGTTGGCCGATCCTTATGGGAATAGGAATATATAATCCAATTTATTACAATACAAAATCTAAAAAAAGTCCCAAACTTCTATCTTCAAAAATACGAAAGTTGATATTTCTACCAAATACCATTTCCGATCGTTCAGTTATATGGCAGCTATGGGATATAGTCGGCCGATCCTAATGAAATTTGGTAGGTTGGATCAACTGACCAAGAATTAAATCTGTACTAAGTTCCAGCTTTCTATCTTCAAAAACACGAAAGTTGGGTCATTTCCGATCGTTCAGTTATATGGCAGCTATAGGATATAGTCGGCCGATCCTTATGAAATTTGGCATGACGTAATGTTTTGCCAAAAATAGCTCACATGTCAAATTTGAACTCTCTAACTCTAAAAACACCAAAGTTATACCATTTCCGATCAATCAGTTATATGGCAGCTATAGGATATAGTCGTCCGATCCGGGCCGTTCCGACTTATATACTGCGTGCAAAGGAAAGAAGGGTGTGTGCAAAGTTTCAAGACGATAGCTTTAAAACTGAGAGACTAGTTCGCGTAGAAACAGACAGACGGACAGACAGACGGACAGACGGACAGACGGACAGACGGACATGCTCATATCAACTCAGGAGGTGATCCTGATCAAGAATATATATACTTTATAGGGTCGGAGATGTCTCCTTCACTGCGTTGCACACTTTTGACCAAAATTATAATACCCTCTGCAAGGGTATAACAAGGACTCCAGAACAGACAAAGGATAAAGGGATGGCGAAGACACCGCTGCTGCTGCTGTCTATCAAAGCATCGACTGCGCTGGAACAACAACAGTTCTATAATAACAAACCACCCAAAGCCACCCAAGCCACCCAAAGCCATCCCGGTGGCTAGAATAGAACAAAAACCGGGAAAATGCATTTTAAATGCAAAAGCGTAAAAATAATAAAAATACATTAGCTGCAGAACTTATCGCCCGGAGGCGAGAGCCCGAATAGCTGCCAAGGAAGTGGCATAAAAAATACAATTACCTTATGTCAACGACATGAAAATTTGGAAAGCTCCACTCTCCTTACCTCACCTCACTCCCTGCCGCAAATAAATTTTGTTGGCAATTTCACCATTCACAATAGATAAACCGAAGACAAAGTCCTGCCACCCACATAGCTGCACAATAAAAATGCCATAATGGTTTAGTTTTGAAAGAAAGTTTATAAGTATGTGTGGGGAATTTTTGATTAGAGAGTGCTTACGCTGCGTATACTTAATATTTTTCAAATACTCTTATTCCCTACACCTTATAGAGTAAAACCAAGCCTTAAAATTAAACCTATTATATTTTATTTTATTCTTCAAAATGTTATGTTCTTTTTCTAAAAAAATTCAAAAATAAATTTTATGTAAATTTGTCAAGTTAATTTTTTCTTGTGCAACTGCCACCTCACTGCCACCAAAAGTTTTCTGTGGCGACACGCATAATTATGTATGGTGGTGTATGTATGTTCTTTACACATCATTGTGTGTGTGTGTGTTTGTTGTGGGTGTGTCTGTGTGAGTGTACCACCATTTTCTTTATGGCCGAAACAACAACAAGAGCATAGCAGAACGAGCTGAAAAGAAAACACGCCAAGGGAGAAAAACAACAAAGACAAAAGCAACGAACCAGTGAGGAAAAAAAAGAAAGAAAGAAAAGAAGAAAGCTAAAAAGAAAGCAAGAAGATGGAAGACCCAGAGAGCGAGAGAGGCAAGTGCAAAGGAATCCCCCACGTGGCACAAAAAATTAAAATGCTTGCCGGAAGCTGAATCTCAAACAAGCGAGCCCAAGGCTGTTGTTCCAAGCGGGCGGAAAAGCAATGGGGCGGGGAAAGCGTTCTACAGATGCAAACCGAAAGCGAGAGAGGGCAGCGTGGCGGAGCAGTATGCACATGAGTTCCTTGACAGGCGGGGGCAAGCGGAAATTGTTTTTGTTAGTCGGCGTCACATTTTTTTATCAGTACTTTGTTTTTTAGGTTTTTTTTTCAATTTTTTTTTGGGTTTTTTTCTTGAATATAAATTGTGGCCAAGCAACACACTACAGGGCGTGTCTGAGCCATTGACGAAAAAGCAGATGACTCCCACACACAACTGCCACCCTCCCACCTGAATGCTGGGTCCCCTCAGGTGGTTGCAATTTCATTTGGCATTTATGCAGTTACAGAGCGAGATGCGGGAGGAGAGTCACTTTTTAATGAGACACTTTTCAGCACGGCGTCATGTTAATGAGCAGTAAAAACTTTGGATCGTGCCACAGCCAGCGGCAGGCCAACAGCAACAAGTTCGACCTTGAACGAGTCCAAAAGCCCTTTTTCGTTTGTCAGCCAGGACGCAATTTTTCACCCAAAAAATAATTCTTATCTCAACTCTACTCAAATTCGGCCCAATGTTATTAATATCAGATGAACTGGGAGCTGTGAGCTGGAAGCTTTAAGCTATTGGTCCTGCCACAGGATTCCTGACCCACACAACAACAACAATTATGCATTTTCCAGGAACCCCGAAAAAACTGAAAACAAAGATTCAGGGTTTCCTTTAGGTTTTCGCATTTTCCGGCACAACAAAGCGCGCTGATCGAAAAATCAATAATTCATGAGTGACTGTCTTTTGAGAAAAGCACCCACCCACTGCCCACATATGTTTACCAAGGAAAACAAGGGGGAAATTCTGAACAAGAGGGGCTTGCCTTTAATAAATCTAAATAAAAGTATTATATTTTAAGGAGAGTCTTTCCCATTTTAAAATACTACAACTTGACAAACTCTGATAGCATTTGATAGCATTACTTCGTAATGAAACCAATACAGCCAAGGACCCACGGGAGTACAGGGTATAAGAAGCCACAAGATGAACATGGTCCCTCGTTCGATTTGTCGCTGTCAGGGAGCCACAAATTCGGAACTTTGCCAACGAAATTATTGTTGCCTACTTGCGGGGGCTCAGAAAAACGCACCACCCACGCTCATCCTTACCCCACCCCCTGAAAGACCTCATAGCACCCGGCTGATGTGTGTTCGTGTGTCAAAGTCTATTTTACAAAATTACGAATTTGTTACGTTTGCGGGTTTCACGCCTCTGCAGTTGACAGGCGAACTCTGGCTGAATTTTCATGATGTTTGCGGCACGAAACGTGTCAGAATGGCAGCGGATCGGGCCAATTTGTCACGCCTCGAGCAGGTGGTGGCATTACCATTCTGCCATACATTCTGCCAGGCATCCTGCCATCCAGGCATCCAAGCATACCGGCATTGTGGCATTCTCCATATCCTGACCGAAGACTCCATTGACATTTGCATATTTATTGGCGAGCCTTATCAGCCATGGAATGCCACCCGTTGCAATTAATGGCCATCGTTTTCTTTAGCTTTCCAAGCGCTTGCACATGAAATCAGCCAGAACCGAGCAGCAAATTGTTGCATGCAACGTCGTTCCCTGGTCATGTGTATGCTATATAAATGTGCAACTCCTTTGGACATAAAGCCTGTCGTTTGCAGTTTAAGTCTTGAAATTGAATGCGTTCTGCTCTTCGACATTTGCGGCTGGCCAGGCCGACAGCGTGCTCCGCTTATGGCCGCAATCAAAGCTTATGGCCATTGGGAGAAATATAGGAAAATAATCAGTACAACGCAGCACGTATTGCCACCCAACAAAAATAGAGGAGTAGGCCATTAAAATCAACCCAGAGCAGGCTAAAGTTGATTTTATGGCCACAAAAAAAATAGAAGAGGAATAGTTTATAAAATCGAGCCCACTTTTGACTTGAGCACTTGCATTAACATGATACTGTTTTCTCTTTCAGTGAACGCCTGCACACTGCCACACCCGAGGCACAACAACGGTGGTGCCACCATCCAAATGACCCGGGACGATCAGATGCTAATCAACAAGGGCGTCTATATTCCGTCCCCATCTCCGGCGCCACCGCCAGATGGCTCCTACTACAACATGAACAGCGACAGATACTTGTCCTATCCGCCAATGGTGAGTAAGATCAATGAACTCCACAAGGATATCCATATTGGGCAGGGGGATTGCCGGGCGGGATTACCGGGTAGGATTTGGCCAAGAACCAAGCTTAACGAAAAGCAGCAGCTGTGCTGCATCGGAAGCTTAATTGCCCGCATCTGCAGTTACCTTCTTTTTGATCCGCTGCTGCTGCCACTGCCTCCCCGGGATTATTTCGCTCAATTAACCAAAGTTTTATGGAGGATGCTCTTGGCGTTTTGCATCTGCCAGTCAGCCAATGAGCCAGTGAGCCAGCCAGCTGGCATGCGAGGGGTCCATAAATATGTACATGGGTCGATCAGAGTAGAGTAGAGTAGTAGGTATTGGGGGGCGGGTTCTCTTTCAGATACTTTTTCCCATCGACTTTTATAATCCGCGCCCAGCTTTGCAACACTGTACTGACAAATGACAAACTTAAAAGCATTATAAGTAAGCTCCTGGCCATAGTGGAGGAGGAGGATGCGCTGCATTCGCTTTTTGTGCACCATCCGGAAAGTCAACACAATATTTTCCCAAGACAACAATTTAATATCAAGCATACGCAGTGTATGCCGAACAACAAGGAGCGGCTTCTTTTACGACAAGCTCTTTTCGCAGATGCGACAAAGTTTATTTTTTTTTTTTTTGGCTCGCATCACTCATAAAGTGTGGAATTCCCTGGCAAAGTTGTGGCCCCGAAATTTTCGGGCTCACCCACTCATTCCATTACGGGAAAAGCAAAAGGGAAACACCGCAACATCAGCGTCTAGTCAAGGACAAGTGGCATGTATGTAATGACCATTCCACGCGCACACATGCCACACACAACATACTATATACACGTCCACATCGAAAAGCATATCCGTTGGCTGTCGCATTGGCTGCCAATATAAATTCCGCAAATTTCACAATAAACATGGGGAAATCAATTTTCGGAATTTATGTTTCCTTCGCTCCTTTTTATGGAATATCGCCCCTTCGGACTTGATGACTCCTGGCACTAAAGGGGTGCAAATGCGACAGCATAAGATGACACCCGATGTGGGGATGACAGTTAGCCCGTTTCGTTGCCAGCTTTCCTATGGCAATGCCGGGGCATTTATGTGCCATCGCATCAACTTGGCTGAAGCTCAATAATTGTATAAATTAGATGAGGATGGAAGTCAAGGGGGAAACTGCAGTGACCAGAAGGAAATCCTGCAAGGGTACACCATCTGGCTGCAGTTGCCATCAGCACGGGGACCAACAGCAGCTAATATAATAATATTTATGCTTAGCAGTGGAGCATGTTTATGGGCCTTATACGATTTGTTAAGTTATTCAATTGTGTCCCAGTCCCAATCCCAGTCCGAGACCGAGTCCCACAAGGAGCAGAGCACAGTTAAATGATGTGGCATGGAGGAAACTCCCCAGTATGCCCAGTATCCAATGTCCAGCGGGCAGTGCTCCGTCATCGTTCTTTGCCATTGCCCCAACATGGGACTAAACCTTTTGTTTGCGGTTTTTAGTCAACGAGGGAGAAAAATTCAATTTCGGTTTAGTTGGTCAACAATGACATCCCATATATATATGTGTAGATGTATATATATGTATAAATTTATATGGATGTGTGAGTGGGCAAATGTTTGGACTTGCCAGTCCACATGGAACCGAACGCCCACCCCTTCCGCTTTGTGCGGGCCTTTTGCCATTTCACATAAGAAATGCTTTGTGCGGAAGCCAAATTGAATTATTTGATAAACATCATTAGAAAAATTACAAAATATACAGAAAGTGTGTGGGGGAAATGACTGGGAGACTAGGGGGAGACAAGACAGGAGACGCAGGACAGACCAGACCAGCTCAAGTCCCTTCGCTGTGGCTTCCCGAAAACATTTGGCCGGCACTAAATTACTTTTCGAAGAGCATCTGTCTCGGTTTCCTCGCACTCTGGGCCCCTGGACGTGGCCTGGCGGACAGTAAATGAATAAGGACAATTTATAACAGTAAATCAAATTAAATTTCAATTGGAAAACTTGACAAAACAAAAAAAATATAGTATACAAGACAATAAACAAAAAAACAATCACACACAAAACAAAACACACTGAATGAAATAAAACAAAAGAAAAATGGACTTATAACAAAGTAAGAGCATCGTTTTGCACATCAGATACCTCCGCCCCTGGCACTGCAGAAGGGGGCCACTTACTGAATGCCACCGCCACTGGAGTGGCCCTGTAATTGGCCATCACAACTGAATCTGGCAATAGAAACGGATTCGATTCGGTTTATCGCAAATCCAGTTTATCACAAAGCGCTGAAAAGTGATTGAGCAGCTCCTTAATCAATTTATGTTTCATCGGAATCTTCATTTATGAGAGGAAATAAATGGCCAGGATCCATTCGATTTGGATTTATTGGCCAAAAAAAGAGGATACTTCTTTGGAATTTATTAACAATTTATACAATTATTTTGTCAGCAGGAAAATACTTCAAAAATAGCCTTGAAATATGCAAGCAAACTTGTCTTATTAACTGATTGATTCGGCAAACTTTATTCTATTAGACCCATCCGCAACAGCAACAGGATGTCCAAGGGTCAGGGCCTCCAGGCCCGTATCCTTTTGCCATATCCGTTCCGGCTGGCACGCAAAGTGGCCCGAAGTAAATGCAATTTAAAACAAGTTGTGGCCACACCCTGAACCGAAGCCAGAACTAGGCGAGTCCACCCACTCATCCATCCGTTGCGGTGTTTTTGTCCAACCAGCTTGTAACTATTTAAGCGGCAATTTGTATTTTATTGCCAACTTTGGTTGGCTTCCAACTGCCCAACTGGGCCAGAATACCCCTGGCCGACTCCTCCTCCTCCTCTCCACACCCATGTCAGCCCCGAAAAATGCTCGAGTTTCATTTGGCTGGCGTTGGCGCTGGCGTTGATAAGTTAAATGCTGAATGCCGGACACACGCAGTCGGGAATCCCTATGTGGACTACGTGCATATGGGTGGGGTGGGCCAGGAGCAGCCAGGATCCAGGATCCAGAGAAGCATGGAGAACTTGACTTCAACCGGACAACTTAACTACGGTTCACTTTGTTAACTTGAGTTCCGCACAGTTTTAAATTCAATTAGTTTTCGTGCGGGCGAACTCTTGCCATTGTCTGAATGTTCAACTGTCAGCTGCCAGGGGGTGCCGGAGGCAGGGGACTGTAGCCGGGGCAAAGGACCAAAGGACTTTCCAATGGCAAAGGGGGTGTGGCAAAGTCAGGCATCCGTCAGATACTTTACGCACTCGCTGTAGCGCTGTATCTGTCATCAAAGCGAGATACTCGAGTGTTTTGTTTTAAAATTCATGGGCGGCATCAAAAACAAAAAAAAATCCAAAAAGAAAGAGACAAAAATAAAATTAAGAAAAAGAGGGAGCATCTTAGCAGCTGATGCCGATTAAATAAATAACGGGATCCACTCGCAGCCATAATTTAATTTTCACTCCAGCTCCGCAGAATTTTTCATAGACTTTGTTGGCCCGACGGCGCCGCTTGGTTGGCCTTAATGTGGAAAGTTTCATTTTTATGGCCAGTGTAGAGTGTCGAGTGTTGAGGGTTGAGGGAGGTGGGCATATCCGAATGCCAATTGGTTATTCTATTTACACAGAATGAAGTTCCAGCCGCAACTTCGGCTAAAACCAAAAACAACAACAATTATAATGAGCTGCGGCCAAACGCGCCAAGAAAATTAGCGAACGCGGCATACAAAAGCCTTTAAGTGGCCAAAAGTTTACAGGGCCAACAACGAAACCCTTTACGGAATTTGCTGCGTGCAACAAATTGTTGTAACTACCAACGCCACCATCTCCTGGCTCATCTTGGCTAAGCCCTGAGCTCTGGGCCCTCGGCTCTGGGCCCTGGTCTTTGGGCCACGAAGTTTTCGTTAGAGACAATTTAACTTTGTAAACTGATACAAAATGTCCGCCCTGGACTACTTAAGACGACTGACTACCAATTGCCGCTGCCTTGCAGACCCTCCTCCTCCATTTCCTGTTTTGTTAATCAGTGTTGAGTGTTGCGTCCTAATGTGTTTCCAGCAATGTCCTTAAGCCCCTAGGAGAGCGAGACACAATTCTACAATTCTAAGGCCACTCGATTCTTTTCGCTCTTTTTAGGGGGGAGACATTGGGGGATGCTCCCCTTAATATTCCAATTAGGTGCACGATCCAAGTTTGCAACTTGAAAGTTGTACGTGCAGCAAACTTGGACCTGGACATGGACATCGGACCGCTGGCATGCGGAACAGTTCCTCAACTGGCACAAAGTGTCATGTCAATTGAACTAGAAATCCACTCGCAGGCTGTACGAGTCTACATTTTATTTTCTGTTGAAATTCACGTTTCTCTTTCTTCGTCCTCAGTTGGCAGGAACTTGTCAAGAAGTTGTATTGCAGGACTTTTCAGGCGAAATTCGCCTTTGTGCTCTCTGACAGAGCGAGAGAGAACTGTCATAATTATGGCATCGTTAGTGCCAATCTTTGCTTTAATGCCGCCTCTTCACGAGCAAGTAGCCAAAGGATACCAAATACGGGAGGAAAGAGGTCCAGGTCTATAGTATTTTGAGCCTCAGTCGGCTTAGAGACAACTTTTGTTTGCGCTTTTCATTGTTTCATATCTCGGGCGACAGTTTAATGGGAAAACTTTTGCGCCGAACCAACAGAGGGGCTATGTCCACTCGCCATGATCCGGATTCCGGACCAACTGACTATGCTAAGCCTATGGTAACTAAATCCTTGGTGGGAACCAAAAATCGCTTCGTGGTAATGATTTTTGGTTAGATTCCCGAATTATGTGACATGGCTTTGGATGTCAACTGGAAGGTTCTTCTCTTGGAAAACCAAATTGGTTGTACAACTGGGGGCTCTACTAGTTTTAAAGTTTAATGGTTTATCTATAATGAATCCAAACTAATTCCAAACTAATTTATAAACATTTTATTCCAGGAATACCCGGCAGCCCTGGACTTCACCGCCCAACCAATGCCCATGGCCCATCTACAGCCCATTACAGTGACTTCGCAGGCGGCGTTACTGGCCAGCAATGGCGGAGCCACGCTCATCGCCAACGGATCAGCTGCCTCGGGGGTACCAGGTGGCTCGGGCACCCTGCGACGTGGCATCCTGCGCGGGGTGGTGGGCGTTCCGCCACCTGACGTAACCCACCACACGTCGGCGGTGGGCAGTCCACTGCAGGTGCTGCATGATCTGCATCCTGTCAATCTGAGCGCCTCCACGCTCACCACCAGCACCACCCTAAACGGTAGCCTCCCGACGGCAACCGCCGGCACGCTACCCCGCCAGCCACACGGCATCCTCAAGGACCCCAATCGCAATAAGCAGCAGCAGCAACAGCAACTGCTTAACGCCAGCCTTGTGGGCGTAGGCGTGCCTGTATCGGCGGGCATGGGAAGCCTGCAGATCCTGAACCTGCCGCCGGCGGGCACCGGACTGGGCAACAATCTCCTGATGACTACCAGCGGTGCCTTCGATCCTACGGCGGCGGGCATGAGCAGCTTCGCAGCCGTTAGTCAAGCCGGCGGCATCCCGGTGGCCTACACGGATGCGGATGGACACCTTGTATAGCTGTAGGCGGGAACTGGGGCTTTCGGAGGCAACATCAACACCACCACCGCCACCATGAAATCCAACACGGAGCCCCGGTTCTGAGAAGCATCTCAACAACGTCACTATCCTATCCTACATACTCGTATCTGTATCCAGTATCCAACAACCTGCTCGCCAGGACGTAGCTAGTTTAGGAGCTTTCTATTCGGTAACCAGGGTCCCCCGTCCCCCGTTCCCCGTCCGACTGTCCATTGGCCATTACCTTATTCAAATCAGCCAGCGAATTAGTTTATGTAAATTTTTACCAAATTCTTTCTGTATAGCCCACACCCCCGAGTGTGGGTGTTTATTTAGATAAGGATGGGTGGTGTCGCGGGGGAGTGAGCATAATTTCGTCGAGAGTTCCACTAATTAGCCGGGGCCAAGATGGCCGAGAGGAGTACAAGAAACAGGGCCAGAACAGGCACCAGAAACGTTCCGGCGGCGTGGCGTAAAAGGCAGGCCGAAATAATTTGAAATTTCTTTAAGATGAAATGGGGGGTTGGGGAGCGAAAAACGCGAAACGGTCCAAAGCCGTTTGACAGCTCCCTGGGGCGTGCTCTGGCTCAAGTCGAGTGGGCACGTGATTGCCCTGGACGCCGCCGCCAGTGACCATGGTCGGAAGTTGAAGGTTGACAGCCGCTAGCTGCTCCAACGCACCCCCAAACTCTAAGATTGAGGAGCTAGATTTGGACCAATTCCCCTTTTAATGGCTGCCAGGAAAATCCGACTTGGGAAATATTCTATAAAAGTAGACTACCTTGGAGGAGGTTCTTATTGCTTTTTAATTTTCAATGAAAGGGATTGCAAGAAGGGAAGGTCTTTAAAAACTGCAGACTCCTTTGGAGGTTTTTCTATCGTGCCATTTGATAAACTTTTCAAAAGTGAATCTTTTTATTAAATTATTTTCAAAATTCAACAGTTTCTGATAAAAAAAAGGAGTGTATTTTTGCCCATAAAATCAATTGCAATGCTTACCATTTCGGCAATCGATAGTTCCCTCAAAGCTTTTGTACAGTGGGTGCTCCTCGAGACAAATCCTTCGAATTCAAATGCTTCAAATGCGCTGCCACGCCCTCGCTCACATTATGTACAGAAGTTGGCTCTATCTGCGCTCCAGCTGCCATTCATCGGGCACAGCTCGAGTGGCATTGCCGCACATAAACAGTTTTCATTTGCCACTCGTCGCAGCTCAGCGAGCGTGACATGCCAATCCTGGTCTGGTCGGTCGGCTGCTAAGCCATTATCCTTCCTCACCCATCCCAGAAGTACCCCAAAAAGCAAAGCAGTCCCGGAATCTCTAGGACCACTCCAAGGGCTCAAATGTTTTTGGTGGGGAAAGCGTTAAACACACGCCGCCCTCTTTCTCGCCCACCGCATCCTTACGTCCTTGCATCCGTATCTTGTGCTTTGACTTTGTAGTCAAGTTGCCGGGGATCCTCGAGCATCGAGCATCGTGCATAATTGCCAGCAGCATCTCGGAGCGTAGCGGAATGTGTGGATTTTAATATTCATTCGTCTGTAATTGCTGCATCTGGAGAGTGCAGACAATCGCAGCTGCACTTGCCTCTCTCATCCTTTCATCCTGCAACAGGATTATCGCATGTGAATAAATGCCCTGATTTCGGGAATAGATATTGTGGATGGAATGGGATCTGTAGAATGGCAAGGAGGGGCGGCGGTAAAACAAACACTGACGTGAATCCTCTTCAGTGTGTAATTAAAAGTGAAATTATCTTTGAAATTAACGCACGCGTAGACAAAGACAAAGGCGAAAAGGAAAAGCGAGTGGGAAATGAAGAAAAATGCTCCGAAAGCTGAGAACCGAGAATGGAATTAAGAACGAAGATGAGGCAACTTTGTATCTGTGTCTGTGTGGGTCTCGGTTTGGGTGTGTGTGCTTGCCACACATGGATTTCCGCCATTGAATAATGACGATTGCAGTGGCCAGATAAAGGTTAAATGAGCAGGAAAACAAGGGGAATTATTTTGCAGATGAGCCTGTTGCTGGATTCCGCCATGCCACCCACCTATCAAATGACAGAGGGCGTAGGGGGACTCTGGGGCCCTATTATGTATAACAGATATGTGAATGTATAGCTTGTACTAACCACTCAACGAGTAGTGCTGCCAAAACTGCATTAATAATTAGCATTAAGCTGGATCCGTAGCCTAAGTAGCTAAGCCAAAACAAATTTCGAATTCAATCAGCAAGCCAAACCATTCAAAGTTGTACAATACCACAGAGACGCAGAAGCAGCAGTAAGGATTATTAACTAAATATTAACAAACAAAAAAAAGGACAAATGCAGGTATATCGATACAGAGACACAAACACACAGACAGACTAACGACAGAGTCATTGCAATTCATAGGTGTAATCGTAGCATACATTTTCGCGTCTCGTAACTCTTAGAATCCTGTCCCCCATCCTGAGGAGCACTAAGGAGGACATATACTTAGGAATAACTAACTCGCTGTTTTTCTTAGGGATAACTATTTGATTGCACTCGAACTTAATACTCAAACGAAATCGAATTCGAAATCGATATGTATCTTGTAACTGAATCCACATTTAAGAAGCCCCATCTCACACAAATCTTGTATGTCTTCCCCAGCTTGACGATTGTTTGTTGCATTGATTTTATCCGAATACGTACTTATAATATATAAATTAAATTAAATATATGTATGGTATATAAGTTAAATTTAAGCACACTTGTCGGGGGAAAGTAAATAAGACTTATTGTAGATAATTATGTTTAAAACAATTAACGAATCGAATCGAATAGAAACGAAATCAAGTTGTTCAATTTTGTATTTTTGCCAAAGAGATATTTGTTAAACAAAGAGCCGATAACTTGATTCTAGAGTCTAGACTATTTTTTCTCTCAGTGTGAGTGTGTGTGCTTGTTTCACTCTCGCTGTACTGTATGTACTTACAATTAATTGTTGTTAATTGTGCGATTATGTATTTCTATTTCTAACTGAATCTGTGTATGATTTTCGAAATCCTCTCACTCGATATTAAACGTAGAATAATTGCAGCTGCAGCTGAAGGCGATGACACACAAGACTTGAATACTGAACCTAGGCTAATGTTAAATGTTAATTCAAATCGAAACTTAAATGCAGCTACATACATAAGTAAATAAAACAGAGAACTAATTCTAAACACTAGAAAAGTGTGTATGTGTGTATAAAGCGGATTATTTACCACAGTATGTGAATGTTTTTACGACAATTATTGAGTTATTTGAATATATATTTTATGTAGTCTGTATGCGTATATCTAATACATGTAATTAACTGAAACTGGTTGAGAAGCATTTGTACAGTAGTCGAGAGGAAAACAATAATTAAAAAGGCGTAAGTTCATTCAAAGAAGCAAAAACAAAAAACAAGATAAAATAATATATAAAAATTAAAAAAAAAAAAGCATAGTTCATAAATCAAAGCATAAGCCGCCACTCAGAAAAATTGTATAAAAGAAATAAAATAAAAATAAAAAAATATTGAAAAAAAAGAAAATTAATGCATATTAAACCTACTGCATTTTTAAAAACGATCTGTTAACAAATGAATAATAAAAACGTAAAAAAAACGATGAATACCAAAAATCCAAAATGCATTTCCATTGCCGAACAAAGGGCCAACCGATTACGGCACAAAAGACAATTTAATGGCAAAACTTTCGAATCAATTTTCGACGGCAGGACTCAAACAAAAGAGGATACTTTTCTGGGTGCCATTTCCAGCATTTCACATTCGCCCACTCTACACCCCGGATGCGAGCCAAAAACTTTCCCAGGAACGAGATCCACTATCCGTCTTGCCTGGTGGTGTGGTGCAAAAAATTGAATTCCTTGTAAAACTTACGAGCTGGCATTAATTTTAACAGCATCTCGGCGTGGCAGGGGCCGGACCGAGGGGCCAAGGGGCGAAGAATATTCTTCAAATTACGTATACGGCCCATTGAACGCTTTGCCGGGCATGGACATGTGTGCGCTGTGCGTACTCCAGCATAGGGCCACGACCAGGACCCAGAGCAGGCCCATTATTCTCTCCTGACTGACTTTATGACGCTCATTCGATGGGCACAAATCGCAGCTCGTTTTTCATTTAAATGGAAGTTAATTAGTTCCGCCAAAAAAAAAAAAACAAAAAGCCAGAAAAAAAAAACCAACACAACCCAAACAACAAAGAGAGCAGCCGGAATAAAGGGCAAATAAAAATACTTCTCATCACCGCCCTCTGCCTTCCACATCGCCCAGAACTGGGCGTGGCCAAAAGCATTCCTTTGCTGCAATTGATTGATTTATTTCCATTCCACGCCCCCTGCCACGGCCGACAGCCACCTGCCCCAGCCTTGGCTTTAGCTTCGACATCCACTTGGGCTTCATCAGTTGTTGCCGCAAATTGATTCAACAAACGGCAAACAAGTGAAGCCTGGTCGTGATGGGCCTTCAATTAATAGCTGGATTGGCAAGTAAGTACGGCTAAAACTTGCCGGACACGAAACTTTCTCGCACGGAACCAACTTGGCAACTGTCAGTGTGCGGAATACTTGATAATTTCTTATAGGGTGATTGCTTCAAAAATAGAGTAAGATATTACCATTATTTTACTTCAAATACTTTTAAATTCAAACGAAAAAAAACTTTAATTTTAAACTCTTATACAAGTTGGCTAATGTCTATGGCAAAAATCTCACACCATTCGAAGTAATCTAATAATCTTTTAGGGAAAAGTTCACCAAAGGGTATTCGCATTTCAGCTGTGCAGCGCCAACTTTTCTTCGGCGTTTTTTCATTGTAATGCAGGTGACAAAGCCGGCGTCTGAGCTGCCCAGCGCCCACCCTCCGGACAAGGACACTTTTTGGTCTTCCAGGTTCGGGGGGCCAGTAAGTGGGAACCGTCAAAAGGAACAAACCTCAATGGCGTCAGCGTGGAAATGCACGTCACAAGTACTCGCACAGTTCATCTGGCCGAGTAAATGGAAAAGTTTTGTTTGGTAAACTTTTGGGGCAAAAGGAAAAAAAGCCAACGAAAAAAAAAGACGGCGCTTAGGCGGACTCAAGTCCTGGATAAAACGGACAGGGATGGGCTGTGCCTTTGGTCCGAAGTCACTAAGGAAACAATGACGACCGAAAAGTTTCTCGTTGGCATAATCATTGTCATGGCCATTGACGCAAGGATTTGCAAATTATCAGGACGAAACTTGACCGAGCCCGTGTGCAACATGAGCCTCGTCAAGTGGATCTGAATGGAGTGGATCTAAAAATGGTAATGGAACTGGGAATGTATAGGCGGGGCACTGTGAGAGTTAGTGGGGAATCTGTGGAAAATTCCATCATTAAAACCCATAAGAGGAATAGATGTGGGGGCAGCGAGGGAGCAAGCGGCAGGGGCGACAGCTGTCGGAACCGCAATAACGGGCATAGATAGCAATTATGCCTTTGGCGAAATTGCTGGCTGACAATCAAAGAAGCCGCACGCATAAACAAACCGGGCCCCGGTCTCGGTCCTGGTCCCGGAACCACCGCAACCATCCCGGCAATTTCTACCCGACGGGGAACCACAAACTCCCGGTAATGAATTGTGGCCAACCGACCCAAAACACAAACAGATAGACAAAGACCCGATTATAAGTTTACGTACTTCTTCTTTTTCGCTTGCCTGCACAATTTTCTTGATCTTGCCACCATTAGCTCTCCCGTTTAGGCCCTGTTACCCCCACACACCCACACCCGCACACACGCTCGCGTATCAACAACATATCCTTTTTCATTTCAAGCCAAATGATTAAAAGGACCCTTAATTCTTTGCCAAGGCTTATACCCAAGTATTGTTATGCGCAAAATTCATTTGAAGGCGGAAAGTTTATCGCTGCCCTGCAGCCTCAGAGTGCAGCCTCAAGCTTGGCTAATTTGTTGCCAAATGACACTCAAAAAAAATTAAATAAATAAAATATATACTCTAAGAAATGTTAGCTAAAACAGCTTATATTTCTTACAATACAATTATTATCAAAAAGTCAACTAAAAACATAAAAAATATATTATATAAATATTAATATTTTTATCAGTATATTGCCTTACCATGCATATTTATTGCGCAGGCCAACCGCTCGAAAGGAATTGCAATGAAATGCACAATAATTCAAATTACGCATACGCAGCGTTGTACGGTTGGGGTAGAACATCCCTTGGCCTTCCTCCCTTTGGCTATAGCAAGCGCATCCCCAATCAGCCCATCACCACTCAGGACCCAACTAGTAAATAGAAAATATCTCAAGTTGTTCCGCCTGAACGCATCCCATCGCATCCAAGCCAATGACGCTGACTCAGTTGGCAAGAAGAAAAGCCAAAGGAAAATGCGACTGCGGCTGCAGAAAATATGATTTCGTTCATTCATTAAAAACAAAATCCGACAAGTTCAAGTTGAATGAAAGAAAAATATATATTTTTAGACACAAACTCATACACGACCGTGTGTCTCTGACCACATATGATTTATTTTTAACGTGGCTATTACAGCATCATAATGAGCATCCGTCCCGGCCTCTTGCCAAACAGTCAGAGTGACAAAATGTCAGAATGACAAAATAAACATTCGCAAAAATATAACCGAAAACCTTTTAAGAATCGCACACGGAATGTTTTTATTTGTGTTTTGGCCGCCATGTGTGCTGTTGCCGCATGCCCCGTATTTTCGGCATTTTCTTGGTCCGATTTGCCAAACAGCTGATTTAAATAGCCAGCCCCAAAGCGAAAGAGAAACAATCAGAGCGAGAACCGACCCCAAAGGGTGTCAAGTGGGAGGGAATGGGGGGGTCAGAAGGAGGCAAGCAACAAGCGGCGAGGCGAAAAATTTCGGCGAACACGAAAAGCCGGCGAGAAAATCGCTTCGGGCCACAATCGCCGCACAGTGCCCTCCGATAAGGGAAGTAATTTTAAAGTTTAAAATTCTTTTAATAAATTGTAAAATCTTTATTTGTAATTGAATGACATAGAGATTTAGTTCATATACAAATTTTTCGCTAGAAAACTAAAAACCTGAGACCATCTTTAGCTACAATTATTTATAAAGCAGTAACTTTCGGTTTCAGTATGTTAATAAAAAAAATAATTAGTAATAACTAGAAAACATATTATTCAGTAAGTGTTATTGTGTTATTAGTAATAGTGTTAAAAAAAATGATAAGTATGTATTTTAGACAAACTTGTACTACAAATAATACTACTATTACTATAATACGATGCTCTTTGAAGTTCAACAGTTTGAAAATCTTTAAGATTTTTAACCATAAATAACTGGGTTTTTGTTTAAAAATTCCAATTCTTTAATATTTTCCATAATTGTAATCCTACTTTTCCCAGACCTCAAAGAATGATGGGGAAAACCCTGTATACATTTTTAAATAATATAAACCTTGTAAAATTTATTAAAATTCGAAGCAAAATAGTATAATTCTATCCCCCAACGATTAAAGATAAACATATTTTTTTAAACCCCATAATTCCCCAAAACCATTCCCCATATTTAAAAGAAACCCCAAATATTCAGACTCTTGGAACCACTGTTCCTGGCCGAGACTGAGACTGAGGCTGGGGGCTGCTGCGTATTGCGTGCCGCAGCGCTCGCTGTTCGCCGCCCCATCATTCTGCACTCGTAGTCGCCGTCGTCGGGGCCCCGTCGTCAGTCTAGAGAGTAATATCGACACGAAAAGTAAGTTCGCCGTGGTTCTGCTGGCCGTACTGGGCCCACAGCATCGAGTATAGAATCTATATGTGTGTTCGGGCCAGGGAAACTGGTGGAAAACGTGGAAAAACCATCCAGTGCTCGACTTTTTCACGCGCCCTCCTCAAACACGTGTCGGAGTTTGGCTCCAGGGCGGCAAAATCAAGTTGTGTCGCGGATTGCATAAGATTTGCAATTATAATTCCGACGATTCGAATAAGTAAAATATGAAAATTTGATGAAAATTTCTGAAAGTGCTCTAGTTTTGTGCGCTGCCCAGGCCTTTGCGTGTGATATTTTTGGACATGTGTGCGCCTCGTTGTCGGCTCCCCGTCTTCGGGTCGTCTTCGTGCAGCGGTGGAGACCAAAAATAAACACACGACACTGCTGAAAAGCCAGAGCGATTGTTAGATTTTCAAATCCAACAAAAAAAACCCGAAATTCTTTTTCGAAATACAAAAAAAAACACCTCTGTTCTTTAATGAACAATCCCCCGTGTGGTGTGCCGGGTTCCGAGTGGATATGTAAATCCCAGAGTGTTTGTGTGTGTGAGGTGGGTGGTGCAAAATGGCGGCAGTGGTTTGGTTTATGCGGCATTGCGTGCCATCGGACCCTTGGATTACCGATGGCACACAACGGGGACTCCTGGCCTCCTAGCCAAGAGTCTCGCAGACAGACTGCCTGCCGCCGGTGAAATCAGTGAAATCAGAAAAGTCCTTGCCCAAGGATAAACGCATGAAATCATAAAATCAAGTCAATCCCACGCACCAACGGGCAATTAATTAGAATTTCTCTCTGGGAATTCCTAGTGCGGCGAAGTGTCCGTCCATACAGAGTAAAAGTGGCAACATGTTGCCATCAGACGCACTCGCAAAGTGAATAAGTGTGCAAATATACATACTAAATATAAATACTGCTACTAAATCCGCGAAAGAAAGTGTGTGGGATTATCGAACTACCCCCGGCGACAAAGTAACACTGGCACTTGTCCAAAAACATATTAGAAGCCCCAAAAAAACAAGCTAAAAAAAAGGAAAATTAGGGATATATGTATTTGATTAGCTGAATGCCAAACAAAATAGTTTATTAACTTGGCCAAGAAATCTGGCGATTTTTCAAGCAATTAGTCTGTTTTATTTGCTTATAATTGTGGGTTGATTAATTACTTTAAAAGTATTTTATTAGACAAATAGAAACAAGGATAATGTCTATGATATTATGAGAAATGGAACTAAAGATATGTCTATATGAATCAATTTTAAACCAAAGTTTAAATATTAATTCTATAAATTTTTAAATAACAAAATAAGTTGATTATTTTCAAACCCTAATTAATGAATTATAAATAAATATTAATAAACAATAAATCAAAAAACCAAAATAAGTTTCTCAGAAGCCAAATAGTTTTGAAAATATTTAATTTATATTTTAATTTCTTTAATATTTCACTCGTACAAGAAGAATGTCCTTAGATTCTCTCAGTTCTCAATTTATTGAGAGCGGAGACCCAAATAAATTTGAAAATTGCTCAGTTGTTGGCTTTTCGCCACAAAGTAACATATTTACAAGCGACAGACATTCCAACATAATTACACATGTTAAAAAAAAAAACAAAAAAGCGAGACAGTGCCAGGCGAATTTGGCAAGTGACGCAAAAATGCGGCGACCAAAGCAAATGGCGAAAAAAGCCCGCAGTACCGAGTGAATCAGCTGTTCGGCGAGCAAAACACAAAATGGACGAAACAGACAACCGGAAGAGAGAGAGCTCTCACTCTCCGTTGGCCATGTTTGAATGTACGAGCGTGCGTGTGTGTGTGTGTTAGCATATTATAAACAAAAGTTAGTGCCACTTGATTTCTGGCAGCCCATGACCGAACCCTCGCCGAAGATTCTTTACAGTTTCGCGACAAGTGTAAACATTACGTCAAGTAAACGTAAACAAATTTCGAAATTCTTTGTAATTTTTTTTTTTTAAAGGAAATAAACCGACTCGAGATATCAAGGGGAATCCCAAAACAATTTAAAAACCAATCACGCGGGTGAATTGAAAATTTTGGAGGCGCTGCGGTCGTTGCGTTAACCAAACGAAATGGCTGAGGCGGAGGGAGGCTCCGAGCAGGATGATGTTTCATTCCTGAGAACGGTAAGTAACACGATATGCTACTCCAAGTAGGACCAAAAAAAAATATATATATAATTCACATCCATATATCCATTCAGCCAGTCAGATCATCTAAAATCAATTACGTCCACTCAATAAAATCCATGGGGGATTTTTCACAATTGGTGTCATAAAATATCCGGCAATCCATAAAAGATGTCCTGCCCGTCTGTCCGCCGGCCTGCCTGCCTGGCCCACTGTATATGTAATGCATATTTATAGGCGCCCCTAACTTTGGTTTATGGCACACAATAAATACAAACTCGAGTCACAAATTCAATCACAGCCACCAGGGGCTTTAGCTTTTCGTCTGATTCCACTTTACATAGCCAGCTGGGTAAAGGCTGGAGAAGATTCAGAGGACCTGAACAGGGAATAAGCGGGCGGGTAAAGGACTCGATGAACACATCGTCAGCTGACAAATGCCGCTATATATCAATGCCCACAGCTGGTGCGCCAAATGACAGCCATTATGGGGTATAAGTAAATAGTGTTGCTTCCTTTTCCTCACGCCCACACTGGCTCAAAGCACCGAGCCCAACCTCTCTGTCACTCCCTCTGTTTTGAGGGTCAGCGAGGTCAGCAGCACGACACCTTGCCGCAATAAATAAATACGTTTAAGGGCAAAAGTTGAGTTTGCCCATCGCACCCGAACCCGCACCGGCATTCTCACAGCACAGCGGCAGCATCCGTGTATCTTTGTATCCTTCGTATCACTGTTTCCGCCCGCAGGCCCATTGGCCCATTGGCCCATTCACCGCAACAGAAATTCAATAAATATCGAAGTCCCACCAGAGTGGCAAACCTTTCCTCGGAATCCCCCTTGGGAGTGTTGTCCTTGCCTTCAAAAGACGTCAAATTACGCTTATTTGCTGAAAACTCTCCGGCTGCGGTCCGTCTCCACCACCAGCTCCACCTCCAACTCGCTTGTCCAGACTGTGGCCAAGTTTACAGTTCACAAACGAGTGACCCGAAAAGTGCAAGTTTGCACAAAACATTTATCGAAATGAAGTCAAATGCAAATTGAGGCATCGGACAGTGCAGTTTTTAGGGCCAGTCCCCGGGATGTGGTCAGGTTTAAATTTTAAATAGACGGGGACATAGAGAGAGACAATGATCCTGCTGCGTCAGGACTCGGCACTTCATTCGCATTTAAATTATGCAAATTGCTCGATTCGAAATCCATTACCGTTCATTTAACTTCGACTACACACAACATCACCGTCCCAAAATCACATCTCACTGCCCAGTGAAAGTGGGCGTGCCAGTGGGCTTAGATTGCCATCCATCCACCCCACCCATCCAAACCACCACACTTTCCTCCCATTAGCCACCATTCATTTGCACATTTAGTGCCTTGTAACAATTCCCTCAATTTGCGTGTGCATTGCCCTGCTTGAATCTCTAGACCCAAAAGGGATGCAGACGCCAATGGACTTGGAGCTTACACGGGGTACGGGCCGGTATCATAGACCTTGGAAGGGGCTGTCGAATGTGTTGCCAAATACCAATTGGTATTGTGGTGGCTTGCCGGTCGGAATTGTTGCCAAAGTCTCATTAAAATTGCAGCACAACTTTGGGCCTCTTAACGACTTAATTGTAGCCCTCAGTCTTCATTCATTCATTGGCATTCCCGACTTTTCGATTAAGGAAACTGCGAGTTTCAAGATTCAAACTATTAGCTATTCAGGGAATATGGTTATTCCAAAAGGAAGTTTAGGGTAAGGAGCTTAGCGTTTGTTTTCGTAAATATATGCTTTCAATATTTTATTTTATTTAGAAGCCAAGCTTTTAAGAAATCAATCTGTTTGAACTTATCTGATCTGATATTGCAATATGTTCTACAAACTTCTGAACCTTTCTTTATATAATTCGCTAGTCTGGATTTAGTATCCTAAACGATATTAAAAATTTCGGAACCTTAGGCAAGAAAATCTATCTTAATTTACCTTTAATTTAGTGTTTATTTACCAGCTAGTACCAGGTAGAAGTACCCACAATTAACATCCCAAAACATACAAATAATATAAACATATCTATTCAACCATTCTCATTATCATAATTGACCATACATTACTACGAATATTTCACGCAAATCTACATAAATTATGAATTAATTCAAATATATTATGGATATACTCTTACCAACTAAATATTGATCATATATTAACATATTTTGTATTAATTGAAACCTGCAGGAGGACATGGTCACGCTCTCCTGCACAGCGACAGGAGAGCGTGTCTGCTTGGCCGCCGAAGGATTTGGTAACCGGCACTGTTTCCTGGAGAACATTGCCGACAAGAATGTGCCGCCGGATCTGTCGCAGTGCGTCTTCGTCATCGAGCAGGCGTTGTCCGTGCGAGCTTTGCAGGAGCTGGTGACAGCGGCGGGATCCGAGACTGTAAGTATGGGCATTCCTATCTGGCCAGCACGCATATATGTATGTGACGTGTTTCGTCTTAATCACCTCGAATCAAGGGAATCCCGAGCATCCATTCTATGTCCGTTTCCTCCTATATGTTGTGATCCATACTGCTTACTATTCCAAAAACATTTCGATGCTACAAATCTCCCGGTTTCAATAGGTCTTCCCGGTTTCTGCATGCCAGTCCTTTACTCTGCTCCTTCCCTTTTTCCACCCCCCGATCTCTTCTCTTCTCTACACATTTGTAACCTTTTGAATTTTTCGTTATTTTTTCAAAATTTGTCTAAATACCCACAAAACAGGATAGTCAAGTTGTAAGTATACCGTTAAATTCTTCTTAAATCTAATAGCGCTTTTCTTCTATCTATCTATCTCTCTCTATCTATCTATCTGTCTCACTCTGTCCGTGTAAAGTAGCTCTTGTTCTTCTCGCTCGGCTGCATTTGCTTTCTTTGTCGCACTTTTGGCGGGAAAAGAAACCGCCAAAAAGTTTAAGAGCTCTTCGCAAGTAATATTCCCAGTAGGAGACACTATTTGCGTATTAAGCCTTGAAGCTCTTTAACTAGACAGTGAATAAAACTACAATTAGTTTAAGGAGTACACTTGGAAAGGGACTCAATGGGTTGGTCCTTATTTCATTTCCAAACAGAGAAAGGAGTCATTAAGTTCTTCTAAAGTTCTTTTCTCATATTTATTTTGATATAATTTACTCTAGTACCTTGTATATAAAATTATAACTATTTATTTAACAATTCTTCGTATTGTATTTTGTATAAACTTTCTCTGTTTGGATGTACTCTATAAATCTAACCGATATCAACCACAAAACACTTTTGCATTCTAACCCTGTAGTATCTTTATTATAAACCCTGTTATGCCGTAGTTAGTAGATTGTATTTTACAAAAATCCTTCAAGCTAAGCTGTCCCCAGACTGGCGACAGTGCTAACACTAATTAATCGCTTACCAACAATTCTTAGGGCAAGGGAACTGGATCCGGACACAGGACATTGCTCTACGGCAATGCCATTTTGCTCCGTCATCACAATAGTGATATGGTAAGTCGCTTTAAAGTTTAAACCAAAAAATAGGGAAATATTAATCATAATATTTGAAATTCCAGTACTTGGCCTGTCTGTCCACCTCGTCGTCGAATGACAAGCTATCCTTTGATGTGGGTCTGCAGGAGCACAGCCAGGGAGAGGCCTGCTGGTGGACAGTGCATCCGGCGAGCAAGCAGCGTTCCGAGGGTGAGAAGGTGCGCGTCGGTGATGATTTGATCCTGGTATCTGTGGCCACGGAGCGGTATCTGCACACCACCAAGGAGAACGAGCAGTCGATTGTGAATGCCAGCTTCCATGTGACCCACTGGTCGGTTCAGCCCTACGGAACGGGAATTTCCCGAATGAAGTACGTCGGTTATGTTTTTGGTGGCGATGTACTGCGCTTCTTTCATGGCGGAGACGAGTGCCTGACCATACCCAGCACCTGGGGCCGTGAGGCTGGTCAAAAGTAAGTACAAATCCTATGAAATCTTATTTATAAATGCTAATCCTCTTGGCAGTATTGTAGTTTACGAGGGCGGCGTGGTCATGGCCCAGGCACGTTCCCTGTGGCGTCTGGAGTTGGCCAGGACCAAGTGGACGGGTGGCTTCATCAACTGGTACCATCCGATGCGAATTCGCCACATAACCACTGGACGCTATTTGGGCGTCAACGAAAGCAACGAACTGATTCTGGTGAAGAAGGAGGAGGCTTCGATCGCCACGACGACTTTCTGCCTGAGGCAGGAAAAGGACGACGAGAAGAAGGTGCTCGAGGACAAGGACCTGGAAGTGATCGGCTCGCCGATCATCAAGTACGGCGACACCACCGTCATCGTCCAGCACTGCGAGACGAGCCTGTGGCTCAGCTACAAGAGCTACGAGACCAAGAAGAAGGGCGTGGGCAAGGTCGAGGAGAAGCAGGCCATCCTCCACGAAGAGGGCAAGATGGACGATTGCCTCGACTTTTCGCGCTCCCAGGAAGAGGAATCGAAGACGGCCCGTGTCATTCGCAAGTGCAGCAGTCTTTTTACCCAATTTATTACGTAAGTATTGGTTTATGATCTTTTAAAGGAAATCTACTAACTATTATATTCTTTCAGGGCTTTGGAGACTCTTCAGTCCAATCGCCGACACTCCATTTTCTTCCAGAAGGTCAACCTCAACGAAATGGTCATGTGCCTGGAGGACTTGATCAACTACTTCTCGCAACCCGAAGACGATATGGGTAAAAATAAATGGATTTTAAAATAATTCTTACCAGGATTATAACCAAATCTTCTCCACAGAACACGAGGAGAAACAGAACCGCTTCCGAGCTCTGCGCAATCGCCAAGATCTGTTCCAGGAGGAGGGCGTGCTAAATCTCATCCTGGAGGCCATTGACAAGATCAATATCATTACTTCCCAGGGTTTCCTGGCCAGCTTCTTGGCCGGCGACGAGACTGGCCAGAGCTGGGACCTCATCTCCACCTATCTGTACCAACTACTGGCTGCCATAATCAAGGGAAACCACACCAATTGCGCCCAGTTCGCCAACAGCAATCGCCTGAACTGGCTATTCTCACGCCTGGGATCTCAGGCCTCCAGCGAGGGCTCCGGCATGCTGGACGTACTCCACTGCGTGCTGATCGACTCTCCGGAAGCTCTGAACATGATGAGAGATGAGCACATCAAAGTGATCATCTCGCTGCTGGAAAAGCACGGCCGCGACCCGAAAGTCCTGGACGTTCTCTGTTCCCTGTGCGTGGGTAACGGAGTGGCAGTGCGTTCCTCGCAAAACAACATCTGCGACTTCTTGCTGCCCGGCAAGAACCTGCTACTGCAGACCCTTCTAGTGGACCATGTGGCCAGTATCCGGCCAAACATATTTGTGGGCCGCGTAGACGGCTCGTCCATGTACCAGAAGTGGTACTTTGAAGTGACCATGGACCACATCGAGCAGACAACGCACATGATGCCCCACCTGCGCATCGGCTGGGCCAACACCTCAGGCTATGTCCCGTATCCGGGAGGAGGCAAGAAGTGGGGCGGCAACGGCGTGGGAGATGACCTCTACTCCTTTGGATTTGACGGCGCCTACTTATGGACTGGAGGCCGCAAGACCCTCGTGGTGGATGCCTTGCCCGAGGAGCCCTTCATTCGCAAGGGCGATGTCATTGGCGTGGCCATTGATCTCTCAGTGCCCATCATCACCTTTACCTTCAATGGTGGCAAGGTACGCGGCAGCTTCCGGGACTTCAATCTGGACGGTATGTTCTTCCCCGTAATGAGCTGCTCCTCGAAGCTGAGTTGCCGATTCCTGTTTGGCGGCGATCATGGTCGCTTAAAGTTTGCTCCACCCATGGGATTCTCGGCTTTGGTTCAGTGCCTTATGCCCCACCAGATCCTCAGTCTGGATCCGTGTTTCTACTTTGGTAATCTCAGCAAAAATGTCCTGGCCGGACCCTGGCTCATCGAGGACGACACTGCCTTTGTGCCCAAGCCTGTGGATACGACAGGCGTTTCTCTGCCCAGCTCTGTGGACCAAATCAAAGAGAAGCTGGCGGAGAACATCCACGAGATGTGGGCTCTGAACAAGATCGAGGCTGGTTGGTCGTGGGGTGAGCACCGCGACGACTACCATCGCATCCATCCGTGCCTCACCCAGTTTGAGAAGCTGCCGGCAGCCGAGAAGCGATATGACAATCAATTGGCTGTGCAGACGCTTAAGTAAGTCTTTTGGAAAGTTTAAGAATATTTTCTAGAATAACGAGTATCCTTCCGCAGGACAATCATTTCCCTGGGCTACTACATCACCATGGACAAGCCGCCAGCCCGCATTCGCCCAGTGCGCCTGCCCAACGAGATCTTCATGCAGGGCAATGGCTACAAGCCGGCTCCCTTGGACCTCAGCGCTGTTACCCTCACCCCCAAGTTGGAAGAGCTGGTGGACCAGCTGGCGGAGAATACGCACAACCTGTGGGCCCGTGAAAGGATTCAGCAGGGCTGGACTTATGGTCTGAACGAGGATAGCGACAACCACCGCAGTCCGCATCTCGTTCCCTACGCAAAGGTGGACGAGGCCATCAAGAAGGCCAACAGGGACACGGCCTCGGAGACAGTGCGCACTCTACTGGTCTACGGTTATGTCCTGGATCCTCCCACTGGAGAGGGCACCGAAGCCCTTCTGGCAGAGGCACAGCGCCTCAAATTCGCCGCCTTCCGGACCTACAGAGTGGAAAGGAACTACGCCGTAACCTCGGGCAAGTGGTACTTTGAGTTCGAGGTCCTCACCGCCGGACCCATGCGAGTGGGCTGGGCCCGAGCCGATTGCTATCCGGGCGCCATGTTGGGCAGCGAGGACACCAGCTGGGCCTTCGACGGACACAATGTAAGTATGCCTCGGGGGAGTACAATCGGAGTACCAGGGAGAAATGCTATTTTGGGGGGTTTTTGGATTCAGAAAGAGGGGATTCCTTCCAAATAGAGACTGTGGTAGAGCCGCAATGCAAGATCAACTCACTCAATGCAAACCCACCAACCCCGTGATTATAGGTAACCAAAATGCACGCCGGATCCATTGAGCACTTCGGAGTGCGGTATGAGGCTGGCGATGTCATTGGTTGTTTCATCGATGTCAAGGAGCAAACGATCAGTAAGGACCCCTAGACGCCTAGCAGCGTACATCAACGTTGATTTACTTTACTTTTGATCGAACGCATTTTGTTTAACTCAACTTTTCAACTTAATCGAAGACTTTCGTTCTCTTTTGATTTGTTAATTTAGCGACACTTTTCATATCTGATCATTAACCAATGCCACTGCCACACCAGAAATAATCACATAACCTCCGTGTAGGGTGTACGATTCGGGTTCAGGTTCAGAACCACTTAATCTCAATCTGTCACTTGCAATTCAACATTTTAGGAAGAGAAAGTGTCTGGTGGCGTCAGTGAATCCTTCGGTAAACAGTGCGGACCCGGTGACATAGTCGGCGTCTTTCTAGATCTGGCCGATCACACAATTAGTAAGAACTTGCTCGTGCTCCCTGTTGTAATGTGAATATCCTCCAAAGCATCCCCCAATAAGGAATGCACCACCTCCGTGCTTTTGATATCTACTAAATGTGAACCAGTGCCTCCGGAGAGCCGATCGCAAGCCGCAGGGCCCAGCGATGTGCAGTGTATTCGGTAGCCAAGCATCCACATAGAATCCCTGAAAGAAAAAGCATAGTTTCAGTCATTTCAAAAGGTCCTGTTCTATGAAAATAAACATCCATTGGACTTAATCAATTGAATAATGTTTCTAATATCCAAATTGAATAAAAGAACAGGACCATCATGGATCAGACATTATAGACCCCATAGAAAAAAAAAAAGAATAATTTGCTTCAACCATTAGCCTTCATTATTGTCAGCTTCTCAGTAGTTTGTCACTTTCGATCCACATTATTATCCAATCCAAATCGATTCCCAAGCTCTAACGTCCAACAATGTTGTTACTTTGAAAAACCCCCAAAAAAACGCCTAACCAGGATTGTGGCGCCCATGTAGGGGTGCCCAGCCAGCAGGGTGCCTGAGGAGCAGGTGACACATCAGCTCATCCAAAAAGCTTTTTACTCTCTCTCGTAAATAACTGCCTGTAATTACTAACGACACGTACTTATCCAATACTAATAATAACAATCAATAACAATTTCAATTCCAATTGTACAATATTTAGCATGAGAGCTAACACTAGTACTACATACTACTAATAGCCTGCTTGAAACCGTATTCCTAGCTTTGCCAACTTAATCGAAACCCAACCAATTAAACACTAGCCAAGATATACATTCGTACTCGTATGTATATAATATGCAACTAGCTGCAAGGCCAACTCAACTGCCATTAATACGCACGAATTTCCTAGAGGAATTTTAATTGCTTAATGGATTCCGGACGAACGAGACTAATCAGATACGGTGGGATACGGATCCCAGACCGAAAACCGACAGCAGAAAGTCGGAAAGCCCTAAAGCCCAAAGCCCGTTCGGAATTCATTGAAAAGCTGCTTGGTTCTTGGTTTCAATATAATCCATAATTAGCAACCGCCCAGTCGCCCCCAATCCTTCCCAGACTCCATTAACGGTAATCAATCGTTGTACAGGCTTCTCACTCAATGGAGAACTCCTCATGGACGCCCTGGGCGGCGAGACAACCTTCGCCGATGTCACCGCCGAGGGGGTGGGCTTTGTGCCCGCCTGCACCTTGGGCGTGGGCCAGAAGGCGCGCCTCATCTACGGCCAGGACGTGGACTCCCTCAAGTTCTTCACCACCTGTGGCTTGCAAGAGGGATATGAGCCTTTCTGCGTGTAAGTAGAATAATTGTTTTGGAAGAAGATAGTTCAAAAATATTAGGAATTTTCTAATTTTATATTTTTTGAATTTAAATTCTAAGAAATAGAATATAAAAGTAGAATTGTAGAATATAAAAGTATTTGCTGAATTGCTGACTATATTCTATTATATTATACAATCTTATATTATACTAGGATTAGCGACATCTTTTATGAAAAAGGGTTTCAGGAGCGCCACCTATTGCCCAATCTTTAGTTAGGCTTTGAACCTATAGTCCTTTTTTCAACACTAACTAATTTCCTCCATAGATGTCGCTACTAATACAGTAAAGCCTAGCTATTAGTGACAATAGTAAACACTATTGTTTTTAAATCCTTATCCCTCTTTAGGAACATGCGCCGCCCAGTGACCCACTGGTACACCAAGGATCAACCCATTTTCGAGAATACCGAAGAAATGCCCGACTGCCGCATTGATGTGACCCGTATTCCCGGTGGCGCAGACACCCCACCGCATTTGAAAATCTCCCACAACACCTTCGAGACCATGGAGAAGGCCAACTGGGAGTTCCTGCGACTCTCGCTGCCCGTCACCTGCATGAGCGAGTTCATCAACGAACAGGAGAAGGCTCGGCGCTGGGACGAGATTAAGAACCGGCAGTACCGTCTGATGCGAGAGGCAGAAGCTGCTGCCCAGATGCAGGTCCAGACCCAGGCCGCCCACATGGATCACATGCTCAAGGGTGGCTTCAACATGAACGACATCAAAGGTTTAACCCGCAATTTTGACGAGCACGCCGATGCCGAGGCGGATCACATGATGCGAGGACCTTCGAGGCCTCCGCGGAAGGGATCCCTCACTCGTAACATCACGTTTGAGACGGACATGTCCGCTGCCCTGGACGAGATGCATCGCTCCTCCTCCGTGCTCGACATGAACGGTCTGGGCGACGAGTTGGACGACAAGAAAAAGCGCGGACGTAGTCCCTTCAAGTTCTTCTCGAAGAAGTCGCGGGACCAGAGCCGCGAAAAGATGGGCCGTTCCCAGGACACTTCCTTGGAACGCCGCAACACCGTGGCCCACGGGCGCAATGTGGTCAACCAGCAGATGACCACTAGAGCTCCCACCTTGAGGTTGAATAACGTAGGTTTTTTATTTTCAAATGAAATCACAAATGGTATCAACATCCATTATCTTTCAGGCGGACATCCCACCCAGTCCAGTACCTCAAGGACCCAAACAGCTGAGCGGCTCCACTCTGGGTCAACCACCAGTGGAGTCCTCCGGAGAGGAGATGTTCGATGCCGAGTGCCTGAAACTGATCAACGAGTACTTCTACGGAGTCCGCATCTTCCCCGGCCAGGATCCCACCCACGTGTACGTCGGCTGGGTAACCACCCAGTACCACCTGCACAGCCGGGAGTTCAACAAGAACAAGGTGCGTCGCGGTTCCGTTTACATCGAGGACGATTATGAGATGGCCATCGAGCGGATCGACCGCCAGAGCTGCTACGTTGTGAGAGCCGACGAGCTCTTCAACGAGGTTACCCAAGACGCCTCCGGCAAGGGTGCTTCTCAGGGCATGTTTGTGGGCTGCTTTGTGGACACAGCCACTGGCATTATCCGCTTCACGTGCGAGGGCAAGGACACGTCCCACCGCTGGATGATGGAGCCGGACACCAAGCTTTTCCCGGCCATTTTCGTGGAAGCCACCAGCAAGGAGATCCTGCAGATCGAACTGGGCCGCACACCCACCACTCTGCCCCTGTCGGCGGCGGTGCTGCCCACCAGCGACAAGCACATCAATCCCCAGTCGCCACCGCGTCTCAAGGTCCAGTGCCTGCGGCCGCACCAGTGGGCCCGTGTCCCCAACACGGCGCTCCAGGTGCACGCTCTGAAGCTGTCCGACATCCGCGGTTGGTCCATGTTGTGCGAGGACCCCGTTTCCATGCTGGCCCTGCACATACCCGAGGAGGATCGCTGTATCGACATCCTGGAGCTGATTGAGATGGACAAGCTGTTGTCCTTCCACGCCCACACCCTCACCCTGTACGCGGCCCTCTGCTACCAGTCCAACTACCGGGCAGCCCACGCCCTGTGCCAGCACGTGGACCAGAAGCAGCTGCTCTACGCCATCCGGTCCGAGTACATGAGTGGACCTCTACGCCAGGGCTTCTACGACCTGCTGATCGCCCTTCATCTGGAGTCGCATGCCACCACAATGGAGGTCTGCAAGAACGAGTACATCACACCGCTGGGACCAGAGCTGAAGGAGCTCTATAGCGAGGACGAGATGCAGCACTCGCTGCGTTCTCTGGTAACGGAGTCAGTGCGTCCGCAGCTGCGAATGACGGAGATCACGTGAGTTAGCCAATCGGTGGTTTTTGCGCCCCTCCCACAGAGCACAGATTCCTTGGTCACTGCGCGGGTGGGGCCATTCGTTGCATTCTTATTCTTTTTTTTTTGTTCACGCCCACATTATGTTTCGAATCTCCCGTTCCTGCATCTCGAACACACCATCTGAACCTGCACCTGCATCTGCACCGCACCGACACAACAACTGAAACTACACCCGTCCAGACCCCCTGTGATTGCAACATCTAGTCTACCAAGTGTTTCCAGCGAACCGATCCCCAACATCGACCAATTGTACTCCCCGAAGTTCCCCCTAGAAGTAGTCAGGCAGTTCGTGATGGAGGCGCTGAAGGATGCTGTGGAGATCAACCAGGTCCACAACCGGGACCCCATTGGTTGGACCAACGAAAATCTATTCTTGTGAGTAACCAACCCCGCCACCTAGATGGTCCCCAAAGAACTGTCTTAGTGATAGCCCGATCCCATCTGCCTTGTAGACCACTCATTAAGCTAACAGACCGCCTGCTCCTGGTCGGCGTTTTAACCGACGAAGATGTACAGAGGTTGCTGGTGATGATTGACCCGGAAACATGGGATGCAGCCTTCGAGAGAGGTGAGATTTAAAAATATTTTATAAACAAGCGACTAATTATTTTCCTAATCAGAGGGCAAGGATGAACACCGAAAGGGACTCCTCACCATGAAGATGGCCGAGGGAGCCAAGCTACAGATGTGCTACCTGTTGCATCATCTATACGACACCCAGTTGCGCCACCGCGTGGAGAGCATTATTGCGTTCTCGCACGACTTCGTGGGCGATTTGCAGACCGATCAGTTGCGACGTTATATCGAGATCAAGCAATCCGACCTGCCCAGTGCTGTTGCGGCCAAAAAGACTAAGGAGTTCCGCTGTCCGCCGCGAGAGCAGATGAACCAGATTCTCTGCTTCAAGAACCTCGAAGCCGATGACCAGGACAACTGTACCTGCGGCCTTGAGTTGCGCGGTCGCCTGGGCGACTTCCACGACAGCCTGATGCAGAAGGTGTCGCTCAATGCCCTCCAGGAGCCGGACGGCGTTGAGGGCGCAGCGATCGAAGAAATTAAGACCGGACCGATAACGAAAATCTACAATTTCATCAACACCGTCAAGGAGCTGGAGGAGGGGCCCAAGGAAGTGGAGGAGCCGGAGAAGAAGACACCCGAGGAAGTGTTCCGCAAGGTGCTGATCAAGACGATCGTCAGCTGGGCGGAAGAGTCTCAGATCGAGAACCCCAAGCTGGTGCGCGAAATGTTTAGCCTGCTGCTCCGGCAGTACGACACTGTGGGCGAACTGGTACGTGCCCTGGAGAAGACCTATGTGATCAACAATCGTGCTCGGGATGACGTGGCCGAAATGTGGGTGGGTCTTAGCCAGATCCGTGCCCTGTTGCCCGTCCAGATGAGCCAGGAGGAGGAGGAGCTGATGCGCAAGCGCCTGTGGAAGCTGGTGAACAACGCTACCTTCTTCCAGCATCCCGACCTGATTCGCATCCTACGCGTCCACGAGAACGTGATGGCTGTGATGATGAACACCCTGGGTCGGCGGGCGCAAGCTCAGAGCGATGCTCCCACCCAAACGGAGGTCGCCGAGGGAGCTCCTTCGAAGGAGAAGGATACCTCCCACGAAATGGTTGTGGCCTGTTGCCGCTTCCTCTGCTACTTCTGCCGCACGGGCCGTCAAAACCAGAAGGCCATGTTCGATCACTTCGACTTTCTGCTGGACAATGCCAACATCCTGCTAGCTCGCCCCAGCCTGCGTGGATCTACTCCCCTCGACGTGGCATACTCGAGTCTGATGGAGAACACAGAATTGGCTCTGGCGCTGAGGGAGCACTACCTCGAGAAGATCGCCGTCTATCTATCCAGATGTGGCCTGCAGAGCAACTCGGAGCTTGTGGAGAAGGGCTACCCTGATCTGGGGTGGGATCCTGTGGAGGGTGAACGCTACCTGGACTTCCTGCGCTATTGCGTTTGGGTCAACGGCGAGAGCGTCGAGGAGAATGCGAACCTTGTCATTCGACTTCTTATCCGTCGTCCGGAATGCTTGGGACCGGCTCTAAGAGGAGAAGGAGAAGGTCTGTTCCGCGCCATCGTCGAGGCCAATCGCATGTCGGAGCGCATCTCGGACCGCTGCAAGATGCAGGACGAGGCCGAGGGCACCATTGCCGGACTGAACTTCACGCACCCGTTGCCCGAGAGCGACGAGGACGAGGACTACATCGACACTGGCGCAGCCATCCTGAATTTCTACTGCACCCTGGTTGACCTATTGGGTCGCTGTGCCCCGGATGCCTCTGTCATCGAGCAGGGCAAGAACGAATCCCTGAGAGCTAGAGCTATTCTGAGATCTCTGGTGCCACTGGAGGATCTGCAGGGCGTGTTGAGCTTAAAGTTCACCCTATCGCAGACAGCTCCGGGCGAAGAAAAACCCAAATCAGACATGCCATCAGGCCTGCTGCCCAACAACAAGCAGAGCATCGTGCTCTTCTTGGAGCGCGTGTACGGCATCGAGACCCAGGATCTGTTCTACCGCCTGCTGGAGGACGCCTTCCTCCCGGATCTGCGCACCGCCACCATCCTGGACAAGAGCGACGGCTCGGAGAGTGACATGGCCCTGGCCATGAACCGCTACATCGGCAACTCTATCCTCCCACTACTGATCAAGCACTCCAAGTTCTACAACGAGGCCGAAAACTACGCCAGTCTCTTGGACGCCACCCTGCACACGGTCTATCGGCTATCCAAGAACCGTATGCTAACCAAGGGACAGCGTGAGGCCGTCTCCGATTTCCTGGTGGCCCTCACATCCCAAATGCAACCTGCCATGCTGCTCAAGCTGCTGCGCAAGTTGACTGTGGATGTGTCCAAGCTTTCCGAGTACACCACCGTGGCTCTTCGGGTGAGTAATCTGCTTCCTTTCGAATTCCAAATGATTTCCTTTATTACCCTTTTCGGATAGCTTCTCACCCTGCACTTCGATCGCTGCGCCAAGTACTATGGCTCAACTCAAGGCCAGGGCTCGTATGGAGCCTCATCGGACGAGGAGAAGCGCCTGACGATGCTGCTGTTCTCGAACATTTTTGACTCGCTCAGCAATATGGACTATGACCCGGAACTGTTCGGTAAAGCACTGCCCTGCCTGATTGCCATCGGCTGCGCCCTGCCGCCCGACTACAGTCTGTCCAAGAACACGGACGAGGACTACTATGGCCGCCAGATGGGCGCTCCCGACCAGCCGCAGTATATGCCGAATCCCATTGACACCAACAACGTCCACCTGGACAACGACCTCAACTCACTGGTCCAGAAGTTCAGCGAGCACTACCACGACGCCTGGGCCAGTAGGAGGCTGGAAGGTGGCTGGACCTATGGAGAGATCCGATCCGACAATGATCGCAAGCATCCGCGTCTCAAGCCCTACAACATGCTCAGCGAATACGTACGTGATACTCTCTATCTGATATGATGTGTGTTTTCTTCATGTCTTTATGATTTCTCTAACTTTTTCAGTAACTAACTAAACTATTATTATTTTATTTAATAATTTTCTCATATTTTCTAACAGAGCTATTAATTATCTGTTAACAAATAATCATCTTCTTTCAGAAAGCAATAATTATTTAACTTTCAACTTTAATTCTCATGATTTCTTTTTAATATTTGTTTAATAATCGTTAATATTATTTACTTCATACAGTTCCTAACAGCTAATATTATTATTTATGAAATATTTAAACTTAAAATATTAAAATATTAATTATTTTTCTAACTTTTGGTCCTTAGGAACGTGAGCGCTATCGTGATCCAGTACGGGAATGCTTGAAGGGTCTATTGGCCATTGGTTGGACTGTGGAGCACTCGGAAGTGGAGGTGCCACTCAACCATCGTGGATCGACGCGTCGCCAGTCAAAGCCTCAGATTGTATGTAAAATTCTAAAGTCCTTTCCACTAATCCTCTTTCTCAAGCGGCCTTCTAACAAACTTTTCAAAATTTTGGACATTCTTTCGAAACAAAAATTGGCTCTTCCGCACCCATGCCCACGCCCCTCCATGTGTGTCCCCCTTAAAACCGATAGCACGATTTCCAGAATGAAGGCAGCCCGTTCAACTACAATCCCCATCCGGTGGACATGAGCAACCTCACGCTCAGCAGGGAGATGCAGAACATGGCCGAACGCCTGGCAGAGAACTCCCACGACATCTGGGCCAAGAAGAAGAACGAGGAGCTGAACGGCTGTGGCGGAGTTATCCACCCACAGCTGGTGCCCTACGATCTCCTGACCGACAAGGAGAAGAAGAAGGATCGCGAGCGTTCGCAGGAGTTCCTCAAGTACATGCAGTACCAGGGCTACAAGCTGCACAAGTGAGTCTAGCATATGAATTCTAGAAGGAATAGAATTACTTTTATCTCATAACTTACAGACCATCTAAGGGTGGTGCCGTGGAAGAGGGTGGAGCTACCCAAGCTGCCGTGGAGCTGCGTTTCTCATACTCGCTGCTGGAGAAGCTCATCCAGTACCTGGACAGAGCCACCATCAACATGAAGCTTTTGAAGCCATCCACCACCTTCAGTCGCCGCTCGTCCTTCAAGACAGCCACTCGCGACATTAAGTTCTTCTCGAAGGTGGTGCTGCCCCTGATGGAGAAGTACTTCTCTACGCACAGGAACTACTTTATCGCAATTGCCACGGCAACCAACAACATTGGAGCTGCCTCCCTTAAAGAGAAGGAAATGGTGGCCTCGATCTTCTGCAAGCTGGCCGCCTTGCTGCGCAACCGGCTGAGTGCCTTTGGACCTGATGTCCGCATCACAGTGCGCTGCCTGCAGGTGCTTGTGAAGGGCATCGATGCCCGCACCCTGACCAAGAACTGCCCCGAGTTCATCCGCACATCGATGCTGACGTTCTTCAACCAAACCTCCGATGATCTGGGCAACACGATTCTCAATCTTCAGGACGGCAAGTACAGCCACTTGCGAGGAACGCATCTGAAGACCTCAACGTCCCTGGGCTATGTCAACCAGGTGGTGCTGCCGGTCCTGACGGCGATGTTCGATCACCTGGCAGCGTGTGACTACGGAAGCGACTTGCTTTTGGATGAAATCCAGGTGGCCTCGTACAAAATTCTTGCTGCACTTTACCACCTGGGTACGGATGCCACGCTGACACATGATCGCAAGTATCTGAAGACGGAGATAGAGAGGCATCGTCCTGCCCTGGGATCGTGTCTGGGAGCCTATAGTTCCTGCTTCCCAGTGGCCTTCCTGGAACCGCATCTCAACAAGCACAACCAGTACTCGCTGCTTAACAGAATTGCTGATCATTCGCTGGAGGCCCAGGACATTATGGTGAAGATGGAAAGCTGCATGCCCAATCTGGAGACCATTCTCGCCGAGGTGGACCAGTTCGTGGAGTCCGACAAGACCTACAACGATGCACCACATATCATCGATGTTATTCTGCCACTGCTCTGCGCCTATCTGCCCTTCTGGTGGTCCCAGGGACCTGACAACGTCAGTCCTACCAGTGGCAACCACGTGACCATGGTCACTGCCGACCACATGAATCCCCTGCTGCGCAATGTCCTGAAGATGATCAAGAAGAACATCGGCAACGACAACGCCCCCTGGATGACTCGCATCGCTGCCTACACTCAGCAGATTATCATCAACACGTCGGAGGAGCTGCTCAAGGATCCGTTCCTGCCCCTGGCTGAGCGTGTGAAGAAGCGCACGGAGAACATGCTGCACAAGGAGGACAGCATGCGGGGCTTCATCAAGTCCGCCACGGACGACACCTCGCAGGTGGAGACTCAGTTGCAGGAGGACTGGAACCTGCTGGTGCGGGACATTTACTCCTTCTACCCGCTGCTGATCAAGTACGTGGACTTGCAGCGCAACCACTGGCTGAAGGACAACATCCCCGAGGCCGAGGAGCTCTACAACCACGTGGCGGAGATATTCAACATCTGGTCGAAGAGCCAGTACTTCCTCAAGGAGGAGCAGAACTTCATCTCGGCCAACGAGATCGACAACATGGCCCTCATCATGCCCACTGCCACGAGGAGATCGGCCATTTCCGAAGGTGTGCCCGCTGTGGGTGGCAAGGTCAAGAAGAAGAAGAAGAACCGAGACAAGAAACGCGACAAGGACAAGGAGGTTCAGGCCAGTCTGATGGTGGCCTGCCTTAAGCGTCTACTGCCCGTTGGTCTGAATCTGTTTGCTGGTCGGGAGCAGGAGCTGGTGCAGCACTGCAAGGATCGCTACCTGAAGAAGATGCCCGAGTACGATGTGATCGAGTTTGCCCGCAACCAGTTGACCCTGCCAGACAAACTGGATCCCTCCGATGAGATGTCCTGGCAGCATTATCTATACTCGAAGCTGGGCAAGACGGAGGAGCCGGTGGATGAGCAGGCTCTGGAGAAGGCCAATGTGAATGCCAATGAGAAGGGCAAGGATAAGACCACAGAGACGGTGGACCGTATAGTGGCCATGGCCAAGGTTTTGTTTGGTCTGCATATGGTAAGTGCCGGTTAGATTCCATCCAAATGGATGGTGACCCATACGATCTCTCTATCTCTCTCGCAGTTGTCTCTTTTAAGAAATATATTAGAACTCCCTCGACTTGGTTTTTTGGTTAAAAATTTAAAGACTTTAAGGATAAAAAAGAGAATAATTTAAAGACTATTTTAAGGTATTCTAAATTAAGACTCTATAACCAAAGTCCGAATTCAAGAGATATTTATGACAAAACTATAATTGTTTTAAAATATAGGCTATAACCTTTTGTTTTGATTACTTTTAGGGATAATTTTTACCATTACAGAAAGGGTTTTTTATATGAAGATCTAAAATATTTTGAATTTCTAATAACATATGAATATAGTCTAAAATATCGACCTAACTTCCATTAATACGAAAAAGAGGATACAAAATCGAGTCGAGGGCTATAACAAAATAAAACTCTGATGCCATAAGTTCGCGTAACTCATTCTACTGTAACGAATTCTCTAAATTGATCTTTTCGAATCGATACTTTTATCTTTAATCTTTTAATCACTCAATTTTTCTTTTCCTCTCGAACCATCAACAACATCAATTCAACATCAACAACAACATGAACAACCAACCACAAACCACAAAACTCGCAATTACCGATTCTCATCCAACATCCGACAATAATCGTTGACTTGTTGTTGTGAACAATATGCTGACCGGTGAACCCGTGAACGAAACATTTACAGATCGACCATCCACAACAGCAGAGCAAAAATGTCTACAGGAGCGTTGTGTCGATCCAAAGGAAGCGTGCCGTAATCGCATGCTTCCGTCAGACATCGCTACATTCTCTACCCAGGTTATTACCGATTACCGATTGAGTAGCTTCTATGGAATCTATGGCCACTAACCGAAACTAACTCAGCTATGCGTTTATCTGTATCTGAATCTGTACCTAATCCCCATCTTCTGATCATCTTCAATGGCATCAATACAATATATATCTATTATCTATTTTTTTTTTTTATTCGAATCCCCACTAATAGCTGTACTAATGTGAGAGCCGCGTTCTAAAGCCATTTGTATTATTGTATATTTTTATGGACTTGCCGCACGCGCTTGCTTGCCACTTGCTACTCCGAACCGTAAAACCGAACCGTATCCGAAATCTAAATCCGGATCCTTTAGGCAGCCGGCGCCAAGAACAGAAACAAACGCTGGAGTTCAAAGATCTCGGTGGCGCGTCGCCAGGCAGTCATTTCTAGCTTACGCGCCAAGCATCTTTATCGCATGAGCAGGTGGTACTCGTACTCGTAGTCGCATCGATTGGTTCATCTCCTAAGACTCCTAAGTTTCTATAATTTCCAACTTGGCCGGCCATCTTGCACCTACACCTGCGAGTGTGGTTCGGTCAGCATCAGTTATTATTTCTCTCTTGAGTTGGTCTCTAACTTGATTAACCAAATGGCATGCTAATCTCTGTTTGTTTTCCGTGCGAATGCAGGTCCTGATTCCAAAGATAACTAATACATCTTTCCAATCCGTTTAGACATCGTGCCTGCAACATCTTTGCCCGCTCCTACTATGAGCAATGGCTGCAGGAGGAGAACGTCGGCCAGGAGGTCATGGTCGAGGACCTGACCCAGACCTTCGAGGACTCTGAAAAGTCGAAGAAGGACGAAGAGGAGACGGACAGCAAGCCGGATCCATTGACCCAACTGGTCACCACCTTCTGTCGCGGTGCCATGACGGAGCGCAGTGGAGCTCTCCAGGAGGACCTGCTCTACATGTCGTATGCGCAGATTGCGGCCAAGTCCTGCGGCGAAGAGGAGGAGGAAGGCGGTGACGAAGAGGGCGGTGAGGGAGGCGAAGAGGGCGAAGGCACCAGCATCCATGTAAGTGATCTCCAACTCATATATTCCCACTAACTGCTGCTAATAACCCGTAACCCATGTAACGACATGTCTTACTCAGTTTCGGATGAGGAGACTAATGGTAACTATTCGTTGAGGGTTATCCTGAGAATAGGATTTTTAATGTCATTTTTTAGCTCAATATTTTGAGTTTTATTCTATTTTCTGACAAGATCAGAGGTTTATATAATTTTGCCTTTATTTTTCAAGGGGTTTATAGGAAGAAGCATTGTTTTGAAGCTCTATTTGAGTATTTGTAGCATGTAGCATGTTTTCTAGACACTCCTCTGTTTTCAATATTTTTCCTTTGGTATCAATAATTATATTTTTAAGGAACTTTATCTTTATATTTTAATCTGTAACTAACTTAACCCTAAATATGTTTAACCCTTATGTGTAACTAAACTTTATTAAACTTCTTTTAAAATCCTCGACAGGAACAAGAGATGGAAAAGCAGAAACTGCTCTTCCATCAGGCACGCCTCTCCAATCGTGGCGTTGCCGAAATGGTGCTGTTGCACATTTCCGCCTCCAAAGGTATACCTTCGGAGATGGTAATGACGACACTCAATCTCGGCATCGCCATCCTGAGAGGCGGCAACATCGACATCCAAATGGGCATGCTGAACCACCTGAAGGAGAAGAAGGACGTGGGTTTCTTCACCTCCATCGCCGGTCTGATGAACTCGTGCAGTGTCCTTGATCTGGACGCCTTTGAACGAAACACCAAAGCAGAGGGTAAGTCCTGCCGCCCCCAATCCCGCTCACATCCTGCCGCTTTCGATTGCCCCTTAAATTTGGTTTGCACTCTTCCAAGTTCGATTACTCTATTGATTTGTGTCTACTTCCTTCCAACTGATTTCCCACCACCACCCACACCACCATGCCTCGCATGCCAAAACCACCCACCACAATCCCGTGTACGTGATCCCGCTATCGTTGTACAATCCACCCAATTTGCCACACCAACAAAGAGTATATTCCGAGTGCGGGTGCAGGTCTTGGTGTAGGTTCCGAGGGCGCCGCCGGCGAGAAGAACATGCACGACGCGGAGTTCACCTGTGCGCTGTTCCGGTTCATCCAGCTGACCTGCGAAGGTCACAATTTGGGTGAGTCAGCTTGCACCTATGTAGAATCCTTTAATCCTCAAGTTGATCCTTTCCAGAGTGGCAAAACTATTTGAGGACTCAGGCCGGAAACACGACAACCGTAAACGTGGTCATCTGCACTGTGGATTACCTTCTCCGACTCCAGGAGTCCATCATGGACTTTTACTGGCACTACTCCAGCAAGGAGATCATCGACCCCGCCGGCAAAGCCAACTTCTTCAAGGCCATCGGAGTGGCCAGCCAAGTCTTCAACACCCTTACTGAGGTCATCCAGGGTCCCTGTACCCTCAATCAACAGGCGTTGGCGCACTCCAGGTTGTGGGATGCGGTTGGAGGATTCCTATTCCTGTTCTCGCACATGCAGGACAAGCTGTCGAAGCACTCCAGCCAGGTGGACCTACTCAAGGAGCTGCTGAATCTGCAGAAGGACATGATCACGATGATGCTGTCCATGCTGGAAGGAAACGTTGTTAATGGTAATGAAAAGAACCAGTTTAAACACAAACTAATAGAGGTAGAAAAGAGAGAATCGAGAATCATCCGCTCATGAATCGGATGATTTTTGGCAAAGATATAGGCAACCCTGTAGACCAAATACGCCCCAACATGCAATTTTCAATATTTTGAAGGGGACCCCCTAGAAAATTTCACAAAAAATCTAAAAAATATTTCGTTTCTAGATTTTGATGCAGATTAATAGAGAATCGATCTACGAATCGTTTAAGGTATCCCGCTCCAGAATCGGATGATTATTGGCAAAGATATAGTTATCGCTGTAGACCAAATATGCCCCAACATGCCTTTTTGAATATTTTGAAGGGGACCCCCTAGAAAATTTCACAAAAAATATAAAAAATATTTGGTTTCTAGATTTTGATGCAGATTAATAGAGAATCGATCTACGAATCGTTTGAGGTATCCCGCTCAAGAATCGGATGATTATTGGCAAAGATATAGTCATCGCTGTAGACCAAATATGCTCCAACATGCAATTTTCAATATTCTGAAGGGGACCCCCTAGAAAATTTCACAAAAAATTTAAAAAAATATTTCGTTTCTAGATTTTGATGCAGATTAATAGAGAATCGATCTACGAATCGTTTAAGGTATCCCTCGCAAGAATCGGATGATTATTGGCAAAGATCTAGTCATAGCTGAAGACCAAATATGCCCCAACATGCATTTTTCAATATTTTGAAGGGGACCCCTAGAAAATTTCACAAAAAATCTAAAAAATATTTCGTTTTTGGATTTTGATGCAGATTAATAGAGAATCGATCTACGAATCGTTTAAGGTACCCCGCTCAAGAATCGGATGATTATTGGCAAAGTTATAGTCATCGTTGTAGACCAAATATGCCCCAACATGCCTTTTTCAATATTTTGAAAATTTCACAAAAAATTTAAGAAATATTTCGTTTCTAAATTTGAATGCAGATTAATAGAGAATTGATCTACGAATCGTTTAAGGTACCCCTCGCAAGAATCGGATGATTATTGGCAAAGATATAGTCATCGCTGTAGACCAAATATGCCCCAACATGCCTTTTTCAATATTTCGAAGGGGACCCCCTAGAAAATTTCACAAAAAATCTAAAAAATATTTCGTTTCTAGATTTTAATGTAGATTAATAGAAAATCGATCTACGAATCGTTTAAGGTACCCCGCTCAAGAATTGGATGATTATTGGCAAAGTTATAGTCATCGCTGTAGACCAAATATGCCCCAACATGCAATTTTCAATATTTTGAAGGGGACCCCCTAGAAAATTTCACAAAAAATCTAAAAAATATTTCGTTTCTAGATTTTGATGCAGACTAATAGAAAATCGATCTACGAATCGTTGAAGGTACCCCGCTCAGAAATCGGATGATTATTGTGAAATATATTGTCAATATTGAATATTGTCATGCAATTTTCAATATTCTGAAGGGGACCCCCTAGAAAATTTAACAAAAAATCTAAAAAATATTTCGTTTCTAGATTTTGATGCAGATTAATAGAGAATCGGTCTACGAATCTTTTAAGGTACCCCGCTCGAGAATCGGATGATTATTGGCAAAGATATAGTCATCGCTGTAGACCAAATATGCCCCAACATGCATTTTTCAATATTCTGAAGGGGACCTCTAGAAAATTTCACAAAAAATCTAAAAAATATTTTATTTTTCGAAGTATTCCGCCTTTCATAAATTTCCTTTCAACAGGCACCATTGGTAAGCAGATGGTGGATACTCTGGTGGAGTCCGCCTCCAATGTGGAGTTGATTCTGAAGTACTTTGATATGTTCCTGAAACTGGCCGACTTGATTGAGTCGCCAAGCTTCCACGAGATCGACATGAAGAACGAGGGCTGGGTTACGCCCAAGGACTTTAGGGAGAAGATGGAGCAATCCAAGAACTACACACCGTAAGTCAAAGCAATTATAGCCATGTCATTGTCCTTAAACTTGGTCATTGCAGGGAAGAAATGGATTTCCTTTTGGCCTGCTGTGAGCGAAACCACGAGGGCAAGATCGATTACCGGGCCTTCGTGGAGCGCTTCCACGAACCATCAAAGGAGATCGGTTTCAACCTGGCTGTGCTGCTGACCAACCTCAGCGAACACATGCCCAATGAGCCGCGCCTGGCCCGCTTCCTGGAAACGGCTGGCTCAGTGCTGAACTACTTCGAGCCCTTCCTGGGTCGCATAGAGATCCTGGGCAGCTCGAAGCGCATCGAGCGCGTCTACTTTGAAATCAAGGATTCCAACATTGAGCAGTGGGAGAAACCGCAGATCCGAGAGTCCAAGCGCGCCTTCTTCTACTCCATCGTGACCGAGGGCGGCGACAAGGAGAAGCTCGAGGCCTTTGTCAACTTCTGCGAGGACGCCATCTTTGAGATGACCCATGCCTCGGGCCTGATGGCCACCGATGACGGAGGCGGCAACGTGAAGCGCGACACGGCGTACAGTTCCTACATGAGCGAGGAGGAGGAGGAGCGGGCAGCCCGCGATCCCATCCGACGCACCATCACCGCCGTCAAGGAGGGCCTCAAGTTTGGCGTGCACATGCTCAGTCCTGCGAACATCAAGCACCAGATCGGCGTGATGCAGACCAAGTCCATCCCAGAACTCATCGTTGGCTTCTTCAAGATCATCTTCTACATTTTCTACTACACCGGCTATGCCCACTTCTGTGTGGTGCGCTACATTTTCGGAATCCTGTTGAACCTTATGCGTGGACCTGCTCCCGAGCAGGAGGAGGAGCCGGTGGTGGAGGAGGAGACGTTTGGAAGAGCACTGCCGCCGTTGCCGCTGGAGGAGCCGCCGGGTACGGTGCAAGCCTTCGGCCTGGACATCAACAAGGAAGAAAACGGCATGTACAAGGTGGTGGTGCACGAGTCCCCGGCCAACTCCTCCATGGAGGAGGGTGGCGAGTCGAGTCCCGAGGATGGGTCTGCCCCCAGTGGGGAGTTGGTGGAAGGAGAGCCTTACCAGGAGCCCATTTCAATTGTGGACTTGCTGGGTGGGGAGGCGGCAAAGAAGGCGGCCCAGGAACGACAGGAAGCGCAAAAGGCTCAGGAAGCGGCCATGGCCTCGATCGAGGCGGAGGCCAAGAAGTCGTCGTCGGCGCCACAGGAGACACCTGCCGTTCACCAGATCGACTTCTCGCAGTACACCCACCGAGCTGTCAGCTTCCTGGCCAGGAACTTCTACAACCTCAAGTATGTGGCCCTGGTGCTGGCCTTCAGCATCAACTTTATGCTGCTCTTCTACAAGGTCACCACTCTCGTGGAGGAATCGGACGGCTCTGGCGAAGAGGAGCTCATCCTGGGCTCCGGCTCGGGAGCTGGCGCGGACATTACGGGATCTGGATTTGGAGGTTCGGGAGACGGCGGATCAGGCGACGGCGAAATCGAAGACGACGTACCGGAACTGGTGCATGTGGACGAGGACTTCTTCTATATGGAACATGTGCTCCGCATAGCAGCCTGCCTGCACTCCCTCGTCTCTCTGGCCATGCTGATCGCCTATTACCACCTGAAGGTGCCACTGGCCATCTTCAAGCGCGAAAAGGAGATTGCCCGCCGGCTGGAGTTCGATGGTCTCTTCATTGCGGAACAGCCGGAGGACGACGACTTCAAGTCACACTGGGACAAGTTAGTGATCTCGGCCAAGAGCTTCCCGGTCAACTACTGGGACAAGTTCGTCAAGAAGAAGGTGCGCCAAAAGTACAGCGAGACCTACGACTTCGACTCGATCTCAAACTTGTTGGGCATGGAGAAGAGCGCGTTCGCGGCCCAGGAGAGCGAGGAGACGGGCATCTTCAAGTACATCATGAACATCGACTGGCGCTACCAGGTGTGGAAGGCCGGAGTGACCTTCACGGACAACGCCTTCCTCTACTCGCTCTGGTACTTTAGCTTCTCGGTGATGGGCAACTTCAACAACTTCTTCTTTGCCGCCCATCTGCTCGATGTGGCCGTTGGATTCAAGACCCTGCGCACCATCCTGCAGTCGGTAACCCACAACGGAAAGCAACTGGTGCTGACCGTGATGCTGCTCACCATCATCGTGTACATTTACACGGTGATTGCGTTCAACTTCTTCCGCAAGTTCTACATCCAGGAGGAGGACGAGGAGGTGGACAAGAAGTGTCACGACATGCTTACCTGCTTCGTCTTCCATCTGTACAAGGGTGTGAGAGCGGGTGGTGGCATCGGTGACGAGATCGGCGATCCGGACGGAGACGACTACGAAGTGTACCGCATCATCTTCGACATCACGTTCTTCTTCTTCGTCATCATTATCCTGCTGGCCATCATCCAGGGTTTGATCATTGACGCCTTCGGAGAGCTCCGTGACCAACTGGAGTCGGTGAAGGACAACATGGAGTCCAATTGCTTCATATGCGGCATGGGCAAGGACTTCTTTGACATAGTACCGCACGGCTTCGATACGCACGTCCAGAAGGAGCACAACCTGGCCAACTACATGTTCTTCCTGATGCATTTGATTAACAAGCCGGACACGGAGTACACCGGCCAGGAGACGTACGTGTGGAATATGTACCAGCAGCGCAGCTGGGACTTCTTCCCAGTGGGAGACTGCTTCCGCAAGCAGTACGAGGACGAGCTATCCGGCGGAGGTGGCGGCGGTTAGACAACGCCACCAGGACTTTTCTCCGTTGTTTGCTATCCGGGCACAATGAAACTCGGGACCCACTTGGCACCTGCACTCCAGGGAGTAGTAGGTGCGTTTTGGTACTTTGACATCATCTGGAATTTTTACCTAGTCGACTTTAGCAATGTATTTTTAAGCAATATCCTACAAAATCGTTTCTATGTACGTAGGAGGACGACCTTTTTCCAAAATGATATATTGATGACGATTCTAGCACGTATAACAGCAAATGTTCTTAACTCATTTTAAAATAAATCTATTCATTTTGAACGAACATAGTATTTTGAAACATTTATGTTTTATTTACAAAATCTATGAGAATTATTCATTAACTTTAATGGTATTATACTAGCTATCAAAATACAACATCTAAAATATGTGATAACTAAACAACAACCTTTTGGAAACCACAATTGAAGTATCAAATCTTATTTTATTATTAAAACAATGATTAAAAAACATTTATAAATATCCAATGTTCCGATCGATTTAACAATAACAAACATAATTCAACATTAAGGTTAAAACAACTGATTACACAATTCAAAAAAGTGTACTCTTATCATAGAAATGGTTTTTTTTTTTTTTTGATAAAAAATCACAGTTGAACGCGGACAAATCTTGCATTTAAAATGTAACAAAATTACAATCCAGACTTGTAATCCTTTTCATCCTAATATTTGTGCGGTTAATGTAAAGTTGAGTGCGTATCCAAATATTGAACGCATACGTATATCCGACTGTGTATATTTGACTAAGCATTCACAATTATAGCCCTCCTCCGGGGGGGCTGTTCTATAAATATTAAAAAATTGTTGTGCGCTTCCCGAGGCGACTGGGACGACTGGGACGACTGGGGCGATTGACTAGCGGAAGTTGTACAGCTGAAAGTAGTAGAGTACCAGGACAATGAAAATAGCAGCGAAATATCAGTAATCGAGACGCTTCTTAAGACGGAAGAATTCGGCGTTGTCAATGGTCGTCAGATTGTCCATGTTGAGATTGCGCAGAGTCCGCACCCCAGACAGCCGCTCCTCGAGGTCCGAGTACATGTTGCGGCAGCGGTATATGGACAGGGTCTGCAGGCATGTGCAGTTGGTGATGATGGCGTCCAGAGTGTGTTCGGTCAGTTGGCTGCAGCCGCTGATGTGAAGAGCTCGCAGGCGGGGCATCTTAGCGGTGATCACCTGAATAGTCTTGTCCGTGATGTTGTAGCAGTCGGAAAGATCCAACTCTTCGATGGAGGGACAGCTGCTGGCAACCGCCTCCATGCCCAGCAACGAGATTTGTTGGCAGTTTGAGAGCAAAAGGCGCCTCAGTTCCACGTGCTTGAGCCCATACTTCAGGGATACATCGCTGATCTTGTTGCAGCCGCGCAGATTCAGCGATCGAAGACCCCGGAGCTGCTGAATATTGTGCCCTTCGAAGTCGTCATCGCGGATCAAGTTCATTTCATAGGCGGCGAGCATAGCCTGCTTGCGCCTGGCATCCCGCACTATCTCATCCTCGGCTTTGCTCCGCAATGATATCTTAATGGACTGCAGAGATCCGGCCATGCTGTCGCGTTCAGCCAGACTGTTGCAGTAGGGAGGATAAAAGTTATCCATCGAGGATACTTGAGAGCCAGACTGCTTTCGGCTCAGTTCCAGCTTAGATATGTTTATGCCTGTGAGTGCTGCGTCTGTAATCTGTACAAAAAAAATAGGAATAGTTTCCATGAAACTCTTAACAGAAATTGGCTGAAAAACTTACCCCACTGCAGTGCTCCAAGGATAGATCCCGCAGCCAACGTAATTGTCCAATAATTGACTGGACAGCCTCATCGGTGACCCCATTAATGCAGTGGTTAAGATGCAGGGAGCGCAGAGAGCGTAGATTGCTGGCAATGGCCTTGACACACTCCTCGCAAATCTGCAAGCAGGATACGTTCAACTCCTGCAGAACTTGGTTCTCCTCGCTAGCCACTCCCTCTATGATGCCGCTACTAGTTACGCTATCGCAATTCGAGATATCCAGACTTTTGAGTCGCTTCAGCTTTGCAAGATGGATGGCGCCGGCATTGGTGATGCTTAGGCATCCGTTGATCTTTAGGTGCTCCAACATGGGGTTCGTTTGCACCAGCGCCGCCAGGTTGTCGTCGTTCACACACATGGTAGCCGACAAATGCAGAGCACTCAAGTGGGGCTGGGTGGCCAGAAAGCTCCTGATGGTGGCTGCGTTTAACTGCCTGCAGCCGGATAAGTAAAGACGGTGCAGCTGGAGATTTAAGTCACAGAGGGCCAGCAGAGCCTGGCCGATAAGTGTGTGGCTAAAGTCCAGCTCCCGCAACGTTCGCTTCTGCAGGCTTAGGATTGTAAGGATGAACTTGAATGTCAGAACCGATTCACTCGGCAGCACATGGTCCGAGGAACTTGTGGCTGGATAAAACCTCCGATGGATGGCATTGTGAAATGCAATGTGGCAGCCGGACATATTGATGACCTCAAGAGCAGGCATGAACGAAGTAAGCCTCATAAGAATAGCGTCGGTGAGATACTGGTTCTCGCACAAAGTAAGCTCGCGGATACCGGCCAGATTGCTGGCCAGATCGTTCAAGTCGGGGCAGGAGTTGGTGCAGGAATCCAGGAAGGAGCCCGACATAAACAGCGGCAGGCAACGCTTCAGCGATAACGAGTGAAGGTGCGGAAGTACGCCCAACATTCCATAGAACTGCTTATCGTTAAGGTCCACATTATCCAGGGCGAGGGAGTGGGCCGTGCGCCCCATGAACCGCATCAATTCCTTCACCTGACCCAGGGTCACATCCTCGAACAGGAAATGCTGGAAACGACGCTCGCATCGCAGAAGATCTACCACAGGACTAAGTTGATCCGAGAGCACCACTTTGGAAAAACAGACACGCGTGCGCACGTTAAACTCGGTTTGGTCCAGAGCCGCATGCCACCGCTGACAGGTCGAGCCTGCCGCCTGCAGATCCGAGTATCCCAAGTAATTGAAAATCTTTAGAACAATCTGGGAACAAAAGAAAAAAAATGCTCAATCAGCTGACTGCCCTAACAGGTAGATATAAAGATAGGGCACTATGATGGATCGGTCACGGGACCCACTGATATGGACATACCTCCAGTGGCAGCTCGTCGAACCTGGGCGAACTAAGCTCCTTATACGACATCCTGCTTTGGCCTCGAATGCGAAATAGCTATTTTAATCCAACTGATTTTGCAGCACCAATCTAACCGCCCACTAACCCCCCACAACTATAGTGTTGATTAACTTAGTATCGACGACGAAACTATTTAAAAATACCAACTAAAATATACTGTTAAACGGTGAAGATAGAAAAATACCGAAACAGCATAAAACGCGTTAGGCATTTCCTTTTAATACTGTTAACTGTTAATAAGTGGTAACACTTTTTATGACATCAGATTAGTTTTTGCAAAATAAGATTTTGCACAAAAATAAAGCAATTATTTCGTCTCCCAAGGATCTAGGACATCGCAGTCGACGTGCCCACAATAATGGCCGATCCCAAGTTTCAAAATCTGCCGGGAATAGTAAGTGTATATGCAGACAAGGGCGGTGACGTGAAAGCTTTCATTTTGGCATAATTTCTATTATTTTCATCCCAGGCTTATGACCAGCCAGATGTGTACGAAACACCTGATGATCCCGAGCCCGAAACATCCGACTACTACGAGGAGGAGCCCGAAAATGAGGCCATTGAGCGGTTGCACATATCCACGAGCGCCGCCCATAAGCGTTTCAGCGGAGCTACTCTTGAGGGAAGTGTTGACTTTACGGACCGCATCGGTCGTCGGGTGTGCCGGGGCTATGACGCTCGAGGCTCTGGCGAATACGAGCTGGTGGGCCTAGGGGAAAAGGAGACTCCAGTCCAGAAGTGTCAGCGTTTGCAGATCGAGATGAACGAGCTGCTGAACGAAGTAGCTGCCTTGCAGGTGGACCGCAAGATAGCCGACGAGGAGAAGCAGTCGTACGACGCAGTGGCCACGGTTATTAGCACTGCCAAGAAGGTTCTGGAGACCTTGAAATTGGAACAGGTGCTTGGCAAGGAGCAGGTGCCCAACAGCAAGCAGGTGAAGGCGCTCATCGGGCAAGTGGAGGAGTTCAAGCAATCCGGCGTTCTAACGGCTATTCCCACTCCTGGAACTGATCTGGCAGCTACTGCCCGCGTGGCCAGCCTTGAGCAACGGCTATCGCAGCTGGAAAAGGTGGTCGGTGCCCAGCCTGACAAACTCAGCCGACTCACCGCAGCTACCAACACCAGTAACGTTCTGGAAGCCGTACGCCAGCTCAGCACCAAAGCCGCACTGTTGCAGCCAGACAAGCTGGATACTATCGAGCAGCGCCTTACATCTCTGGCTGGTAAAATGGATGCCATTGCCGAGAAATCGAGCGGAAGTGCCCAAGACGCCAAGCGCGACCAGAAGATTACTGAACTTTACGACATCGCCAAGCGAACTGAACCCGTAGTTGAGATTCTGCCCCACGTCATCGAGCGCATGCAAGCCTTGGAAGCTCTTCATAAATATGGTAAGAAAAGTGGACTATTCTTTTATTTTTACATTAATTATACTATCCATCATCCCTCAGCAAACAATTTCGCCAAGATAATAGCTGAGATCGAACAAAAACAGGGAACTATAACTACTAGCCTGGTGAACAACAAGGAACTGTTGCACTCCGTCCAGGAGACATTTGCTCAGAATCTGGAGACCATTAACAGCAAAGTGGCTAAGGTGGAACAGCGTGTTGCAGCTATTTCTTCAGCTAAATAAGTGTTCAGCACTTCAGCAAACGTATTATATATAGCAAATATTTATAAAATTATAATGCTAATTACATTCGATCTTTTTTAAAAAGCCTAAATGCTTAAAAAAGCTTTTGTTTGCGAACTTAAATTATTGTGAAGATATTGATAATAAGAAAATGAAAGGAAATGGAGATTTTCTAGTCTAAACTCTTAAAATTTCTCTATTTTTTAAACTTTTTGAATTTGGTGCCAATTCAGCCCTGGTATTTTAGCGATGACATCTTTTTAGAGATGGTACATTTTGGTGGGGAAAAATTCTGTTGATTGGTTCGTAATCTGGTTCACAACCAGTTCTTGTTTTACGGTCGCACCGAGCTCTGCGGTTCTTAAAAATATTTTGGGTTTTCGGTTAAACTTATGCACAAAAACTTGTTGTTTCACCGCAAAGAAGTGTAGATTTCCTTTACAACAGTGTGTAAGTTGCTTAAACGCCAACAGATAGTGTAATTGATGAGCTACGGCAGGAAACTGGGCCACATAAGCAGGGGGAAGCCAGCGAGAAAAGTGATGACGGGGCGCGATCCAATTGGACGTGACACAATTCAGTTTCATAAACGGAAAACATCGTTGCAGCATAATTCAGATTTAATTACAATTGCAGCTCGAGCGGCGAATTCAAGATGAAGATAAAGGAACTGCAGAAGACGGTGAACATCGCCTGGTCGCCGGCACAGCAACAGCAGATTCTTCTGGCTGCCGGAACCGCCGCCCAACAGTTTGATTCCAATGCCAACGCCACCCTGGAGGTGTACTCGCCCAACTTCAGCGATGCCACCTACGATTTGGAGCTAAAGGCCAGCATAGCCAGTCAGTACAAGTAGGTGTTTTCAGGAGTGCCAGCAGTATCGTGGTTATCATAAGTAACCGGCTTTTATTGCAGGTTCCAGAAGCTCATTTGGAGCCCGGTGGGTCCACATCCCAGCGGCCTAATAGTGGGCGGCTGCGAAGCTGGTCAGATCAACATATACTCGGCCGCGAAACTCCTGGCGGGAAATGAGGAACCTTTGGTGGCACGTCAAGATAAGCACACGGGTGCGGTTAGTGGGCTGGACTTTAACCCGTTCCAAAACAACCTGTTGGCTTCCTGTGCCTCCGAGTCGGAGATCTACATCTGGGATCTTAACAACCCGGCCACTCACATGAACCCTGGAGCCAAGACTCAGCCGCTGGAGGACGTAAAGAATGTGGCCTGGAATCGGCAGGTGCAACACATCCTGGCCTCCGTTTTCAGCACCCGCTGTGTCATTTGGGATCTTCGCAAGAGCCAGCAGATCATCAAACTCTCGGATACACAATCGCGGGTTCGTTGGCATGCCATTGAGTGGCATCCGGAGGCGGCGACACAGGTTTGGCTCGCTTCCGAGGACGACCAGGCGCCGGTAGTGCAGTTGTGGGACTTGCGGTACGCTACGGCACCTGCTAAAACTTATCAGATTCACGAGCGCGGCGTGCTGGGCATGTCGTGGTGTCTGCAGGACACAGATCTGATGGTTTCGTGCGGCAAGGACAATCGTATCTACTGCTGGAACCCCAACACCAAGATCCCCGAGGGAGAGATTCTTTCCGAAGTAGCTACTACAGCTTCCTGGTACTCAGATGTGCAGTTCTGCCCTAGGAACCCGGCACTTATTGCCAGTGCCAGCCTGGAGGGCGCTGTGTCCATTTACTCCCTGCACGGCGGCACCCATCACCTCGTTCAGACGGCCAACAAGATTGCCGACTCTTTCCCGGGCATGGACCAGTTCGCCCAGGAGCCCATTCCTCAGCAAGCAACGCAAGTGGTCTACCACGATCTGACTCGTGCTCCAAAATGGATGAAAAGGCCCTGCGGTGTCGCTTTCGGTGTAAGATAATGGTATAACTGATACAGTTTAATTATTCTAATGGGTCTTGTCTGCTTTTTCAGTTCGGTGGAAAGCTGGTCAGCTTCGATAACACCTCCAAGACAGTTAAAGTGCAGCAGTTGACAACGGAATCCGGCCTGGTGGAACGTGCCAATGCCCTGGAGAGGTCGCTGGCTGAGGCCAACTATTCCGAGTACTGCCGACAGCGGGCAGATGAGACTGCAGATCAGCACGGTCGCTACATCTGGTACTTTATCAAGGCGAACTTTGATCTGAATCCCAAGGAGGAAATGCTCAATCTTCTGGGTAGGAATAATCTATTTCATCATCTCTTCCAACCACTAAAAGTATTACTTTCCATTAGGATACAACAAAGATGATATCGACTCCAAGTTCAGCAAGTTTATCAAGGAAACCGACCCGAACTCGGATGTGGACACACTCACGACCCGCATCTCGACCCTCACCCATGTAAGTACTTGGCGGCAGATGGATTCTTATCAGTCCCAAAAACATGCTCTAAAACACTGCGAGCACTATCAGCCACCACGTATGCTCATCTTGCTCTGTATATTTCTATTCGATAACGCACTCCATGCTATGCCATTGCTGTAGAGCGACTCTTCGGAGGTCGAGTGTGATCAGAGTACTAATTATAGCACCGATAATTCGGTAAGAGCTTAATGCTAAAATCATAATCAAAGCTGGAAACTTAAGTTATAAAACATTATTTTATTAAAGTATTTTTGAGACTAATTACACTCTGTATCCTTCGCAGCAGACCCAGGAAAACAAGTTTGATGGAAATGCCATCGACTTACAAAATCAAAATGACTTTGCTGCACCTCCGAGGCCACAGTTCAAGATTCCGAGTGGAGAACGTAAGTTGATCAGTTAAATAGTTAAATATCTATCCAATTCTTGAGATGGATCCTCTTTTAAACTATGTTTTCTGGAAAATATCTAAAATGACTTCTTTCAATCTTTCACAGACACCGATAGCCTGATTTCGGAGGCCATTCTTACGGGCAACGTGGAGGCTGCTGTGGAGCTTTGTCTGGAAGCCAATCGCATTCCAGAGGCGTTGATTATAGCCTCAACAGCTGGAATCGAAATCCTGAACCGCACCCAGACGCGTTACCTGCTGCAGCAGAAGAGCGAGCTGTCCCATGTGATCTCCGCTCTGGTGAGCCGAGACTGGCTGGACTTTGTCAACCGCTGTACCGTGGACTCCTGGAAGGAAGCTCTGGCAGCCGCTCTCCGACACAGCGAGCGCAAGGCAGCGGACATCTGCGAACGTCTGGGCGACCGGTTGCTGGCCGAATGCGGCACCAGTGCCGAGTATACCCGCAACGCTATGCTTTGCTACATCTGCGCTGGCAGTCTGGACAAGCTAGTGAGCGCCTGGTACCAGCTGAAGCGGCTGGAGCAGAAGAACCCTGGCTACAAGCCCAGCACCACCGAGTTGCAGGATCTGGCTGAGCTGGTCATGCTCATGTCCAAGTCCCTCGAGCAGCAGGGCGTGGCCGTGGACCTGGCCGGCCGCTTTGCCGGTTTCCTAACCGAATACGGTAGTCTTCTGGCCTCCCAAGGAGCCCTTACTGCTGCTCTGCAGTATATTACTACCTTGGGCGGTGGCGATGTCAGCGAAAACGATGTCCTGCAGAGCCTGCGCGACCGCATCAATAATGCCGTTAACCTGGACTACGTCCAGCCCCAGGCAGCTCAAGCTGGCGCCCCTCTAGGCTACCCACAACAGCGGATTCGCGGATCGTTCTCCCAGCCGCAGCCCGCAGTGCCCTTGCAATATGGACAACCATCCAACCAGTATGCCCAGCCGAGCTGGCCAGCTCCAGCACCGCCGGCACCGACCACATATCCGGTGGCCCAACCACCTCCGCAAATTTTCAATCCACAGCCGGTTAAGCCAGAACCTCTGGCTCATCCACCGCGCCCGCTAAGCAATGCCAGCTCCTCGAGCGGTCCTCCGCCATCAAGCGGGGCAGGGCTTACTGGGGGCTCTGGTCTCCATGCGCGCTCCAAGTACGTGCTGGACCCGTCAGTAGCTGCACCCACAAGCTCCTATGGCATGCCATATAATCCAGTTCCGGCCCCTGTGCCATCTGCTGTTCCCTTCCCCGGTGCCCCAGCTCCTGGACCCACCGTTCCGCAACCTTCAGCCGTGCCCACGTACAACAGCAATGCTTTCAATCCCAATCCTCTGGCGCCTGCTCAACCCTACAACCCGTCGCCTTTCATGGGAGGGCAGCAGAACGCCTTCTTGCCGGGCGTGAATCCCATTGAGACGCTGCCGCCTCAAGCTGCTCCACCGGTCATTCAGAATGTGCAGCGTAATCCCACACCACCACCGGGTTGGAACGATCCTCCAGCTCTTAAATCGTCTAGGGCGGTGAGTAAATATTAGAATTGAAATAAAATATAAGGAAATTTAATGATTTTGTATCATCTTTCAGCCGAAACCGAAGCCTGTAGTGGAGCCAAGTGCAGCTCCCATCTTGCATCCCCTGTTCCCAGTCGACCCCAATCAAAATCAAAATGGATACATAGATCCCTCTCAATATCAGGTACTGTTGCCCATTAATCTTCACAAGAAAGTTTATTTATAAAATGACCATTTTTTAGAATGCACCACCACCTGGAGGAGCACCGAATGCATACTACAACCCAGCTGCCTTTAACAATAACCCCCAGCAGCAGCAGCAGCAGTCGTACCTCCAGCCTCAACAGCAGCCACTTAATGTCCACCAGCCGGGGATACCAAATCAAGGAGCACCTCTGCAACAGAACTGGCAAGGAGGCCAACAAACCATAGGCTACACCGAGCAGCCGGCTCCCATTCAACAGCAGCGACAGCCGGAACCACCCAAGGAGAAGCCACCACTACCCGAGGAATACATCTACTTGCAAACAGTGCTGGAGGAACTGAAGAACCGATGCCTAAGTGCAACGAATGATCCGGTGAGTGTTTAAACAAGGAATTCTAGAAGGGATTTCTAATTTAAATGTCCTTCCAATAGCGCACTAAACGCAAGTTTGTTGATGTGGTTAAACGGTTGGAAAACCTGTACGACTGCCTAAGAGACGGAAAGGTGAGATAAAGATAATCATATGATCCTTAACATATTTAAGCAACGTCCCTCCTTGCAGCTCACACCCACAACGGTGCAATATCTGAACCAGATTATACAGTACATTCAAATAGCCGATTATGCGAATGCACTGGAGATCCACACACGCATCGCTTTTGGCACGGACTTTGCGCAGTGTGCGGGCTTCATGCAAGGCCTGAAGGTTCTCCTGCAATCGGCATCTGAACTGCAGTTGGTCCTGCGCTAAACTAAAGCTCACTAAACGTTATTCTTACTGTGTCTTCTCTTATATGAATGTCTATTGTGTTTCTTTGTAACAGAGTGTGGTTTCCTTTGTTAGTGTATCGGTTGATTGCCAAACGAATGTCGAACGTTATTCCGTGTATTGAAATATATTTCCACTTAAATAGGAATTACACAAATTCATAAATAACAAAAATAAACATAATTCACTTTTTACAGCAGCTTCGGTTGGTTTCTAATGTTCTCCAGATCGAGTTGCATCTGCGGCGAAGCTGTAAGGGGGGACTGAGAACCGGTGTGATCGCGAGCACCGTAATCCAGCTGCTCCTCAGGGAGCAGGCGGTATTTCTTGAGATATTTGTAGGACGCATTGGACATGTCATTTGGGCTTTGGGAGTGGGTGAAGTTATCAATGGGACGCAGAGGTTCGGGATTCGGGGACTTGGGTGAGCTTCCGAGGCGCATTTCCTTCATCAGTTCGTCCACTGGCTGTCGCAGATACTTCAGCGCCAGTTCGTTCATCACCATGCTCTTTTCTGTGTTTGGCTTGGCGAGCTGAGGTATCCGCTTCGCTTGCGGTGTGTTGGCTCGGTAACCCGTAGATTGGGCAATGGGTGGTGTGGCTCGTGGCGATTGGAAGTGGGGAATAACTCTTGCCGCTTGCCGGACAGGTTGAGGTAAAGGTTCCTCCTCCTCATCCAGGACAATGTAATCCTGAATAATCGGGGATGATCGTTTCTCTAGAAAATTAACAGATATTCGATGTGTAATGGATTTAAAAAAAATATGGAAATAAAAACCTACCGCTGTTGGCGGTTAATATATTACACTGAGTGGCGGTAGTTCTGGTGGGATTCGATATGGTTTCCACCTTTGTTCGTTGCTGCTCCTCCAGCATCTTTTCACAGATCCGTCTCAGTTGCTGCTGCTCCTGACGCATGGATTCAAGCATCGAAACTATTGACTTCAGGTCGCTCTTGTCGGCCAAATTGCTAATGTCGATGTCCGAGTACACAACCGAAGGAAGCGAAGTCCGGGGAGGCGAGCGGTTATCCGTTTGTGTTCCTGCACAAATAGTAAGGACATCTGAAGTGGAGCCACTGGACGAGCGCCTAGGTTGATGGAACTGCTTTTTGGCCTCGCCGTAAACTGGTCCCGTGTTAATTGGCAAGGGGTTTGGACTCGTCGGAGCATCATTCCCATAACCACGATCCCTAGGAACTATGACATACTCCTTGGAGGACGTTACAAGATTGCTATGAGCTGTGCTTGGCGTCGGCCTCGGGCCCAATTCAGTGGTTAAAACTGGTGAGAAATTGACCCGAGGTAGCATTTGTTTTTTCCAAGAGGCGAAAGTGGGTGGCCGAGGTGCTGGCTCATTTGTGGGCTGCTGGGCCAAATTCGGCTGATCCTGTGGTGGCTGCCCAAACAAAATTGACACCTCCGGTACCGCTGGCCGGATGATTCCATCGCTATGACCCATCGGCACCGCCGCACTGGGTCTGGGTGCTGATCGCGGCAGCATATCTTCCGTTTCGGGGGCAAACATTGGGTCTATAATCCTTTGTTTATTTCCTGGATAACTTAAATTCGAGCGGGAGATTCGGTCTAATTGGAGCTGGTTAGCATAAAAAGTATGGCAACCTTTCCTTTCGATATTTTTTTAGTGCTGGAAAGCAAAATAAACAGTGCTGTAAAACACCAAAAAGCTGTGTCATACGAAAAGGAAAACAAGACATAAGAACTTTCTGGGATTTTAAACAGAAAAATATGCCTTTACTGGAGAACATCAAAGCCATGGCCACGAATCCTACACCAGCTACAAATACAACGGCCCCCGCAGATACAGATAATCCACAACAGCAAGTCAGGGAACTAACGCAGACGGATCACCTGAACCGACGTCTTCTAAAATCCTTGCTGGACAACATGCAGGCTACCGTAGGTGTTGCGGCTGACCAGGAGGATGGCTCAAATGAAGATTCCAATAACGAGTTCGAAGAATAAATCTTTTTTTATGTACAATAAAGATAGTTAACTAAGACTTGTCATAACAGCTGTTCATTCGAGTAGAGTTTCTAGATGCGACGGCGTTTGTTACTCTGCATTGGCGGGGGTGTGGTTGAGGGACTAATAGACTCGTTAGACATGGAGCCACGGGTCCGTTTGGCCGGTCGCTTAGGTAATTCTGCAGGTTTGCTGGATGCTTTCTTCTCGGCATCCTTTGTGCTGTTTGCAGGAGTAGTTGCTTTGGTCATTGGGGCTGAAAAGAAAATGTTTTATTTTTAAACCATCTTGACGACGAACCGGAAATGACTAACCTTTTCCATTGGTGTCAGCGGGTGCAGTGCTATTCGCATCTCCTGGTGGAGCTGCTTCCACGGCTGTATTTACCTCCACAGCCGTCTTTTTGACCTGAAGCGTGCCATAATCCTGCTCCGGCAGGCTAAACTCGCGCTCCTCGTTGGGAAAGGGCAGAGACTCAAGGTGGTCGAGTTCCTTTAGCTTGTACATGGTTTCCAAGTGCCGCCAAATCATATCGCTGGGCACCTCACGGTTGAGGGCTTTGGAAAATCGCTGGGCAATGCAAGACATGTAGAAGTGTTTGTTGATGCCCACTGGCCGCAGCCCCTCCATCGCGTGGAACAGATGCACCTCCTCTTCGGCGGACCACTCAAGATCCACAGTAGCTGGTAACGGGGCCACCCCTCCAGCCACTGCCAGACCCTTATCCTTGGCCATCATTTTGTAGCCGTTAAAAGAAACCTGAGGCGGGCCGGCGCGTTTTTTTTTTTACGAAAACACACGGTGTTAGTGGCGGCACTTTGGCGTGCGCACATGCTACTAGCCGCAAAACGATAGTCCACCGCCAACTATCGCATCCAGGCACGTCCCTAATTTTGGGTGTGTATCTATTTTTATTCGTCAACGTTAGCCCGATTTCTGCATTAGTTCGAGAATTAAAAACTATATAGTGGAACTGGTAAATAAAACCCTATAGTGTCCGATAATAGCTGTGTGTTGTGTGTCCCTATCCTCCTACGCTGTCTCTGTTATCTTTCCAAAATCTGTCCACCACATGCATATTTGCATCAATGTGTGTGTGTTTTTCCTAAAATTTATACATCTGGGTGTTTCCAAAACACAATTTCTTTGCTAATATATAATATAAATTACGCATATGCCTGTACATATATACTGAGTAGTGGTCTGTGACCGTCCATGTGTTGTGAAAAGTGTCCACCGCTCTTGTCCGCCCTGAGAATAGTCAATAACCTTGCACTTGTTCGTTGGTGTTCTGCAAAGTGTCAAGGTTTCCAGTTAGCCTGGAATATTAATCAGCAATTCGATCGATTTAACTAATCCCTGCGCGTATTTGGACTAAATAATGTGTGTAAGCGTGACTCATCGGCCCAGTAGCAGCTGTCCTAACTCTCTAATCTCTAATCTAAACTAAAACCCTATCAACTATCTCTGCCTTCAACTAGCATTCTGAATACATGGTGTCTCAAAAGAAAGTTCACAAACTCTGAGAGAATCAATTTCCATCTATTATTAAGACTTTCTTTTGAAACACCTTGTATGCCTTCTAGCATTGTGTCGCTGTCGCCTGTTCGATGTTGTATCCATGTGGGAAACACATTCTAGACAAACAGTAATCTAAACCATTGCCCCGGCGCAATGCTCTTTTGTTATTTCCAGCCTGCCATTAAGATCCATCCACCATCCCCCGATAAACATTCAGAGCACTTGCGTTTGATCGGTTCGATCATACAACCAAAAAAACCAAAAAAAAAATCACACCACACACCCACCATTCCGTAATTGCATTTTACAGTATCAGTATCACTGAGAAACTTTTCAACCATAGGCCTATCCGAGACAGCCATCATGGACGTAATGTCATCATCCCTGCAGCAGCAGCGCGTCGTCGTGGAGCAGCTGCGACGCGAGGCGGCCATTGAGCGCCAGACCGTCTCCGAGTCTTGCGCCAAAATGATGAAGTACATCACGGAGCACGAGCAGGAGGACTACCTGCTGACTGGTTTCACCAGCCAGAAGGTTAATCCATTCCGCGAGAAGTCATCATGCACCGTACTTTAAGAAGGTGCTGGATGGAGGATCCGTCCGGTGAAAATTGGAAGCTGAAAGGAGGAGCACCGGCGGATGTTAGATTATTTTTAGTTTAGCGAGATGGATTATGAAGTACGACAGTACATCAGTACCAGACAACACCACCTGGATCAATATATCTTTGTGTAAAAGCAACAATAACTACGATTGTCATAAGCAATATAGTTACAATTTTAATTCCAATTGCGAGGAAAAATATATATATATAACGATGTATCAATGTGTACCATTCATGTTAACATGACATGTCCGAGCATATAGAGAACCCAAAGTAACAAAACAGAACAAAATCCAAGAAGCCCCAATATTTTAGCATTTGACCCAAAGATATCAGAGTTATCAGAGTTCCCCCTTCAAATTAGACAAAAACGCTGTTGTTAATGTACACGAATATCCCAACTATAACGACAATTACTACTAATACCTAAACCGAAGTATAAACCGAAATTCTCACAGAAATCTATATACAAATACAAAAAAACTAAAAAATATCAACGTAATGCAGCATACAAATTTTTCAATAAAACGTAAACTCAACCGAAAATACATATATTTTGCCTTCTTATTTCGAGAAGTATCTGTTTATTGATTATTGAGATGGAGAAGTGCATGAAAAAATGTATGTATTTTGAAGCTTGTTGGCCACCGCCACGGCAGTGGATCACCTTATAACAAATATACGCAACAATATATTATTAAAAAAATTACTTTAAAAAAGCTTTAACAAAAGAAGCAGCAATGCTACTACCCACAAGAAACAACTCAACTAGTTGAACTTATCGCAATATTTAGTGCGTTTATTATCACGTTTTTCTTAGTCAAAATATATAACGAAACGATGTTGCAGTAACGCGACACGAGATATATAATAATACCAAAGAAATCGAAAACAAATAATCAAATATATTTATCTCCTTAGCGTAGTTTCTCCATTTTTGATTCCACTATGGGCATACTCATGCCAATTATAGACTAAATAATTCAAAGCTACTTTCGAAACCAATCATTTTTGAAGTCAAAACTCAATTTTAGTTACGATTTACAAAACACACAGCCAGTTAAACCTCCGTAGAATCCGAAAATTGTCAGTTCCATCCAGTTTAGTAAAAATGATTAAAAGAATGTGTGATTTTTTTCCATCTCTTATACAGAATATAGACACTTTAATCCATCACACATCATCCTAACACCATCCTTTATCCATTTCCCAATCGAATTTTCACCAAAAATTGTTCTGAGCGCTATTGTAACTATTTGAAATTGGCATGAGAGAACCGTAATTAACCCCAGAGGAAAGCTATTTTTATATAAACTAACATGGCGAAGGGACTATTTGAATGGTATTGGAATGAAAAGTAAAGATTATCCTATAGGATATATATCCTGATGATTGCCATCCAACATCATCATCGTACGTACATGCATATACATGTTGCATATTCAAAAGAAAAATGCGATTTCCATCGGGACTGATTTTCCCCAAAATCTCTGTTGCCGATGGGAAAAACATAAATATTATTATTTAATGGATCGGTTCTTCCAGTAAATGCATTTAATTAGTAACGCGGAATTGGCGATGACTTTAGTTCGTAATAAATCAAAATTCAAGCAGAGTTTACTCAAGAATCACACATTTTTTGACAAAAAAAACCATTTTTTATGTTCGATTCGAAATTCGAAAAAAAAAGGTTCATACAAGGTTTTGAACTCCAATTTGCTGTCGTGAGCAAACAGCAAAATGTGGCCCAAAGCCGCCATTCCGCCAAAAGGTTGACATTTTGGGTGGGTATTTCCAAGTCAAAACTGCAGAACGACTTGGAAGCCATCGCATTCTCCGAAAAAGGACCATTCCAAAGAGATAAGAACAGTTTTCGAATTTACGGAAGCTTCACATGGATACTTTTATGTTCGTTCGTCCGGCCATTCCCGTGGATTTTTTCTTGGGGACAGGCGAGCCATCCAATGGAGCACGGATCGCTCGCATTCTTCCCAAAATGCGGCAGGAAAGAAAACAAAAATGTTAAACTATTATATTAGAAAATTGACAGATTCAGATTCAGAAAAATAACACCAGCACGCACACACGTACATCATCATTGATCATCGATCGACACTTTAACACGTTTTATCCAAAATTCCAATTTTGAATTCAAAAAAAATATTCATAAAAAATTAATACAAATCTTTTGCGACGGGACGAGTCCCACAAATATTATTGAAATGTATCTGCGAATAAGCATTTGAAATATGTATTGTACTCAAAATGAATAATCGTTTGCTTAAATTCCAAAAATAAATGGCGATAACATAGATCAGTTATCTAGCGAAGGCACCGGGTTCGGTGCGAAAAAAAAAAACAAAATCCTTCTGGTTTTATTTCAGTTTTCGTAAGTTAAGTTTATTAATACAAGAAACTGTGTGTAGTGCATGGGTGTAAGTGGATGAGTGTGTGTGTGAGAGGTTAATGAAATTTAGAATTTCCATGGGGGATTCATTTGTGAAAATACAAAGCCCTCTCTATAGGAGGAGGAGGAGGAGAACTAGTTATATTTAAGCAGTACGCATCACAGTGGAGACGTTTAACTCTCGTCATCGCTGCCAGCAGCCTGTCGGGGCTTGGGTCCGCCAGCACGCTTGGCCATGATGATCTGGTCCACCTTCAGGATGGTTGTGGCAGCGCCCACGGCGTATTTGAGACCCCAGAACTTGGCCTGGTACAGATCGAACAGCTTCGCCTTGGTGGTGTCAATGGTGGCGGCCTTCTCGGGCTCGATGTCGAAGCCAATGGTCTTGCCGCTCTCGGAGGTGTGGGCCAAGTACAGCTGGTTGACGATCTCGGTGCCGTTGACGCCAGAGTTTTCAGCCAGAGCCTTGGGGAAGACCTCCAGGGCGTTGGCGAACTTGCGCACGGCATACTGCTCCAAACCAGGAAGGGTATCGGCAAAGGCGGACAGCTGGGTGGCCAGTTCGATCTCGGTGGCGCCGGCTCCAGGCAGGTAGCGTCCATCGCGGGTCAGGCACTTGAAGTTGTTCACTCCATCATCCAAAGCACGCTCAATATCATCCATGAAGTTGTCGGTGGCGCCGCGGATAACCACAGTAGCGATTCGAGAGTCCTTGCCCTCATTCCTAGAAAGGTACTTGCATTTAAAATAATATTCACCAAGCTAAAAGTTCCATAAGACCCACCTGAAAGCCACAATCGTGGTGTCACCCAGTTCCTCGATGCAGACCTTGTCGCAGTAGCCCAACTCCTCCTGGCTGGGTGTGGTGATGCGCGGCAGGACTGTGGCGTTCACAGAACGGCTCAGGCGGCGCAGGTCGAACTTGGAGTTGAGACGCACAGCCATCAGTCCGTATTTGTTAAGGAAATGCAGAGCCATGTCACCGACTTTACCGCCAGCCACTACCACCTTGACGCCGGCATCGGCGATAGCCTTGATCTGGGACTCCAGAAGGCCCTCCTCACCAGAAGAGAAGTTGAGGAGCTCGTCGGCCGACTTGATTAGCACCGTGCCCTTGGTCTCGGTCTGAATGATGTCCACGGGGCATGAGAAGATGACAATCTTTGCCTTCTCAGCAAAGGTAACGTCGCCCTCAACGAAGCGCTTGAACACCATGCCGCGGACGACCTCGGACTTGCCGAGGCCGCTACCTAGGATCTTGCAAATGCGGATGTTGTCCACATTGAAGGTACCCTCATCTGGCAGAATGGAGACGCAGGCCTGGCTCACCAGGTTGTTGAGGAAATCCTCCTGACCGTACTGCTTGGACATGATGGCGGTGCGCAAAACATCCTTCACCTTGTCCACGTTGCGGTAGTCCTCGATTTTGTGGCTAACCAAGGTTGGAAGGATTTCCAGAGCCTTCTCGAGGGCTTTCTCGTAACCGTCAGCGATTTCGGCTGTGGTGATGCCCAGGCGCAGAAGTTCCTCTGCGGACTCCAGCAGGGCACCGGCCAGCACCACGACAAAGTTGGTGCCGTCTCCCACCTCGGCGTCCTGCATCTGGCTGGCCATAACGATCAGCTTGGCGGCCGGGTGCTCTACATCCAACTCTCGCATGATGGTGCCGGCATCGCTGGTCACAAACTGCTTCTCAATGTGATTGATTATCATCTTGTTCATGCCGTTCGGTCCGTAGGCGGAACGCATGGTCTGTGCGAACTCCTTGCAGGCGCTGATGTTGCGGTAGACGGCCTCCTCAAGCCCACTGTACATCTAGGGATACCATAAAAATGAAATAATTAGTCATTTTTCGTTCATGTGCGCGGCGAAGCATCAACGGGATGACTAATCACGAGACTCCCCGAGACGGCATGTTTTTATTTAAAGCCGAATTTCAATGAAACCGGTACTTTATAGGCCCCACTGGTCTTGGGTCCTGTTTGTTGCACTTACCCGGGCGCCATCCTTCAGCATCTGCGCTACTCCGGGTGCTTTTGGAACAGATAGAGCCATTTTTGTGCACAGATTTCAAATTCACGGCGAAGCAGTCGGTAAGTTCCAGCTAGAGTTTATAACCTCAATTTCGTTTGACAGCTGCGAACATTCTGGACGCGGGCAATCGATAGGTTGCTTATCGGATATCGAAGTTTATAGAGGTGGCCAGAACTAAAGTTTTATTTATTTATTTTTTATAATTTTAAATTAAAATTGATAAGTTTTAAAATAAATGTTGTACCTAAAAACAACGAATAAAAAAAACAAACATGATCTCAATAAAAGTTATCGAAGTTTTAATAGGTGACTATTTTGTTTTTGCCTTAAAAATTTATTTATGAATAATACATTATTTTATTAATTCCTTTCTAAAAACTAAAACTAATTTATTTAACTATTTAATTTTCTAAATTATCTAAACATAGAGAAAACATAATAATAATACCCACAAACAACAACAAGTGGCGACCATCGATAGGTATCGTATGGAATCCCCCTTTGCCGCAATAAGCAAACTCATACAAAACAATGTCGCTGGGCAAGAAGCACGTGTTGGGATTCTCGCCCAATGGTGGCCAATTGTTTGCCTCGGTGGACGAGCTGGGCGTACTGCGGATATGGAACACGGAGACGAATACACTGAAGCAGGAGTTTACGCCAAACCTGCAGGTCTCCGGGCCGTGTACGGCACTCACGTGGGTGTCTCTCTCAGCTCCCCGCCCGAAGAAGTCTCGTAAGAGCCTCCAGAGCCAGGAGGCAACAGACAACAAACTGTACATAGCACTGGGAACACTCAAAGGAGTCGTAGTCATATACTCGTTGGCTGAGGGCAAGGTTAGTGGTAGGTTTGTGTCATAAAACCCCAATCTTCATTGGTTTCCTCTTGCAGATCGAACGCACGCTTAGTGGGGACAACCACGATGGAGCTGTCACTTCAATTGCGTACGACAATGCAGATCACTTGTACACAGTGGGTGTCGATTGCCGGGCACTTGTCTGGTCGCTGTCGGAGGGGCGCTGCCTCGGTGACTGGCAGGTGGGACCCGAAAAGCCCCAGAACATCGCCTACCTCCCAAAGAGCCGCACCTTGGCTGTGGGGTCGCGTCAGCTGAAGGTCTTTGACGTGAAGACCAAGGAACTGGTGGAGACCTTCACCGGGCACTCCGGAGAAATAAATACCATCAGCCAAGTCGTATGTGCAGATAGTTCCGAGTTCGTTCTAACCACAGCCAAGATGGAGCGTGTAATTTGCTTCTGGAAGGTCGAGAAGCGGGGGAAAAGCAAAGCATCGGCATGTACGCTTCTGATGGAGGATCTGGCGTACTGCTTGACCAGTGAAGTGCGCGAGGATGGCCAGCTGCGGGTGGCCAGTGTGACTCGCAATGGCAATATACACATCTACCTGCTTAATGTCAACAGTTTATCTGCCGAGAAGTTCGTTAAGCCGAAAGTGTCCCTCCAAATAGTGTCCGATGGCGCGGAGACCGTCGAACCCATTCTGGCAGTGGCAGCTCACTTTGTGACGGACTCCAACCGTTCCCACGAAATCCTCTTCGGCTACGGCAGCCGCCAGCAGTTGCAGTTCGAACGGTTCACTCCCAACTATGCCGAAAAACTGAACGTTATTGTGCGAGCCGATCCCAAAAAGCTGTATGCGAAAAAGAAGGGCAAGGAGCAGATAGGATTCCAGGAAGCCACCAAAGTTCAGAAGCCCATAGTGAGCCAAAAGAACGTAGAGTACAACAGCGCCCTGCCGATCTCCCAGAAAAAGGTACAAAACGATGTGCCCATGGAGGCGCGGCTGCAGCACCTGCAGATCCAGTCCACCAAGCTGAGCGGCGGCAAGTTGCAGACCCAGAGCAAGACCCAGCTGCTGATGCAGGCACTCCACAGCAAAGACCAGGCGTAAGGATGGAGTACCTTTAAATCAAAGGCTTTTATTAAACTTTCATTCATTTTCTAGGATGATTAAAGCCGTTCTGAGTACAAATGATGTGGAGACGATACAATTGACGTTGGACCGGCTACCGCTGGAGTATGTGAGTCCTCTGGTGAACGAGCTATCCATTCTGTTACAAGGAAAGCATACCAGGTGAGTGGTTATCCTGAAACGTTGTTCAACAAAACATCTTAAAACTTCTCTTTGGAATTTCAGTGTTGGCTCTGGTTTACGGTGGCTGAAAGTACTCGCCTCCACCCACACCAGTGTCCTCATGTCCGAGGACAAGGAGGCACTGCGCGAAAAGTTGGCCGTTTGTCTTGGCGTGGCGGAGCAGCGGATGCACTGCCTCTCAGAAGCTTTACAGTGAGTAACTCAAGAGGGAAAAACATCATAAACTCGAGTGGAAAACGGAACTACTTCTTTTCTGAGGGCTTTTTTGATTTTCTTGACTTGACATTGTCCTTGGGGTGGTCCACGGTGCCATGACGGCACTCGGCCACCGCCGCGAAGAAGCTCAGTTTGGTGTGCAAGATGGTGTCGATGTAGAACCGCTGGAAGGTAAACGAATTGAGGGACCGTTCTCCCACAGCATAGTACAGGGTGTTGTAGCCTTCGAAGCGATAGGTGATCATCACAGGATAGCAGGGCAGCAACAGCTTGGACACGGTGACGATGAACCGCACCTTGGCGACGGCCAGAGGATTCGGGCAGCGGGGTGTCGGCCGGGAGAAGTGGGCGTCAATGAAGTAGATGGTGCCCTTGATGGGGACAACGTGGTTATTAGCGTTGCTGATGACCACGCACTTGGTGTCCGGCGACAGTTCCCATCGGCTGATGAAGTCCCGGACATCGGAAATGGCATTGGCGTACTCGAAATTGCCGATGGTCAGAGCGTGTCGCACCAGGCCGCTAGATCCCGAGTCCGCAGACACGTAGGGCGCATTTCGCTGGACAGTGGATGGGTCCTGCTCGGCCCCGGCCACGCCCCCGATCACAACGGTGGAGGGCAAGCCGGAGGAAATACTGACCCCGGTAAACGTCTTGGTAGGCATCTTGTAGCAGAAGAGACCTCGCGGGTCCGACTCAATGATGGTCACCGCCTCGCAGACGGTGGCGCTGATCAGGTCGATGATGCATTGCATGTCCGCATCATCGCAGAGCGGCTTGTTGCACAGTGCCAGGTCTTTGGTGAGGCTGGGTATTTGGGTGATTGGAATCGTGTTGCTGATGGCGGTCTTGGAATCGGGTTTCCCCTCCGTATGGGTTGGATCATGGTACTTGGGACCCTCATTGCACATTAGGTCCATTTTTGTGATTTTGTTTCTTTGGAATATTTGTGTGTTAACGTCAGATTTTCAACAAAAATAAAACACTTTTAGGATTTCGGGAAGAGTCAACCTGATTATCAGTCAGATGAAGCGCAACGCTGACAACCACTTGAACGATAGCAAGGCTCTGATTGTGGACGATGAGCCAGGTGAGTTAAAAGGCACCGACAAGGTTAAGAGCAACCAAAGACCATTGACCACTTGGGTTGGCTTTCCAGATGACCTAGAAGAGACCCTCGAAGACGATAACCTGCTGAGTGAAAATAACTGGAGCGATCTTGAAGAGCAGCAAGTGAGTCCAGCCAGCGTTTCGGAGCAAGACGTCGAGGCAGACGACGACCTGGCCACTGACGATGGCAATCCGGACACAGACGACTCTGATGAATCGATGGCGGAGGAGGAGTAGCCCTCCACTGTAAATTAACATCCAAAATTAAACACTATTATTTTTGTCAAACAGAGTTTTCTACACTGAATTCCGGTTAGTTTTTATTTTTAAACTACGCGTGCAACAACGAATAGAGGGAGCCAATTATTGGTCTAATTCCGACATGAGATTGTTTCCATGAGAAATACAATAAGAACAGTGTGCCAAGTAGGGGGGTGGTGGGTTGTGGACTGTAGGCTGAGTATACGTAAGCGATGGCTCCTCAATAACAACTAACAATTAGAGCATTTATTCAAACTTTTCATTTAATTTCGCAAGACAGAGAGCCGAATGAATTTACTTCCAATTGGCTTTGATGAAGTTGATCAGGCCGTTCGTGGAGCTATCGTGCGAGGAGACCTCGTTGCAGTGATCCAGCTCCGGCTCGATGGCCTTGGCCAGCTGCTTTCCCAGCTCAACGCCCCACTGATCGAACGAGTTGATGTCCCAGATGATGCCCTGCACGAAGATCTTGTGCTCATAAAGTGCTGAAAGATAGATAATTGAAATCGATTTGTCCAATTAAAGACATGACCCATCCACACTCACCAATCAAGGCGCCCAATGTGAACGGCGAGACCTTCTTCACAACAATCGAGTTCGTCGGACGGTTGCCAACAAATACTTTGTGGGGCAGCAAGTTTTCCAGTTCGTTGCCGCACAAGCCGGCCTTGGAGAGCTCGGCCCGGGCCTCGTCGGTGGTCTTGCCCATCATGAGGGCTTCCGTTTGGGCCAGGAAGTTGGAGAGCAGGATCTTGTGATGCTTGCCGCCGGCAATGGGATTGTGCGTCTGGGCGGGGGCAATGAAGTCGCAGGGGATGAGGCGGGTGCCCTGGTGGATGAGCTGGTAGAAGGCGTGCTGGCCGTTGGTGCCCGGCTCACCCCACACGATGGGGCCGGTGCTATACTTGACAGGTTTTCCGGCCTTGCTGACGAACTTTCCGTTGCTCTCCATGTCACCTTGCTGGAAATAGGCGGCGAAACGGTGCAAGTACTGGTCGTAGGGCAGCAGGGCGTGGGTTTCCGCCTTGAAGAAGTTCGAGTACCACACTCCCAGGACGGCCAAAATGACGGGAGCCTAAAAAACAAGGATTTTAACCTCAAAACTTGGGGATTTACTTTGCAATACTAACGTTCTTCTCGAAGGGCACCGTCTTGAAGTGGTTGTCCATGTAGTGGGCGCCGTCCAACAGCTGCTCAAAGTTCTCGAATCCAATGGACAGACAGATGGAGAGACCGATGGCCGACCAGAGGGAGTAGCGTCCTCCCACCCAGTCCCAGAAGCCGAACATGTTGGCACTGTCGATGCCGAAAGCGGTCACCTTCTCCTTGTTGGTCGAGAGGGCAACGAAATGCTTGGCAACAGACTCAGGCTACGATTTTACAAGAGATTAGACTTCATGGGTTCAGGTCCAGACCATGATTTACTTACATCCTTGGCCTGTTCCAGCAGCCAAGTCTTGGCAGAGGTAGCATTGGTAATCGTCTCCTGGGTGGTGAAGGTCTTCGAGGCGACAATGAAGAGGGTGGTCTCGTACGACACCTTCTTGAGGACCTCCGCCAAGTGGGTGCCATCGATATTCGATACGAAGTGCGAGTGCAGACCCTTGCCGTAGGGCTTAAGGGCCTCGGTGACCATCAGGGGTCCCAAATCGGAGCCACCGATGCCGATGTTGACCACATCGGTGATCTGCTTGCCGGTGCAGCCCCGCCAGACACCGGAGATGACCTTGTTTGTGAACTCCTTCATGTGGGCCAGCTCGGCACGGACGTCGGGCATAACGTCCTTGTCGTCGACCAGGACCGGATCATTGCTGCGGTTGCGCAGCGCTGTGTGCAGGACAGCACGATTCTCGGTGATGTTGATGTGCTGGCCGGCGAACATGGCGTCCCTAGCGGCGTCCACGCGACGGGCCTTCGCCAGCTGGATGAGCAGGTCCCAGACCTCGTCGTTGACACGATTCTTCGAGTAGTCCAGCAGTATCTCGCCATCGTTTTGAGTTTGCAAGCGCAGGCTGATAAACAACAGACGGGAAATATAGTAAAAATCATTCGACCTCGGAGTTCGAAGCGGAGGTCGTTGCTGTGACCTTACGCAAGGACAAAAACGTAGCTTACGACACTCGGCGCGTCAATGGTGAAAGTGAGAGTTTGCGGAATGGTATATGACTGGGCTGATGGGATACATAAACGGGTGGGCTGTACACTTGCGGTCATAATAATAGTACTTTTTCAACTTTTAATTGAAATATATTTTTTAATATTTGAAAGTCTTCTAGTTTTCTTTCTTTAAAAATAAATTAAGTCTTTTAAAAATCCAAAAACATAATTGTTTTTTAATAAAAGTTTATATAAGTACCATAATTGCGACCACAACTGTAACGAAACACGTCGGCATACATAACTCATGTATGTATATCCCCAAAAAAAAGGAGACTCCTTTCACCCACCTGTATTTGGAAAACCGCTTGGCATCATTCTGAAACAGGTCCTTGATTTTCAGGTCCTTGCCCTGAGCATCAAAGTACTCCTGGAGCTTTTGGAAAGCTGGTTCCTGGGCGAGCGGGGGCAAAGGGCCGGCCATATTCCTTATGGGATTGAGAATGTGGGGGAGAAGGAGGTGTTGGTCACGTTAACACTCGTAAGAACCGCGCGGGTTGAACTGCGAATACAAAATCGCGACACTTCACTTAAATAATAATCTCGCCGTTGATCGAAACTTTCGTTCGCCGCGATAATGCAGGTAGACTTTTATCTGGCTCCGGTAAATATCCAGAGCACTGACCCAGAACTTCGCCGTGGTTGAAAGATGAAAAGGTATTGAGCCGCACAGCGGGTTTTCCAACGTCCTTTTCTGGAATTCGAGCACCTTCAATGTCAAATGAATAACAAACGGCGGGGTTGCCACGCTGTTCCACCATTTGTTTTGATTTTGTCTTTGGCCGGGACCTGGTTTTTGGAATTTTGTGTGTTTTCGAAATTTTAAACTTGTTGTTTTTAAATGATCATGTTGGTGGGGTGATATGATGTATGTGATATAGCCAATTTGAAATTAAACAAACTGCCGCCTGGCTTGAATTATTTTTATCAATCTGGCTGCAGGGCAACTTCATGATGCACTTTCCAACACTGTTTCGCATTAGAGATGGGAACTGCGAACGATAACCGAAAAATAACACCGATTATCTAATTTCCAAAATAACAATGCGTTCCGCCTTATTTTCCGGTGCCTCCCGGCTCCTGAGATATAACAGGAACAGCACCTTGCTGAGCCGTGGCAGGAGCACCAAGGCCACTGCCTCCAGCTTGGACAGTCAGCAGCAGGACGCCGTCGCTAGCGAGGATGGAAAATCGGAATTCGTGGAGGAGTCGCCGGAACAACAACAACAGCTGCCCACCCGGGAGCCCTTGGCTAAGAACTTCTTCATCGGGGTGGTAGACAAGGAGCTACTAGCCTACCCAGAGGTGATTCCACGAGATGACATGTCCCAGCTGGAAAACTCTGTGCTTCCTTTGAAAAACTACTTCGGGGAGTCGCGTGAACCAGAGGGACAAAAGTCCATTCCGGAGACCTTCCGCCAATTGGGCCTCTACGGTCTTAATGTACCCAAGGACTTCGAGGGACAAGGCTATGGATGGAGTGCTAGTTTGATAGCCAGCGAGCCGGACTCTTCAGACACCAGCTTAACTCTCAGCCTTCAGACCCACCGTGTGGTTGTGGATCTTCTCAAGGAGGTCGGCAGTGCCCTCCAGAAGCAGAGGTACCTCCCAGAGCTATCTGCTGGACGCCTGATAGCCACAGAAGCCATTTACGAGTACACCTTGCCCGAGGAGGACTACTTCAACACGAAAGCGGAATTCCAGCCGGAAACAGGAAAGTGGCTGCTTTCCGGTGAAAAAGCCTTTGTGGTCTGTACCCCCGGCGAGAGGCAACTTTTCCTTGTTCTCGCTCAAACCCAACAACCTAACGTTCCCGGGGTTTTGGGTCGTGGTAGCACCATCTTTCTGATAGATTCCCAGCAAGAGGGAGTGCGTCTGGGCGAGAAACACGCCACCTTTGGCTGCAAGGAGGCGGATTTAAGGCGAGTCCATTTTGACCAGGTGAAGCTGAGCGAGGATCAAGTCTTGGGACTTCCACACGACGGAAATCGGTACTCGGAGCAACTGGTAAGATCCTCACGCCTCAGGGGAAGCTTGGTGGGAGTGTCCCTGGCCAAGAAACTGCTCAACGAACTGACCCAGTACAGCGTGGACACGACTCAGTGTGGAGTCCAACTCAAGTACGACTTCTCCAACCTCCAAAGTATCGGTTTTAATATCCTTTATTTTTAGAGAATTGGAGCTAACCCGCGTCCACCTATCCCGCGCTCTGTGCTCAGTTTACGCCATGGAGAGCATGCTTTTTATGACTGCCGGTCTTCTGGACGAGTTTCGAGCTCAAGATGCCAGCCTGGAGAGCGCCATTACCAAGTACTTCACCCTGCAAAAGCTCTATCAAATAGCCTCCCAAAACCTGGGACTGGTGGGACCCAAGAGTTTGCTTAGCGGCGAGGCTACGGAGGTCGGATTAAGGAATGCTGCTCAACTATGCACGCAGGGAGAATCCCTGGACACGCTGGGCATGTTTATTTCTTTATCTGGACTCCAACATGCGGGGGTAAGTATTGGAGCTCAAACTCCAATAAGAACTAATGTTGATTTTATTATTTTAGCAAGCATTGAATGCTGGGGTCCGAAAGTCACGGAATCCACTCTTCCACCCCGGCCATATCTTTGCCAAATTCCTAGACACCAGGAGTGTCGACAACCCAAAAACCAACATGAAGCTGTCTGAGCATGTGCATCCCTCTCTAGATGCGGCCGCCCTCTGTATCGAGCATTCAGTGGCCCGTCTCCAAATGGCCGTCGAACTTATGCTGACACGGCACGGCAATGCAGTGGTGGAGCGCCAGAGCGAAATGCAGCGTTTGGCCGAAGTGGCATCTACGATTTACGCCATGTGGGCGAGTACAGCGCGCGCATCCCGATCCTACTGCATTGGCCTGCCGCTGGCGGACCATGAACTGCTGACGGCCACGGCTATCTGTTCGGAGGGCAGGGACCGGGTTCAAACACTCTGCACGGAAATCTTTGGCGGCAACTTTGTTAACAACGACAACAACCTGGTGCGGCTCTCCAAGCAGCTGACCAAGAGCGGTGGTTACTTTCCAGTACACCCACTGACGTTCAACTTTTAGGCTTTGATTATTATTTGGTGCTATCATTAAAGTAAATATTTGTTACTTAACTGTTTGAAATGCATAGTTTTATTTCAAGTTAGTCAACTGCTTTTAAAATTCGCGCCTGTTTTATTTAATTTGAACCGGTTATATGGCAAAACTCTGGCAACCATGTTTTTAGCGACTAGTCAGTAGTCCATCTCTAGTGCCATCACTAGTCGACCGTAGAATCAAAAACAACAAACAGGCCGAGACGCGGACAAATCCTTGATCCTTGAAAAGACAGAAAAATATTCAAAAAATCACTATGATGAGGTGATCTTTAACCGACAAGTATGATTGATTACTGAGAGTGACTAATTTCGCGCGCGTTTAAGACGGAGCTTGCAAAATAAAAAAAGTAAAAATTAGTAGTGCCAAGCGCCGTCGGCAAAAAACGCTCGGAAATTGCGCGTGCGGGTGGAACAGTGACACTCGTGTGAAAATCAACGCCAAGAAAAAGGCAAATAAAGAGCGGAAGGCGAAAAGGAAAAACGCCCGCGGCGAAAATTTTCCCCTCTGCAAATTTTGTGTTAGTGAAGTGTGCAAAAAAAAAAATTAGGAAGAAATTAAATATCCTGAGCAAAAAAATCGAGAAATTGAGAAAGAAACGTGTGCGTATTGAGTGCTAGTGTGTGTGTGGGCTGCAAAAAAAAAGTCAATCTGCATTAATCAACAGCTAACAGGTAAGCACAAAAATTTCTATTCCATTAATAAGAATTTAAACAAAAAAAAAAAAAAGTATTCAATTACCGGCCATCAAAGTTAATGGGGAATTCCCTTCCCGTCTTGGAAAATGGCACCCTTGAGGTGTACCCGCTGTGTCTGATACCCAACCACCCCCCATCCCCTTGCTGTGTGTACTTCCCCCCGCACCCTAAAAACCGCACAAAATTACAAACAAATAAAACGGCCAAGAAGAAGCAGAGGCAGCAGGCAGTAGCGTCGCCGATTTTCAGTCCCTTATTCCATTTCATTTCGTTCCACATGGTGCATAGAACTCTTATTCTTTTATTTCGGCTTGACTCGGCGGCGGCGGTGACAGTGAGCACAAGAACGGTGGAATCGCCATAAGCAGTGGCACACGACACGGCCCACACGCACACACACAGGGGCAGGCATACTGGCCAAAGCAAATACGACCTCTACAGTGGAGATTCGATAAAAAAGGACAAAACATATCACATATTAAACAACAACGATAAACTTTTAAATAAAAATTATTTTTTTAATAAAATAATTAAATGGTTATGAAATAAATCTTAAACAGTTCGTCCATCTTAGTCAAGTTCCACTGTTCTTGCACAAACACAAAGGCAGCTGCAAAGGTAAAGACACCGAGAGGAGTCAACTCACCTCTCGAAACCGATTTCTCTGCTTTAATTTTGTTTTCTTTTATTTCTCTTTTTTTTTTTTGCTCATATTGTGTTTTTTTTTTTTGTTACTCGCCGCCCGCCCTGTGTCCGCATGTGTGTGAGTGTATGTTGGGGGGCTCACACAAATACAATTCATCAGCGGCAGAGACGTCGGCGTAGTTGTTGTTTTTTCTGTTTGTTGTTGTTGTTGCTGGTTCTGCGCGCTTTTATTTGAGATTTGCGCACGAATGGCTTTTGCTTTTGGTCTTGCTCTTGCCCATTGGAGTTGTGTATAAATTGTGATGGGGTGGGGTGGCTGGGCAGGAGGAGGAGTAGGAGGCTAGTTTCGAACTAGAGTCGCGGACGCACACACACTTATACAAGCATAAAAGTGCGGTATACAACTTGGGAGCAGCAGAAGCAAGGCAAGTGGATTGGGTTTTCAATTTTTTTTTTTCCATCTTTGGGGCATGAATTTTCCACTTCCATTTGTTCTACTTGAAAGCATACTTCTCTCCCCCGTTTCCCCCTTTCTTTTTGCATTTTAACTGCCGGCGTTGAACTTTTAGTTGTTAATCAATTGCTTTTCTATTTGTGTATAAATAAAAAACACACTTTACGTTTTTTAATGATAATTAATTTGTTAATTTTATTGCCTAATGATAGTGTTTATTAGGGTTTTCTTTTCGTTTTAATTTCAATTTCCGTTTTCAGTTCCCCAATCTCTTCTTACTCTTCCACTTCCACTTCTTCTTCTTCAAATCGATTTCGATTGAGCTCTGCTTAGTGCTTTCTCTGTCCCACACACCCCATCGACTTCTCTGCGTGTGTGTGTGTGTGAGTGTCCTGGCAATAAGCTTAACATAAATCATTATAACAGCACATACAGGAGAGACCTTACGTGCCACCATGGGTACTCCGCCCCACCCCCCCCGCTCTGTATTTGTGCGTTTGTTTCGACTGCCATTTCATATGGAATTCTATATGGAAACGCATAAAATCGATTTCTAATCGTGTAAATAAATGGCGACAAATGCTGCGAGGTACCCCCTCCCCCCCCCCCATCCCCCACTCCAATCTAATTTCCTCTCTTTCTCTCTCTCTGTTCCCGCCTTTTTCCCATAGCAACAAAAAGGAAAGAGGGGATGTGTGTGGGCAATTGTTTCAAACCAAAAACACTGAGAGAAAATATTAGTTGATTTTAAAGAAATATATTAAAAATATTTAAGAAGTCTTAAGAACTTATAAGGAAAATATAATTTAAATCCTTAAACTTGTAGTAATATTTTTCTCAGTGTACTCAACTGGAATCTGGTTGCACCTTGAGCTGCTGCCTGTTCGATGGAGACGATACTGGAATGAGAGGTACAGGCCGAAATCAAACTGGATTCGAAATTGGTGTGATGCCAGAGACAGTGAGGAAGGAGATAGCGAGGGGGAAGGATGGCCACCAAAGGGATGGGATTGGGAATGGGAATGGGAGGTGTGTGGGGAAAAGCAGTCACTTCGCTGTTTAAATGCCAGAGATAAGCGAAAGGACTCTGGTGTACAGAACCCAAAAAAAAACCAAAATTGGCAGCAGCAGCAACAAAAACAAGGCCATCAAAACAAATACATGTTGTAACCAAAATTATAGAACAACGACTTATTAAATACCCTATAAATATTAAATATGTTTTATGATAGTTGTAAGTAAGAAGTGTGATATCAAAATATATTTATTGGAAATTGGATTTTGTGAAAATTTCATAAATATTATAGTACCCCTTTAACCCTAAAGGGTAAAGGACAAATCAACCGTAACAGGCCTGACAGAATGTCAGATGGTTTTTAGAGAGAGAGCGAGAGAGAGAGGGGGGCAATGCATTTTGTTGTAATGCAACACACACATTTTATTTGTTTTTGGCCCTGCCACTATGCCCCTCTCGCTCGCTCCACTTCAAACACAATTCAAAGTGCCCAGCCAGGCTAAAAGTGCAAAAAATCGCACGCCAATCGAGTAGGAGAAAAAGAGAGCAGATAGAGGGGGCTGAGCAGGGGAAGGGGGGGGGACTTGTGCTCCATCTCTGTCTCTTACACTCTCTCCTCTTGATTCTCGGGGGAAACATCGATGGATAACACAAAATTGAATTTACGGCTGCTGCTGCTGCTGTAGCTGTAGCTATAGCTGTTGCACGCTTTGAAAATATTGGCAGTAATTGAATTTATGCCGTTTGTGTGACGAGGGGGTGGTGGCCACCCTATCGGATGGTGGAGGAGGAGGTCAACACTATCGAAAATTGAAATGCTAAAGATGAGTTAGCTGGCTGGCTATGAATTGTATATATTGTACACCCTCCTGCAGTTCCCCTGCATTTTCATTTTCGCATTGTCCACTCATTTGGTGTTGCCATCTCCCTTCCACGGCTGCCCCACTGAATGCATTTTTCTTTGCGGTCGGAAATTCTCTTATTTCTGCTTGGTACCGTTATTTGTTTATACGATGTTATGAAATATATTTTTCATTAGTTTGTGGTTACAAGGGGAGGGGTGGGTAATCATTTGGTGGATAAGTGCATGTTTTGACGTGTTGAGACACGTTTTTTGCTGAAGCTCTGATTCATGTTCTGATTACTTGCGACATGTTTAAACATGTTTTTCATACGATATTGGCATTTTTAAATAGAAATCTTGTTAAAAACCACCTCTGATTAAATATTTACCATAAATTACCAATATAGCAATATTTCTTGCTATTATCTGGGTGGTAATTTCAATTTCCTAGCCGCTTATCCGGTTACTTCCTTGCGCCTGCCTGCCTGCCTGCCTAGTCCCTCAGCCGCGCCATCGTCCTGCTTATCCTTTGTCGGCCCGGCATCGGTTCGGCCATCTCAGCGAAGCTAAAATTGAACTTTTGCTCCTGATGTTGTTGTTGTTGTTGTTGCCTTTGTTGCTGTGGCTTTTTGTTGGGCGATTGCCTGCCAAGGGGGGATGTGAAGGGCAAGGGACCAGCGAAGCGGAAGGGGATAAGGACACGAGGGTCGAGAGCTCGAGTGGGCAACTGTTTGGCTTTGGTTTGGGCTCCGGCATGGGCTTGGGCTTGGGCTTGTGCTTGTGCTTGGGCCTTTGGACCAACAGCCACCCCGAAGGCATTTCTGCTCTACTTCATTATGTGGATATATGTACAATACACAACTGCTCCACGTACGCGAGTGTGTAAGTGTGTGTGTGTGTGGTTGTGCTGGTGTGTATCTATGGGTGGGCTTCGTTTTCTACTCGTCCTTTCGGTCTCGGCGTCTATTGAATCCTGCCGCTTTCTGGAAGGGAGCGCAAGTGGCGGCATTTTCGTGGCTCTGCGACAAACGGAAACGGAAGAAGGTGCAGGGCACGGAGGGGGAGGGCAAGCTAGGATGTGCGGATTGTTGGCTGGTCTGGTCCTTGCCGTGCGGCATTTATCCAATGTAGTAATTATATGCTCGCTAGTGGCATATGTGTGTTGTCGCTATTTCTATGTACTAAAGGACACTAGTTAACAAGGTTTAGTTTAGGTTATATCTTAGAGATATAAGATATGCTTCTAGAAGAGCTTGATCTATAAGATAACTATCAGATGAATCTTAAAACTCTCTAATTCTTTCATAAAAATCATAAATAAAAGCTTGTTGGCTAATGTATCTCAAGCCCGAATCCCTTATCTTGAAACGTCCTCCCGCCCTCTCACATGTTTGGTGGCATGCAGGGAGAGTGTACTGCAAGAAGTATCTGCAACTGTTGTATCTGTATCTGCGCAGCAAGCATTTTCCTTGCCATTGTGCAAATTATACAAATGCTGAGACGCTGACGCTGCCACTGCCACAGCCGCTGTCACCATCATCCGTGCTTTTGGGCTGCTGACTCTCGCATCTTGCAACTCGCATCTGCGAAATACATTAGACAGTTCAGTTCAGTTTTGCTGCGTGCCAGACCAGTACAGATACAACTGCAACTACAACTACAACTACAACTATAACCGAGGCGGTGCAGATGCAGATACAGATACAGATACACATTCTGTATCTATTTCTGTGCGGCGTACGGGAAATTGTTGTAATTTGCATGGCTCAGCTCTGGATGAGCTGTCGCTGTCACTGGCGCTGGCGCTGGCGCTGCCTAGTGCCGCTGCTTCTGCCTGTGCCTGTGCATCCGCAAATGTATCTGTATCTGTATCTGGCAGATGTGTGGGCGTGGTTCCGCGCTGCTCATTAGATTTCGAGACTTGAGAATGCCACTCATAATAGATAACTCATCGATTTAATGGGAGATGACATCCGTTTCACTTAATCAGCTAATTACAAAACGATTTTTCTATTTTT